CCTGCGAAGAGTCGCTTGCGAATAAAACAATAATTACTTGTCATTACTTGATGCGCTATAGGAAATTGCGCAGGCTGGAACATCTGTCGATGCAAATGCCATGACAGGCTGAAAGCAATTTGATGATGATTATGTAATTTACAACCGGGCGAAAAGCTACAAGTCGGCCTGGCAATCGTACTCGCGATTATAATAACGATTTGGAGAGAGTCATTTTTGCACAGCACGAACCCCCGCACTATCGCGATGCGAAGGCGCTCGCATAAAGCTGCCAGGGCGACCCCACCGCCCCCGACGGGTTGCATGCCGGCACATGCCACCCCCGCGCGTTGTGCTATCTCTAAGCGGCAATGCGATTATGGACGATTATAAAATTCTCCATAGAGTCAGCAAAAAGTGTACCTACGGTCCGATACACGTGCGTGGGTCCTCCACCAATGAACTTTATTCAGCTAGTGCAAGAAAAAATCCATCGGGATTAGACCTCTGGCGTGCGAAACGAAACGAGGGAAATGAACGAATTCTCAGATTAGCATATATCAAACTGTAATTAAGTGTAATTAATTAAGCGGCATTTGCATAATGTTGCTCGTAATTAGATAAGAAAACGTCGACATTTACGATGGCGTCGTGCGAATGGTCTTGCGGTGCACACTGCGGATCGATGGAATTGATTTGCGTCCCGCAACCACGTGTAGACCTAAATGAGTTATTAACATTCTTATGATTCATAAAAACGCGTGTTTTAGCGAATTAAAACAACGCCGGTTTACATGCTTACGCTGTTATTATAATTATGAACACATGGAAATTAATAAAATATTAACCTATTTTTCCCATTCTATATTATTCCTGTCATATCTGAATAAATAATAATAATATAGCCAGTGAAGCAGGCAACAAAGCAATTTTATCATATTTGTTGAGATCTATGGTGCGTTTGAGATTCGTTCGTGTAGATAAACACTGTCACAACTAAACTATTATCAGACATTAGGACACCACTTTTATTCTATAAATAGAAATATCAAAAAAAAGACTAAGTACGCAAAATAGCTAACACTTTCAGGGGGCGGCAAAATTTTTATCCTTCCACTCGACGCCATTGCAGGGGGCACCACTTGTACGTGTTATTCAATCAACCGTTTAAAATAGAATTGCGTGGTTTGCTGCCCTCTAATGACACAGAATTGACAGTTGGTAGGACATGCAAACAAAACGAAAAAGAAATTAGCTGGACTGAGGAATTTACACCAATCGACAGGCTTAAATTATGTAAACCTTCATTAAAAGAAGAAGCACAAGGAGCAGAAGGATTTGGTGTATAGGCGAGCTTGTAGAAAACACCAACTAAGGTAAACTGGTCAACTTGGCACAGACCAAAAGTAATAGTTACGGCCTTTACTTTATTGACCACCGGAGGGGTATATTCACATCTCTTGGGTGACAATATCAATTATTTTTTTAAATTAATAGAATTTGACTTCTATACAGTTTAAAATAAATTTTGTGTAGCAAATATATATATAAGTAACCAGTTAGAATACGTTATTGAGTTCTGAATTGTAACAATTTCTGTTTTGATAAAATATTCTAAAATCAAAAAAAAAAGTATATAAATGGCATAACTTATTGTTATTGGAAATCAGCAAGGTATTTCCTCAGTTATTATGACGTCACAATAGGTTTAACAGCATATTCAGTATCAAATGGCTAAACGGAAGCTTTAATCACAGCCGTCAATGTTTAAAGTACCACCTTTTGTGTCTCAAAACCATGGAAAACTGGCACTTTATAGGTGAAAGTAAAAAAATAAAAATTTATAACACTTTATGCATTATTTAAAACGCTACATTTTTTATACTCCAGCAAAAAATCTAATTAACTTTAATTAGCTGTCAGTTAACAAAATACACAATAACAGTAAAAGTTGTAACAAGTTGTGATACTCATTAAGAAACAAACCCAATAAAATATAAAAGTAGTACCAGAAATCTATAATAATATCAACAGTAGTGTGTAAGAAATAAAAATCAAAGAAATGTATTAAGAAATTTACATTTGTTTATATGATTAATATGCACAAAGTACAATGCAGAATGATAAATTATTGCACGGGAATGTGCATATTGCATGAGCTCAAATGCTTTTAAAGTTTTTGACAAATATTTACAACTTAAAAAATGCGCTTCACTCTGTAAGCAGTATAAACATACGCGTTCAAAACTTGTACCCTAACTCAACCGGTAAAGCTTTTACATTTATGAACTTTAGAGTTTATAATAATAGTTAGTGCTGTACAAGGTAAAAATATATACGGTAAAGACTGGTAAATTGCAAGGACAAAGTTTGCGGAGGTAGCTATTATTTATTTGCAAACCTATACACACATAATGGGCTTGTTTTTAAACATTCTTTTTCTACTTTCACCTATAAAGCGCCAGTTTTTCTACGGTTTTGAGACACAAAAAGTGGTACTTTAAACACGGACGCTCAAGGTCGTGACTAAAGTAATTTAGTCACGGTTATTATCAACGGAGCGGAACCTAAACGTGCAAATCGAGTGAATGTAGAAAAAATAACGCAAGCATCACGTGGCTAAACATTTTTAAACACTCGCTACGCTCACTCTCAATCAATCTCGTGAGTAAAGCCCCCGTTTAGCCACCTGATACATAATATACTATTTCAGTGCCAAGGTTATTTAAAACGAACAACACGTTCCAACCGCAATATACGACAGTTCCTTGTCCTTTATTTTAAGACACTAGGTGTTAAAGGTTTTGATATCGATCATTAACTAAAATTGCTTTGCAAACAAAAAGATCACAAATTGAACCAGCGGGCTTTTTGACACGCAGGTGAATTCGTCGAATGGTCGAAACATGAAAAATGTTTTAACAAGTCAAAAATAGACACATTACGGCACGGCACGTTAGCTCCGCTGAGTTATTACCAACAAAGCGAACAATAATGTTGTTCGGAAGGTTCGGAGGTACGATCAATTATTTTTCATGTTACTACACGTCGCCCATACGCCGCAAGTTGGCAAACACGAAAAGAAGTCGTTTCACGCATCGCATTTGCGTTCCACACTGTGTTTTGCACTTTTCTTCGTTTCCAGCGCAGTTGCGCTGCTTTTCGGGTTTACAGGCGCAGTTTACAGTTTACACAATTAGTCAGTTACTCACCTAACACGCCACACCACGCCGCACCGGAGCGATTGCGGTAAACGGTCTTATCACACATTATCATAATAACGTGCGCCAGATTTCCACCCCCGCTTGACATTCTTGCATGCATTCGGCTGCACCGGCGGGCGCGCCATGCTCGCGTTTTGATAATGACACTTTGATAATGCTTGTGATTACTTTAACATAAACGTTAGATAAAAATGCAAACGTGCGCAAACATGAAATTCAAATTTACATTCCAGCAACATGCATGACTATTTAACATTAGCGCAACCAATGTGAGCTTTTCACATCTGCCTGACAAATCTGAAAATCTGGCGTTTCGTCTGACTGCACTTTAGATTTATACCAACATTTTATCGATGTTTGTTACATTGCAACTCATTACACGTTGCACAGTTCACTCCGGTTGTTGTTATATTTTTTATTTTAGTTCAGCGCGAGTCGTAATTTTAGTTGGTAGCTTGTAGTGGCTAGTTATAGGTAAATAGGTGGGTGGTGATTAATGTTTATTCATATTCACATGTGCACAGTTCTTATTCTGGACTTTCTTGATTTTCTGTTTTCCACGTCTTGGATTCGAGTTTTGTTTAACATTTGATGATATCGCACAGTTAATGGGTTTCCGCTGTAATTGTAGAGATTTAATAGGTTTTAATAGACGTCGCCGGAGTTCGGGAGCGCGTTGCGTTTTATCCTCGTCGAAATCAGCGCCAAAAAACGTAATTTTTTCTCTCGTGTCTCGTGCATGTCTGCACGTTTGTAGTTTATAGTGCTCGGCAGCTACAGCTATGATAAGCATAACATGCGCCACTCGGTGTTCTCGAGGCGTTTCGTTTTCGTACGCTTTTTAAAACGAGCCCATAGAGTGTTGTACGACATGCTAAAACATGTTACACTCAGGGCGTTTCGTGCTTGCCGTGCATGTAGGGTACCAACACGTACGCAAAGAATATTAATGTCCATTTCCGGATTTTTATGTGCACGTGAAAGAAAAATTTATTACCTAATTGAATATTCTCGCATCTCTACTGAAAATTGCCCTTTGCATAAACAACCCATGCGTGTGGTCGGTTAGAGTGCTGGGAGCATTTATTCATAGTTAATGCACCTCCGCGTAATTATCATGAAAGCTTAAAGAATCGACGCATTTCAAGATTCAACCGGTGTGTAATTAATTGCAACCGTCTCGTGCGTGCGCGAGACGCCTGCTGGCAAGACGCCCGAATACAATGGTTTATTCAGGTGTCGATGAGTTCATGAATGGCGAATGCAGCCGCAGCGTTGACTCTATCGATTGGCAAGTGGTGTGTGCATTCTTCAGTGAAGGCGCGAGATTGCTTCTAATTGTGTGGGCGGCGGTTAAAAACGCGCTGCCCGCTACTTGAAAAAGTGCCTGAATGGTCGTCGCGGACGTAACCACGCAACACGTACACGAAGTGCCCTTCAACACAAGCACTTACACTCATGTCCGGGACAAAGTTTTGGCCCTCGAAAGAGGCCGGCGGGTTAGAGGGTTTGGAAACGTCGCGCGGGCTTTGTTCGCGCGAGAGCGCGTTTAAGTTTCGAGTGCGTGAAAAGGGTTTCGCGCGCGCGCGCGCGCGTGTGTTTTATGCAGCGCGTCAACATCGAAAACTACAAGTGCACATTTGATTTATACATATTTTATGCCCGCACCTTCGGCAACTTCGCACTCGGCCCGGTGCCGAAAGTTTCGTCGTTACGCAAATGTATCGTAAAACTTGCACCGCAGCAATGCGCGCGCCAGAAACCAGGCACAATTTGTACACCTCGCAGAAGACTTACCCAGGACGACGATGTACACGTATGCGAACTTGATTCCTTGCTCAATTGAACGCATTTTCGTCTTTTCATTATTGTATCAATTGAGAGACATCTGCAACAAAAAAAAAGTTAAGTATACTAGGTATTTATGTAATAAAAATAAATTGCTCAATGTTTTGCTAAGCGCAAAACTCGAGGATAACTAGACCAATCCGGAAAATTTTTTGAAAGTACAAATTTCTTTATGTGCGTTAATCCATGAGGAATAAACGTAATAAAAAATGAAAGCTCTAAAGCTATTTGTCAAGCGTAAAAAAATTGATAAAAAGAGTTTTGATTAAAAATTTGAAATCGTTGTTATGATCGCAATCAATATTTAACCAAGATTATTGCTTTATAGATGCATGATAGTTAATAATTACCAAAGGTGCAAATGACAGTTGTATTCATGTATTTATTGCTTGCCTGTGATGCAATGTATAACAAATTTAAAACACACCGCAGAAAAAAATATGTTTTTTTAACTGTACGCAGTTACAGTTTAGCTATGCATGCGTAAACTGGGAAAAATAAACTTTTTTTTTATATTATACAAAATCCAACAATAACGTTGCAAATAAATACATCCCACCCAATTTTTCTTTTATTTCTTTAAAGATGATTCAAGGTTGTGAGAATATGGGGTTGCAGGCTTGGACGCAAACAACCGGCTTGCGAACAGCAGCGCATGATGCCAAATCCGCGCAGCCGGTATTCCCTCGGGCGTTTGATTGTTTTCTACATTACATCCAATATCCCGGACCAAGCAGCAACTTATTTATTGTTCCACCGCTCGTCGCTTGTTTCGCTCACGGCTTCACGGCGCGCATACATTACGCCAACGCTCGGAAAGACACACATCCGCACGGCTCGCGGTTACATACGTTCACCTAGTTTACTACACTCTTCCTTCATATTTAAAACATCCTCCAAGGCACAAAATAATATCATCGCAATACGTCAAGGCTGGCGCGTACAGATTCCTGGAAGCAAGGAAAATCGCGTGCCGATATTGACTCGGAGCTAGTTTCTAGTTGGCTGCTTCAGTCACGCGGAAGAATTGAAAGGGCTTAAAAAATGTGTCGCAAGTTTTCGAATAGCGGAGCTGCTGGACGTGTTTACTCGTCGACGCATTGTCGACGCACGCATTTCGGTTGTTGAGAGGAACGTGCCCGCAAGGAATCCGCCCTCCGCCTTTATATTTTTGCGCGGGCTGAATTATTACGGCAAGGGGACGCGGCGAATGTTAAATATTTATACAAAGGTCGTAATATTTTAGCCCCCATGCATGCGGCCAAGTTTTTCTATACGTGAAATATTTATCCGGCGAATTTTGTAACGAATTTATATGAGAACGCGCGCGCCGCGAGCTGCGAGCTGCGTTTCGTCGAGAAATGTTGAAAATACGCGTAATGCTTTCTCGCAAGGAGTTCCGGCTCCACCTTTACGCCGTGGCATTGTATGCAAAATAGAAAATAAAGACGGCATAAATATATTAGCGATGAAATTGCTCGCTAACAACAAGATACACGGCAGTGCATGTAAACATCTTAAAAAGTAAAACATTTTACGATGTGCAGTGCTGGTAAGTTAGAGACACGTGGCTGAAACAAAGAGGCTACAATGTTAATCAGCTTTACTGGGGTAAATGCTACTAGCAGCCATTGTTTTTCTACTGCATATACAAATTCTATAAAGATCTAAAGAATTGATTACATTTTAAAGCTTAGAAAACGAAAAAAATATTTTTTTGTAATTTTATCAGAAAATCACAGCTTTCATATGTGACGTTAAATGAAATTGCAATTGCCTTTCATATTTATAGATATGTATCCTACAAATTCAATACTCAAGATGGAACTCAACTGCTCGCAGTCGCAATCGACGAGATTGGTTACGTTAAATCATCATGCGGCAAAAAAGGGAACCAAAAAAAAAAAAAGAATCGCGATTATTCACTCGTGCATAAATTTCGTGTGCAAACGCAACTCGCGAACAAACGGAATATCTGAATGCATAATTAATTCGTCGAGCGCGCAATTTTCTTGACTTGAGCAGAGCAATAAACGTTTCGAGACTACTCCTGGGCTATGACCACCGTCATTATCAATGCGGCACCCGAAGAGTGGTCCGACACTCGTATCTTCGCATCCTCCGGCGCCGTGCGCTTAATCTCGCCGTCCATGGCCGCAAATGATGTTAATTAACATATTTATTGATTTTCAGCTGTGTGCCGCGCGCGAGTTCTGTGCAAACAAAATCAAAATGCAAGACGACTCAGCAGGACTCAGCGTGGAAAACAAGTGGGAGCAGTCGCTGGATGAAACAATATTGTCATTGAGGTTAATCAGGCGCTTGGTGATCGTTGTACGGGCGTTTTTGCGGCTTACCACGTGCCGTGGTGGTATCATTACTCCGCCGGTACGTGTAAGTTGGTATTACGCGCCACTAAGTTATTGTTATTTATTATTCCTGCAATGGAACATAAAAAATAGAACGTTATATTCACGACGCGCGGTTGATTACAGCAATTGAATATAATTTCATATTTATAAGGAGCGGATCGATTTTGGATCGCGCAATGTTAGTGTCAACGTGTTTTCCGTTTGCTTCAGGAAGTGATACTTACTTCATTTACATGTTTTGCCCTTTGTGAAGTGGATATTTATGGCCGACATTTATTTAATTTGTATTTAATGAGTTTTTTAATGGTGGCATGCAGGCTTTGTAGCATTTTTCAATTATATGGAAAAAACAGAATAAGTGGTTGGTTTTATAAAATAGGAAGCAAAAGTCTAGCATTGCAACCAAACCTGGGCTTATAGAGTATTTCAATATTTTTATGTCCATTGTAAAGTATTTTTTGTTAAAAATATTTTAAAGACAAATGCAATTAACTTGAAATAAATTTATCTATTTTTAGAACATTTTTGGTGCAAATTACGCATTTTTAATAATTACAAACAGTATTTTATTGTTAACATAAATGTAATAGTAAAGTCATTCTCATGTGAGCATAGATACAAACAGTCACCAATCTTTTTTTATATTTTTTTGTGTTTTAAAATTAAATCAATTTTTATTTCATATTTTGCATTCATCCGTTCTTATTTCGTAAATTTCGTACATTTCATAAATTGAACTTAACCAAACTCTTCCAATATTAATTTCGTTGAGCATACTTCCAACCAATGAAGTTTTGAATATATGGCGGAATATATGGGTTCTATGCACAAAGAAAAATAGTGTACTGTGTGCGTTGGCCGGAAAATTAAATTTAGGCGCATGCGCTGACCGTCCGTTGTATTTGAAGTTCCAATTAAATTTCGTGTCGATAATTATGTTGATTTAAGCCTATTATGTAAGGCATTGTTATTAAATGTTTTAATATATTTTGCCCTAAAAACACTATGGGGAATTACTTATACAGGACGTGCAACGAAGGAGACAACGTGAGAAAAGAAATTTTATATTGCATTAAAATGACAAAGATATCGTTTTTTATCGAAAATGATAATTCGTACCATACTGCTGGGTCACTCTTCACCCATTAATAAACAAGTATTTAATCAACAAAGTTTAACGGGTCTTTTATAGATAAATTTTAGAGGAGCAGCATTTGACCTAAAGTTTAATTTCAGTTAGAAAAATAGCCCGGAAAAGTAAAGTTTACTTTGTGTGCAGATGCGCGTAAAAAGTTTTAAAGTTTATAATTAGAACGCTTAAACTTTAAAAATATAAAGAAAACTAAAGAGTAATAAAACTATCTCAACATCGTAAGTTATAAATATGACAGAGCAATTCAATTTGTTTATAATAGCAGCGAAGAATTTTGACATATGATGTGTTGGGTGTGTTTTCAACCCTTTTCCGCCCTCAACATATTATATATTAACAAAACTAATAGCGGAGATTATATAACATTATAAATTGTTTTGCCATACGACAAATCATACATTCATGCGTAATGATAATAACACCACATGTTATTCCGAAGTAAATAATCATTTCCTGCGCCACAAACATAGTCGATTCGCGGGTAGTGTGCCTACGCATGGAATATTTATTAATGGAAGCAAAGGCAAGTGACTAAAAATAAATAAAATAATTTTGACGAACTTATGATATTTATAATTCAAATACACGTAATTTTCATTGTTTCATGCTAAAAACTGTTTGATTCGGAAGAAAAAATAGAAGTATAATAACAAAATCATACAAAAAATTCTTGCTTCATTGTATTAACTAAATTTTAAATTATTCCAACTACAAAATCGATTAACTTATCTATCATATTGTAATTAATACGTTTTTGCTATTCGTATATATATATAATATACGAATATTCGCAATAAATGAACTTATAATACATGATACAATCGTTTTTAGTATATTTTGTGCCATTATTTCAACAATATTGTTTTCGTTACTATCAGTATTTTGACCAAAAATAACATATTCATAATATGTATCACTTTATCTTTCATGTTGCATAATATTCCATATGAATAGGTGGACATTACTGTGGATACAAACGAAGCGAAAATAATAAAATTTGACACCACAGAAATGAGCACACTATATCTTATTTTCAACTATTTGGTAAATTTTATATTTCAACACTAGACACTCGCTTTTATAAAATCTTGTAGGTTAATAATTTATCAATGTAAAAGTAATGATTTTCAATATATATTAATATACTATGCAAATAAGAAAAGTAATTGAAATGTGTTTCTTTACAATAAGTAAATAAGTTATATGAATTACGAATGTATTGGGCTTTCTACGAGAAAGGTGTAAAAGCTGCCAATCATGAAATTAAATATTCTATTTTTAACGTGTATTTTTCTTCAACTTATAAAATGTTTTCTGTGCTGCGCATTTCCGCCTAGTTTGGCATGTTATCTTTTTCTTATTTAAATGAAATTTTAAATGTAATATAATAGAAGTATAGGAATTAGGAAAATTACCAGTACCATTTGCAACACTAATCAGACATTAATTAAAAAAAAATCCAAATGACATGTCAACTTAAAAACCATAAGTGATTTGTAGAGTGTACATCGTGATATTCATGGCAAAGAATAGTGAAATTGGAAACTAGAATCACGCTTCCCTGGTTAATATGGTCTTGTATATCAATTGTTGATTTAATTTATCAATTTATATTAAACATTTATGAGCTGTCAATTTGTATCGTGATTATCATTTATCATTTGTGTATGAATATTTACTTTGTACGGTCTCAATGTTAAAAATTATCCTGATCAACACAAAAGAAGTATTCAAATCAGTAATTAAAAATTATATGACTGACATAATTATATTTTACTTTCCTTTAATTTTAACACGAACTAGTAAGAAAATATTTAATCAGTTTATACTTTTCTATTGCATATCAAACATCCTCTAATGTTTAGCATGTTGTTGAAAGTTACTAACTGCTATTAACAACACGTCATTAGACTTATAAAAAGCTTTTATGTTTGGCCCCAAGTGTTATTTTACTAATGAGTAACTACAAAAGTAGTGCACTTCAAAGGCAACGTTTATAGGATTCTCGTCACTGGCAACCATACAAATTCTCGCATTACAATACGCCAAAAACCCATCACTAACATAGACGACAAACAAAAGCACCATTTATGCACCACCGGATTCCCGATATTAGCCCAACACGAAAAATGTTTTAACGAGTCAAAAGTAGATATATCGCGTCCGATGTTGCGACCTGTTTGTCTCGCATAGTTATTATAAAGTCATTATAAAGCACACAGAATGTCTTCCTAGTAGTATGATACCGTAATTTTTTCGATAATAACCTTTGCATTTCTAAACCGACGCTGAATGCGATAAAAGTGCTGAGCTTGCATGCATTAAAATAAATCCAAATGAATTGCTCAATTAAAAAATGCATCCACAGGCGCGTGGGCGATAAAAAATTAAATGCAAAATATTTTACGTGGCGCAACGAAGTTTTATTACCTTGACGTCGGGGCGGCGCCGTTTAGTTTTGTTATTTTTGATTGTCGAATATGTGCAGAACGTGAAATATTTCAAAAAGGTAACGCCGGCATCCGGCTAATACGCATTTGCATAAAGTGTACAACTTCAGATTGCTTTTTGTGCACACTGTGCACCCACACGCGGATGCGGGGCAGCGCACGGAGGACACGGGGGTCACGCCGCCGCCAATTTTCTCGAATGCGCATTAAAATATGCATATTTTAATGCGCTGCCTCGCGAATATAAAGTTAATACTGCCTCCTACGTATTCCCACGTCACGTGTACGTGAGCGTTGGCGAATTAACTGGACGAACGTGGGAGTTGGCACGACAGGGGGCGGCGAGGAATAAAAAAAATATATTTATATATAACTTCAATTGGTTCTGAGAATAGTTTTCGTATAGTTATAATAATACGGCAATGATATTATCAGAAAAGTTGCTCCCCGTGCGGAATATCACGAAACGATGCGACAAGCAACAAGCAACAAGCGCTCAACGCAAACTTACATTGTGTGTTGGTTCTGTGCGGGCGCGTGCAGCTCAATCGAGGGATGTCATATTTACGAGTCCATCGAGTATCGTTTTTCATTCAATTCGCCAGCCAAACGGTTTATCCACCAGTTGATAGCGCTTACACCCACACCGAACTCACCCCGAGTGCTGCACCGAATTGCTTCACCGTGTTACGTAAGGCGCGCGCAACACAGCTTAATTAAATTACTCAAAACAACAATTAAATTTTAATTACTGCCAAACAACAAACCGCCTGCTCATAAAAACTTTCCGCGCGAAATGTTTGACTTTCGAACCGAATAAATACAATCACTCGAAGTTTGCTGAAGTTTGAGGACGCGCACGACTCTTCGCGATTCCAATGCGGTGGCGGTGGCGGCAGCATGCGCGTCGGTGACGGCCTTCCATCAACTGCGAGCGCGGCGCGCAATTCGCGCCCGCTTTGCCGGCGTACCTGTTAACCGCCCCCGTGGTGCGTGCGCGGCGGCCGCGCGCGCGATAAGTGCACTCACTCGCTCTGTGTAGGCACACACCGGGCGCACAGGTGCAAGATTACTGCTACCTTCCTTGACCTTATCGCCATCCGTTTTCTTTTGCGTAAATTAATAATCGGCGGGAGCGCGCAGGATGCGGCGCGAAGATGCCGCCGCCGAAGACGATATCGCATTTCTAATCGAAATCGATTTCATTACCGGACGCTTCGGATTGCGCCCCGTGCGACTCCTATGCTCGTCTGATTGAAAATGAGAAATTGAATTATTGATAAATTAATTAATCCACGGTTATTTCTGGTGTTCCGGATGTCCTGCGAGATCGATGCGCGCCGCTTGCCAATATGTAATTATCACTGGCATGGGTGTTTTCTTGTTTGGTTAAAAAAAAAAGGGTTCGTCGGGTGTGAATTAAATTTAGAAAGACGATTCTGCTATTATAAGAAATTTAACAGCATGTATTTGTATAAATTTAGGTATTTAATGTGAAATTGATCCAGAACACAGTTTTTCATACGCAATTTGAATTTATTTAGTGTGCATACATCATAACCCAACCATTATGTGTTTACATTATAGCAAGACTACGGCAACATTTGCCTACATTGCCCACAATAAAACAAATTTCACAAAAACAGAGAAATGTTAAAAAATAGTCCATCAACAAGCATCAATAACGTAACATACTTTTTTCTACTTCCAGCATTAAATACGATTTAGAGACACTAAAAGTGATGCGTTATACATGGATAGCCAAAGCCGTTACTAAAGTACTTTATCTTACATATTCCAGTAGTGTGCAAGCAAATTTCACAACAAAAGTTCAAATACAAAAACCTCAACGTGGAAATAGAGTGGAAGTGAAAAAGTAGCATAAGCATCACGTGGCTAAACATTGTTAAACACTCGCTAAGCTTGCTCTCAATCATTCTCGTGACAAAAACGCCCGTTAAGCCACGAGATACTCAATATACTATTAGAATCTTCAACTTTTATGTACAACTTCAGAGCTGTGAAACTTGAGTCCAAAGAATGATAAGCTAATCATTTTGTTGTATAAAATAACGAATGGTCAATTAAATGTGTCCCAAATTGACACCAGGAAATATGTAATACACGTAGATACTAATACATTACGTTTTCGTTCGCATTCGACAAAATAACTACCACTTGTTTCACTTATGTGCTTCGTTTTCACTTACCCCACTTCACCACACGATAAACATTACATTATTAGTTTTGAAAGAAAACATGGCATCGTCAAAACTTACCAATTTCATTTCCTTCGGACGCCAGCAGATAAAATTTAAATATTGTATCCTATTTGTTTATTTATTGATGACTGTACAAACCTCGTTAAAATCAACCAGTAAGTTTGTTCAGCACTGTTTGATGTACGGCTATTAATAATTAATTGAGTACTGCCTCGCAATGTCTACATACAGTCGTATAATGCAATGGCAGTTTTGAAGTAATTACAAAAAAGGATTCGGCTTGATTTGAAATTAAGAAGCATTTCATCGGATGGCACACGACGCGCGACGCTTGTTTTGCAAGTAGAGTAACGATCGACGTGTGCAGCGTATGAACTCGCGAGCGTAAACACGCGCGAACAAATAGCCGCTCAGTTTTGTATTCCGCGTACATATCGGGCATTGCGTCCCGCCGGGGTTACCAATTGGCAGCGCCCCAAACTCGCGAACAATATAAAACACACAAATTTCATTACGAAACTAGTCAACACAATTCTTATCGCGAGAAAGCATACAACTGCCTTTCGGAGTACTGCTAGAGGCATTAGATGACATGCACATCCTCGTGCCGCGTTTGGTAACCCTCGGACGCACTTGCCCGGCACAAATAAATCCAATGCACAATAATTCAGCGAGCGTGTGCAAGCAGACTGCACATGCAGTTACTAGAGCGCGTGCACGACTTCTTTGCTTCCCTCTTTTAATTAGAAGCGTGTAGGCCATACGGTGCATGTGCGATCGTGAATTATTCGAAAATTACTCGCTGCGAATGCACCGAACGGGACACATCTTTGTTGATGCGAACGTCATTGTTGTGAAACTTTGCGCTCCAAAGATTTGCTCATTAATGTAGCAAGACTGAATATGCGCGGCGAACTAGCGCAGAACTAACAAAACGAAACACTCATGTCAACAAGTTGCATTTGCAAGACGCTGCAGAAACAAAATTAAACAAAAACGTAAATACTGAATTACATTAAGTTAATTATTACTTTGGAGAAATTAAGTCTGTGGTTATTGCAGCGCGAAATTTGCAGAAGAAAGTCTCGTTGAAGATGGAGGGTTTTGTTGGTTCGTTTTTGTTTTTCTTTTTAGCGCTGCGCAGGAATAGTTTACCTTTACCCGAACGCTCGGAAAATATTTTCTTTGCCTAGCGTCTTCTGCATTCGCAGCCGCTTGTTTTCGTGTGCAAATTTCTCCAGAGAATTGTTTCGAAAGGAAAAAACCGACGTGGAAATGAAGAAAGCGCTAAATATGTTTCAACTTTGTTTGCTCGATGCCGGCGCTGTTAGTTTTATTACTATCATGTATTATTTTATTCTTAATTATGTGCGATGTAGTTTTCTCAGCAGTCACTCCTCGGCTGCTGCAGCACCTGCATTAATTTCGCGCGGAAATGAAATTGAGAACATTTGTTTAAGTTATATTTTGACATCCGCCGTATTTTATAATTTATCGCATATTTTTGATAAATATCGTTACTTGTATTTGTTTTTATAAGACACAAAAAGCAAATTTAAAAGCAAAATTTGTGAAATCGGTGTTGGGAAATTAATGATTGCTTTATAAAATAGTTACAAATTGTTTAATTTTTTTTTCTACTAAAGTACTTTAGTCACTGGCTTTAGTCATGGGGTGGAGCTTGCGCCTGCGCATTAAATTTTGCAGTTGTCTGCGATCGAATTTCGAAAATTTAAAATACAAAAGTTCAGATACAAAAACCTAAACGTGGAAATAGAGTGGAAGTAGCAAAAATAGCGTAAGCCATGATTAACGCTTGCTACGATCGCTGTTGATCAATCTCGTGACTAAAACTCCCGTTTAGCCACTTGATACTAAATATACTACTATTATGATTTTCAAAATATAAAAATAATTATTCCTATAAATTGATTATATACTCGTCATAGCTGAGTATGACTCTAAGTGAGCGTGTTGAATTGAAAAACGTTAGAAATGTTATTAGAAGCGGGTAATTTGACAAGAAAAACGCCAAATAAACAGTCGTGAGCAAACTTATACCACGCGCTCACAACCATCTACAAAACGTGGCATAAGAACTTGTTCTACTTAATTTCTATCCATATTCTGAAAATAGAACTCTCATTTAGATACGAAGAAAGGAAAACTTATGTTATAATATTGAGCAAGTTGATAGATTATTGTTTTTACTCGAAAACACAGACAGCAATGCTAAACTTCGAATCAACCCTTATGATAAACTTTACGATGTCACTTTCGTCTGTTTTTGTGGGGTGTCTTCCCGAATTGCTTCGCCTCGAACGCAAATAAGCAGGGCGCGGAATTTATTAAAATCCCCGGCACGAACACACACGATCTACATGCACACTGTTCAATAATAAAGCAATGCGAAGCAATGAAACATTACTCAAGCGTTGGCGGGGGCGGAGGCGGCGCACATAACGATAATAAATTCAGCTACGCGTACGTGCCTTATCGCCGCGCGCGAATCAAACAAGAACAAAGATATAACACACATCTTGCCCGGCTCGACGCAAGATGGAAGAAAAAAAAACGCCACGGAAATATCGGTCTTCCGGCCGCGACTTTCGGCCTTCGAACAGCTTAAAAACTCATCGATTATACTTGCGCTCGCACTCATCGCGTACAATGCCCACTATTGTGCTGTCAACGTGTCCACACATGAAAACGGATTGCACCGCCCCCGGCCAGATCGCCCACGCTGATGTAGATCGGGCGGAAGTGTCGCTGTCGCGCTAGCGTAATCTATCAATTAAAAAGGGAAAATTCTCGGTCCGAGTTTGGCGCCAAGGTTAAAAGTGCACGCTGTTGAATATCACATGGAGGCACGTTTCCTGTATATTTTTGGGATATGGAATTAGCATTTTGAATAGGGTATTGGGTATAAATATTTTGGGTAAATTTTAAAGTAAATTTTTGATGGTCAGTAGTTTTTGGGCGTTGAAATGTCTGCAGAAGTGATTTTTACTTGTGGGACACAAGTAATCTTCTGTACTTGCTTTGCAACCCATTGACAAATCACAATTTATATATGACTGAGTCATATCCTGTCATTAACTGAAGAAGAAAAAGACTTAAATTAAATAATAAAATAACACAAAAGTATTTAATTTATCAAATTAATTAGCTCTATGTTACTGGTAGTGATCTCGCCATCCAAGCAAAGTGGTTCCGCTCTTTTCAGAATAATTAACACTGGATACCAATGAACCATATACCCATGTACATGTTTCTTGAAATTCATGAAATGAGAACATTTCAATTTTTTTTTGGGTTTTTGGAATGTTTTGTCCAATATTACGACCAACCAAAACCAGAGCTTCAGAGGCTGTTCAAGATCATAATATTCAACAAATCGATGTTCAATCTACAGAAGCCTGTGCTGTCGCAAGGACAAGAACCATGTCTATCCATGTTAGGGTCAGTAAACTGATTAACAAGAATTCTTTAAAATACGATGCGCGACTTGCTGTGACACGTGTCTGACGTATCTGACGAATTGTCAAACAGTTAGTAAAAAAGAAGCTGGCCGATACAAACAAAAAAAGGTTAAATTCACCCAGTTTCATCTAAAGTGCAATGAGCAATGTCACTCAGACGCTTTAGTTTTATCTTTATTTACAATCACAACTTTCATATAAATAGTGATTTATCCGACTCAGATACTTAGGTATATGTCATCTATTTGGATATGGATCTACGATTCACAGGATTAAACTCAACTGCCAACAATCAACTTGTGATTGAATCGTAATATTTTACTCTGCCATTTAGGCAAGATTACACTGCCAAAATTGAAAATGAAAACCTGTTGGCGAAAAAGCCGCTATGTATTTGCAGTTATGATTAGAGTGCGCCTTAACGCAATGATTGCAGTTGCAGTTTACAAGCCCAGCCGTCGGAATTGCGGCTCATCTCGTACGCTCGAGTTGATTTTATCAAGCGGCAATTACGTCGGCCGGCAATAATCGTAACCGTAACAAAGCGCTGACAATAATAGAAAATAGCAATAACCGTTGTTAAGTAAACTATTCGCACTGCGGCGTGGTGAGCTGAGTCGCCTCGATGGTGGCATTGAGATGTTCTTTGCTTCTGGAGTGCGCACCAGGCCACAACCGGCGCTAACTCGCAAAGAAATTGGATGTCGAGCGAGTCGGTACGCGTCCGGCGTGTGGCGGCAACGGCGGCGCTCACCGGGGCGAAGAGTTAAATGAAATTTATGATAACGCTAAAAGCACACAAAGGACTTTACGTTGAAGTAGCTTTATATATATATATTTTTTGTTTTGTTCTCGAGGCTATCTTCTTACTACACATTCGTGGGGCGGCGAGCGTTGTCCCGGCTTTCAGTATTCCCTTTAGTGGAAATGGGCGCCCATTAGATCAAGCGAGCGACCAGTGGTCTCGGCCCGGCGAATGCAATGAAGTACTTACGCGTACGTCACGACGCACGATACATAATTGAATTGCTTTTGTACTGCCCCTGGCCGCTGCCACCACCCTGCACCGTGATTTCAGTTTGGTCAACAAATCAAGCTTTGCGATTCGCGAAAAATGTTGGAATGGAGAGGATGCGGCGCCGAAATCAAATCTAGCGAACAGTCCTTCGTATTTGCTTGCTGCAACATAATCAAGTTATTTGGCGACGGCAATACGATCGCGCGCACTACGCCTCCGACGTGGCTGCAAGGGCGCAGTATAGGGAAAAGAACCTCCTCTGAAAGGTGAATCGATAAGCTTAACCTCGCGTCTCGCTGTAATAACAAGTAAATCCAGCGACGGCGAGGCGCATAAACCTCCTGAACGCATCGCTACTTTCAGTCGTGTAATGAAAGATCGAAAATGCACTATTCCCACGACGCCCAGCGCATATCGTCTAATACGCAGCGCACCGGATGCACTCAGTTCATCGGGGAGCGCGCGCGCGCGTCTAAAGTAAGCAATTATTTACTGCAAAGTTACACGAAGTTTTATCAACCTACGGCATATTAAGTTTGATCAGACTAGGCTGCCTTCAGTCTCGTATTGCCATAACAACATGTTGCTCGGCGCGTTACGCAAACTTGCAAAAATATGTTAATTTCGTGTCGCGGCGAAGTTCGCAGTTAGCGCGTATTTAGTGTAATCGCATTCATGCCTTATCGCCGCGGCCAACCTGCGAAGCCTTTCACATAAACTTCGGTGGCTTCTCTTTCCAAGATACCAGCCCACCGTCGAACGCGGAAGAAATTCGATTAAGTTGTCGCCGCAGAGTGCCAGCGTGAACTCTTTCATTCTTAACGTGGATTGTATGCGGGTGATGCACTCTCGACGGCAGCAATAAACTTATGCAGAATTAGTTAGTAATTTAAGTTTTACAACCCTACGCAAACTCATAGGCATTCCTTAAGAAAACATCGACTTTGTTGGTTCAGTTTAAATTAATCATAGAAAATCAATTCATAAAAATCATTTTATAATATGTTGTTCATTTTATAGCAAAGTGCTTGTAATTGAATTTCTAAATATAGTTCTTTGTCACATTATACCGTTCTAATGCAAGCCAAAAAGAAGCAAAGAAAGAAAGTGTCTTCAACGGCGGAACTGAAAACTTGTCAAATGTCAAAACGACGAAAATTTAATAAAAAGCATCTTTCTTCAATAAAATAATAATTTCTACGAATATGTAAAATGCTCTACAAAGAAAATACTCGAATAAAAATATTCTCAATAAAAAAATCATTTTAATCAGTAATTTTAGCAATATGAAACCAATTGTAAGGAAAATTAACATTTAATTTATATATAGATCGTAATTTTAAAACTTCTGACAGATGTGCTGGCATTAATAAAAGTGCTGAATAACTGATCTCATTCGTTGCTAGCCAAAGCAACAGTTAAGCAAAAGTTATTTTTTTCATTTCGTCATCCATTTCGCAAGAATTATCCTCATCCGCGATGAAGTCGAGCGCATTCGCCCTAAGCCGCGCGCCCGACGATCGCAGAAAGAATAGGTCTTTCATTACGAGTCGGCAATTGCCAGTTAGCGTCGGCGATAGTCAGTTGACTAAATGGTATTAAGAAAGTAAAAGTTATAATCCTCGCCATGTCGCGCCGTCGCCACGTCGTGCGCTCAAGAAGCTGTTTAATGCGTTCGCCGTCAAGCAAAACTGACAACGATAAAGTGCCCATTTTTAGTAGGTATAACGGGCGCGCGACGGGAACTGGCCAGACGGGAATTAAACGCGGCGAGGGCGGCAGGCGGAAGAACGCCGGGGAAGAAGCGAATAACGCAAATGTGATTAAACGTAACGCTAACATTGTCGTTTTTCCCTTGTTTTATTATTCGCTTTGCAATGCGGAATTTGCGCCGCGCGTCTCGCGAAAAAGTGCGCTCGCCGCGGGATTGAATCGCGCCCCGCCGCTAACTGCCGCCCAGCGCAATGTTAACGCGATTAAAGTCGATGTTTTACTTAGTTTCGTCGCGTTTTAATGCGCGCCACGTCTTCCAGCCGGGTGTTTTAATTCAGTTATCGAGAATGCGTCTACAACATCGAAATGTTTGCGTTGGGCTTCTGGTCGCGCGATTGCAAACAATGCACACCGACATATATTTATCTTTGCGGCTTAAGCGAGCGCCTCTCGCCTGCTTTCGGACGAGTGCTTTCCCAGCATGCACCGTTTGCGCATAGGTGCTTAGCATATGCCTCCTCCCTCGTAGGTCGCAGGTGAGCGGGGGTGCTCATTTCCGCCCGGAGTACAGACGGAACTAAAACTAGAACTGGAAGTGTGCACGGCAACCGTGTCGCACAATTAATACCGAATGTATACACACATAATACACCGTGCTAAAATGCTTAGGCGTAATAGCAACGCCCCAGTCGCCCATTACACCGAATTCAAATTAAATTCTAATCGTCTTACTTATGCAGGCAGACCCCGCCACGCGCGTATTAGCCCGCTTCGTAGATGTAAGCATCCATTACTTCTCGCACCGGTAAAGCCGTTCACGAAATAATAAATTTGTTTCCTCTTCCAGCTTTCCAGTATTTCATCCGCTCATTACAATCGCGCTTATCGATCGCGCACTTAAAAACAGTCGGAATATAACTGGAAACAACATAAGCAAGCTAGACGGGATAACATGTCAGGATGGAAGAGCATATAATTGCTTCCAATAGAATTTAATTAACTTCTGGGAGAATATTCAGCTGCAAATGTTTAACGTAATTTTGTGTATCGACTGGGTCAAACTACTGCAACATAGGTAAACATTTGACTGGAAATAATATAAATAAGAAATTAGATGCTTGTTACTTGCAGTTTTTTGAACTATCTTTAAATAATGCCTTGGTTGAGCATCTTGGTTTCTCTTTAACGGCAATTGTATTCCCTTCGGATTGTTTTGCTTTGTTGTTTTACTGAACGCGAATTATGAAAATGTGAGAGTGCAAAGTCAGCTCTTTCCCTTGCTTTTCTTGCACTAGATCCAATTCCAACGATAAATCCCAACAACTTGTCAGTCATAATTGAAAAGCACTGACGCCACCTGTCAAAAATTTGCCGAATTGCAGAATTGTCATGGTGGTACTTGATGTGAGTTTTGTTATTCTTATTTTTCTGTTTCAGATTTCCACTGGTTTCTCGATTGTACTATTTCTTTGCCTCATTCTTTTATTTTTACAGTAATTTCTAAATTATCGCTAAAAATAAAATGCAAGCTGTATCGACTGTGTCGTAATCAAATCTGAAGTAAAAATGGAAATTCGTGCTTTTAATAAATTTTAATTAGCGTTCGAGAAAACTCCGACCAAAGTACGAAAGAACGCGACACAATTTGCACTTTCACCTACGCGCGCGCGCAATAAATTATCCCGGAAGCAGCGTCTCCTAAGTGTAATAAATTTCCAGATGATATTAATGCAACTCCATTGTTCCGTGCATTAATAGAATTGTGTTAAATAAAAATTGGTTTAAACTAATTAACAAGGCTTGATACCAGATTAGAATGAAGTAAAATATATTTATTGTTTTTGTCAAATTTTAATTATGTATAAAGAAAGATTAAATTTGGGAATTTAATGTTGCTATTTTAATTGGCTAAACCATTACGCGAGCTGTGGAAAAATAAATTACTCCTTCGGGAGATGTTTTTAATTTTTTAGTCAAATGTGCATACTATTTATAACTTTATAGTTTTTTTTTGCTCAACTTTTATTAAATTAGTACATTTTTTATAAACAATTAATAATTAATTTGAAATAAAAAGATAAAGACGTTATTATTATGATAAATTTGAAATTTTTACACAAATGTTTAAACATGTGTCAGATTGGTTGCCTATAGTTAGACAAAATATAAAACACGCCAAATAACAAAACAATAAACAGGTTTTATTATAATTTAGACAAATACATTATAAATACATGACTTAACATTATGATGCAATGATTATTGTAGCTGTTACTTGGCTAAAACTTTAATTTTGCACAGTAACGAGACATCCTGTAAGATGTTAAAATGTCAAATGTCAGTTATGCAACATGGTCGCCTACATAAGCATGTGTATGTACGGTACCGAACACGTGAATCCTCATTCCGGCTCATTTTTTACGTTTCTAAGCGAATAATACTAGAATTACGAATAGTTTTAATCATGTACAGACTCCTGAAGCTACGGAGTACGAATATTCAACCTCTGCGAGGCGTGTCCTTTGCCCACACCCCGCTCATCAACGAACGAACGTGCAACCTCTGCAACTGCATCCACAATGCAAGCAAGACACAAGGTAAAACCGCATTCATCGGCATAAGTTCCCTATGAAATTATGCAACAACTCTTCAAATGGCATCTCTTTTATAGTGTTGTTCCAATCTACGAATACAAGTCCTCACATCGCGCCCAAGAAGAGCAGAAAGAAGCGGATTGCCAAAAAGAACTACACTGACATGCTAATTGGTTGGGTTTAGGTCTAATAAGTTTAAATTTGTGTGCCTAATTTGCTTGTATTTACAGTAAATGAATCATCAGCATCAGAGGTGAAAGCCCGGATCCGAAATCTGAAGCCCAATGATATTAAAATGCTTGCATTGACAAACTTGAAGCTGAATGAATTATATAAATTGAAGCACTTTCTTAAGGCAGATCCTGCTGGCAGCCACACTGAGCATTCTTACAATAATCTTGCTGATTTCTCAAATATTCCACTACTTGAAGAAGTGCAAAATGTCCCAGTTCTGCCCAAGATTAACATTGTCAAGCCCGAATTAAAAATATCTAACAAGCAGCTAGAAACTGAGATTGATGAGGAAATGGAGGCTGTTATTGAACACACAGATGAATTATTACACAAGTATGTATATACAGTCATTTGTGTTCTATTTATAAACATATTTTATTGTTTGCAGTGTCAAAACAATTCCCTTTCAGCCTGAGATAGTCGAAGAAGAAGTCACCGAGACGCCGGATATTGTTGAACAAATCCTCAAGGAAAACAAACAGAAACGTGAAAAATTCACTGGTGATCGTCGTGCGCGCGAGGAAGTCATTGCCAGGACGCTCGCCGCTTACATCGAAGTGTGTGCGGGGTTGAAGAATCCTCAGCGTGGATTGAACGCGTTGACTTTCTATCGGCATAAGTGCAAACTTGGCAAGAGTCAAAGCGAGCGCTACCCGCCGATCAAAAACGTCAACGTATTCAACGCTCTCTTGAAGGGTTTTGCGGCGAAAGGTGACTTTCGTCGGTTGCAAGAAATCCTCAGCTTAGCAAAAGAAGAAGGCGTGAAACTAAACGTTCAGAGTTATGCGGCGATTTTCGAATGCATCGGGCGCGTGAATTTTAACGATAGTCACACACGGTTTATTCGCATGTATACAAGAGAAGCGCTGCAGAATGAAATCACTTTTGATCGAATCATGAATGAAGCGACATTTCTATACGATCAGAGGGAGAAAGTGATCAGCGCGATGGAGACGCATGACATTAATTATAAGCCCAAATATTGGGAACCAAGCGTGCATTATATTAATGGTTTGTTGAACGAGCTCAATCATGAGGATCAGAAGAAAGGATTGCAGGAGTGCAAGCCGGGGCAGCCTGGAATCTTCTCGAAGCAGATGCTTACGGATTTAACACAGAAGCAAGTGGATATTGAGAGGAATGTTATGGTTACTGTAAGTTCCTACGTTTTTATTCTTTTTCCAGTTTTATTTTTATTTAACTGCTTCTAATAATAACATACAATGGTTGCAGGTAAAAAGCATTGAAGCTAAAGCAGCACCCACAGAGGAAGTACTTCGCAATCGAGAGGTATGGACTGAACACACGAAACTCTGGGAGACAGCAGCTGGTGAAGCATTCAATCGCGATCTGTTAGCTTTATCTGCACAGCGCAGTGCCTTAAACAACGATTTGTATTTGCGTAGCATTCCCGTAAAGGACATTATAACGATTATAGTCGACGAGGCGCAGAAGCTTGCCCAAGGCTCCGAAACATATAGCCCGACGACTACAATGCTCTACAGAGAATTAGGATCTAAGGTATATGCACGGTATAAAGTTCTAAAGAAACAAAAGACAGGTGTGCTTGATAAAATTATTAAAGTGCACAACAAATATGTCGAGAACTATGCGGAGTCGCACCGCAAGTTAAATGTGTTACCAGAAGACGTCGATGTGTTGAACGGACGTCAGAAGTGGCAATGGGCTGAACACAGCTTTAAACATGAAGGTGCTACGATTCCCATGGACCATCAGGAATGGACACCTGCCGCTCTAATGGCCATCGGAAAGTTTCTCTATAATATTATCATGCATGACTTGAAGATTGACGTTAATTCACTTAGGGCTAATAGTAAACACAAGTAAGTACTTGTATCCTATTGGAATGTAAGTGTATGTGATTGTGAAATGTTGATTTGTTCAGAAATTACCTGCCGGCATTCTATACGATATTCCGAACACAAGGCCGAGCTATCAAAGAAGAAGTCAAGCCACATCCGGTGCTGTCAAAGTTGTATCGCGCATCGGTGCCTGAAACTCTAACATTTCCTGCCTACGAATTGCCGATGAAGTGTCCGCCGGTACCTTGGACTTCAGTTACAAACGGGGTTATCTGATAGCCCCCTGCGAGGTGGTGCGACTGCCGAGTCAAGCCACAGCGCAAAAGCAGCGCATGCACCAGGCATTGGCGAATCAATTGTACCCAACCCTAGATTCTCTCAACCAGCTTGCGTCTGTTCCTTGGAAGGTGCACACGAAGATTCTCGACGTCATCATGAAGGTTTTCCGGGATGGTGGCTCCGCGAAACTCGACGTTCCCGAATTGCCTTCATCACTTCCACTGCCAGCGGCTACGCAGGCCGATATGTCGAAGACACAGAAACACGCACTGTTTCGACAGAGGTTGCAGTATCGAAGAAAGAAGGCCGAAATGTACTCGCTATGGTGTGATTGCTTATATCGACTTTCCCTTGCTAATCATGTAAGTTATGAACTTAAACAATGCGAATTAATTGTTTCAATATTTAAATATTTACAGTTCCGCGACGACATCTTCTGGTTACCACACAATATGGACTTCCGCGGTAGGGTTTATCCCATCCCTCCGCATCTCAACCACCTTGGATCGGATTTAGCTAGATCCATGTTAATTTTCGCCGAATCGCGTCCATTGGGTCCGAAAGGTCTCGACTGGCTTAAGCTACATCTTGTAAACCTCACCGGGTTAAAGAAACGCGATCCAATTGATGTTCGCCTTGAGTTTGCCAACAGTATTTTACCGGAAGTACTTGATTCAGCCGATAAGCCGTTGGATGGTAAGCGATGGTGGGCGGAGAGCGAAGAACCCTGGCAAACACTAGCGTGTTGCATGGAAATTGCAGCCGCACTTCGCTCTCCAAATCCGGAGGAATATCACTCACACTTTCCCGTCCACCAGGATGGCAGTTGCAATGGCCTGCAACATTATGCCGCTCTGGGTCGAGACAGCGCCGGTGCTTTTAGTGTCAATCTCTCCCCGGCGCGGGTACCACAGGATGTATACAGCGCTGTAGTGGTGCTTGTGGAGGAACGACGACGCAAAGACGCTGAGAGTGGTCTGGAAATTGCGAAAGTTCTTGACGGCTTTGTGAAACGGAAAGTGATCAAACAAACCGTAATGACTACGGTGTACGGCGTGACGCGTTTCGGTGCGCGGCTACAAATTGCCCGGCAGTTGAAAGACATCGATGAATTTCCCAAGGAGTTCGTTTGGGCCGGGTCGAATTATCTGACTGCGCGGACCTTTGAGTCTCTGCGTACCATGTTCACGTCAACGAGGGAGATTCAGGACTGGTTCACGGAGTGCGCGAGGTTGATTTCATCGGTTTGCGCTGAGAACGTTGAATGGGTTACGCCTTTGGGTCTACCAGTGGTGCAACCATATCTGCGGTATAAGAAACTGGGCAATGGGTATGAGAACTTTCACATGGATTCCTACGAGAAGCCGAATGTCATGAAGCAGAAGAACGCATTCCCACCGAATTTTATTCATTCGCTGGACTCTAGTCATATGATGTTAACGTCGCTGCGGTGCGAACGCGCTGGTATCACGTTTGTTTCTGTTCATGATTGTTATTGGACGCATCCATCGACGGTGCATATTATGAATCAGGTAAGAAATATTACGACCTAATTTTCTAGAACCTTGTAATGTAATGAATGAAAATCACGAATTTGCGAATTTTAAAATTAATACACATAAAACACTAAACCGACAGTTACTTATAGCATATTTCACCTATACGTTAATAAAATGCGATTATAAAACATTTTCAGGTCTGCCGAGAACAATTTGTTGCGTTGCACTCGGAGCCAATCCTAGAAGACTTATCAAATTTCTTAACTGAAAAGTACAGCTACCAAGCTGAGTAAGTTCAACCCCCGAAGCGATGACGTCTATAGTTGTTTAACTTTATTTTTTATTTCAGTGAAATACAAAATGATGGATCTGTGATTGAATTGACGAAGAGAAAGCTGAATCGAGTGCTGCGAAAACTGCCGAAGACGGGAGACTTCTACATCGACGAGGTCCTGGAATCTGTTTACTTCTTTAGTTAGCAAACTTTAGGATAAATAGTTCACACAGGTTTATTTTACGTTGAGCTCGTAAATACCAAAGATTTGAGTTCAGTTTAGTTTCTTTTTTTTTTTAACTTAAAGTAAATACACAAAAATAACAGTCCACATCTCCCATATATCGTACTTCAGTGTCACATCATCGCTCGCATTATCGCATACCTTTAGTCATCTTTGTACTTAAATCATTAAAACTTAGCCTAAACATTTATCTAAAAATTGTATATACATAGAGCTGAGTTTGAGTTGAGTTATATTTTTAATGAACACATTTAGTTAGAACTGTTGCGTCGTTTGGCGTCGAGTGTGTGGGTGCGTTCTAGAAGGGTGAGTTCATGCCGAGCTTCGTGCCAAATTCCAAACGAATACGCCTTTGTTGTCTTAAATTCATCCTGTAGCAGAAAAGAAGAATGAAATCAGAAAATTTACGTACTGTCTAAGTGCAACTTACTTAATTTCATGTCGCTTGACAAGTTCGGCGATCGCGAACGTTAAAAGCGGCGACAAGAAGACGAAGATTAAAATAAGCGGGTCGAAATATTTCTGTTTGGCGCTAGGAATGTCCACCACATTGACGAAACTGTAGATGGCCTGCAGTAAGACGAGTGCGACCATTGCGACCACCCATAGAATGTTTGTGTGCGGTGATCGTGCCCAAATGTTATGCTCACGATGCACAAAACCAACCGATATGACAACTGAAAGATGAATTAGTTTCAAATCGAACATTTCTAGATGTGAGCCTTACCAAAATGCAGCATCGCGACCAATACACAAATATTCTGCGCGTATCGCAGCGTGAAACTGTGCTCGGTGTCCACCCAACCGCCCGTAAACGTCGCATTCGCCGTCTGCGTCGGTAAATAATACAACAGGCACGTGCAATCTTCCTGCGTACATATTTCGGAACAATACGCTGACAAAATGCTCGAGAACGTGATGAGAACAGCGAAGATCGCCGGCAGAAACTTTGCCCCGTAGAACCACAAGACGAAGGTGGCCACTTCAGCATTGAACACGATCTGATTCTTCTCTTGTGGCTTTTTCATAATTTCAGGATCGGTCTTCGTACCCATGAGTGAGATGCTGAGAATCGGGATCACTACACAGATGGACCATAGCACGTGGCCGGGTGTGAGGAGGGCAGGAAGCATAAGCAGCGCAGCCGCCAGCTGCATGATGCTCAGAGAAATGCAACAGGAGACCCAAAATTGTGTTGTATTCCAAAGGTTCCACATGTAGTGGCGGGCCACCATTACCAGATGGAAGATCGAGATTGGGTGCTCACGCTTCAATGAGAGTGAGCAGGCAATTGAGTTGAGGTAGCGAGAGATGTCGATAGGCGAAAGCATGCCTTCGACGGTCTGATGACAAGTTTCCATGGTCTGACAGGTTTGCGGGTATATTGGTTCTACCCCAATGCTGAAATATTACAACAAGGATTGTAATCGTATGAGAAAAGTTTTTTTTTTTTGCTTACCTTGCGTCTGCTTGCAGGAATATGCCCATGTTTTCATTGTTTGCGGAAGACCCCATGACGCAGACCACTTCGCCATAGTCTTGCATGATATGCAACATTTCTTTGGTGCTGGACGGTGTGCAGTCGGTGAAAAGGGATACCAGCAATGGGACGTTATCAATGAGTTCAATATGTGGTCGGATTTTATCGATGCCTCGCGGTAACTTTGCCTGCAATCAATTTTGTTCGATTTCTCCTTACATATGGAGCAGAATAATTTTCCTACCCGATTGCTCATGTCGAAGTTAATTGGCGCACTATGATCCGTGCTATCGGTGAGACAGCTCAGGCTCTGCCAGTCGTGCTGGTCCTTATCGTCGTCGTGCTCATCCTGCGACAGCTCCTCGTCATGCGGCGCCAGCGAATGTACCTCGTTGTCGAACTTGACGACCGTCTGCTCGGTGTTGATGGCACTCGGCGCTGAAAAGCTCATCGTCCTGGACGATTCCAAATTGCTACGAATTAATAGCGCACGTCAACGCAGGTTCGCTCCAACGAGAGATAGAGAGTTGGTTGAAGAGAAGAGAAGGGTTCGGGCAACGGACTCGTGTCTCGCACAGGTTCATCATCGAACAAAGGCCATAGAACATCCAAATGCAAGGCAAGAGTGACATAGATTCGTGTATTTGGGGGGGTTTTGTGTTAAGGGGCACTTGGTAGGGAGGGCAGAGGTCACATAGTTCTGGATACCTATCACGAATATTCTTGAATTCGTTTGTCGGCGTGTCGATGGAGTACAGGCGGCGGTCGCTCTGCGACTTGCGGCGCAAATGCGCAGCCGGCGCGCTCCTCACGCCACCCGCTCTGTCCGACGACGACGACGTCGTCGACGCATGTTAGTAATGTAAGAGAGAAACACAACAGAGCATCAGACATCGATCGATCAGTCTATCAGGTACGCAAGGCAGTCCAAACAACCAAAGAAACCGAACTGAACATGAAAATGGGCGAGGAAAGAAGAAGCGCAGTTACAACAGCCAAGAAGCATGCGATAATGTTGCGTGTGGGGCGGTGTGCGCGATGTACAAATATATTACTTGCTGCTGATGTGGTTGCGGTGTGTGGTTTACCTATTCCGATCGCTGAGCAACGAAATGTGGCAGTTCCATCCGCTCTCGAGGCCCATTTTTTCACTGAAGACGCGCGACCGCAGTTCGTTCTCCTTGCTGAAATGCACAAACCGAATGCAGGCGCGCTCGAGTTGCTCAATGAGGTGTACCATATCTGCCTGGGCCTGGTACTGCATGGTCACCATACCAATCAGTACCTGATTGCATTGCATGTCAAAGCATGAATCTGCGTCCTGCACTTCCGAGTTTGGTGGTTCATTGTACAATAATGAATCTAAACAACAACAATAAAAATATATATTATCAAAATGATTAACATTAGAATTTGTTTACCTGTGCTGTAAAAAGGACCTAAAGCCGTTCGAATTTTCGGCTCCAACACACTTCGACATTCCCAATGCACCGGCGTCGGGCTCCGGTGGCACTGATACAAATGCCTAGAATCACTAGGCAATTCTAAATATACATGGCTGAGCTTATCACTGACTGCCTTCGACAAGGGACGGTAAGCAAAGGCCGTGCAGTAAGCCGTAAGGCTGCAGCGCTGATAAAAATCTTGGATCTTCTTCCGATCGCCGGGAGTCAGTGGACACAAGTCATATCCGTCCCAATAATCAACGCAGGAATCTAAAATAATATCAGCTGTTCCTTGCGACAACAATTGGATGGATCCGCTGCTGAGTTCTTTTACCACCACAGCAAACATGTGCGGAAACGGAAACTTTAATTTGGTTGACATGCTCAATGAGCGTGCGTATTTGTTATCCCTGCGGACCATTTCCGGTTGCTGAAAGTATATACGTGGAGTGCTAATTTACAATTTACAAAATTGTCCACATACCAAGTGTCGAAACGTAGACAATTGTTGCTCCAAGGAGAAGATCTTCTGCGCCTGTTCGACGAATCCGATTTCCCTTGCCAACTCACACAGACATCGTCTATTTGTGACTGGAACTAAATTTTCGTTATACATAGCTTCGCAAGTGATGTGCGAGCAGAATTGCATGTACGTTGTCTGAGTGTCCTTGTTACAGGTGTTTAGCAGAATGGCCAGACCCAACGGCTTCAACGAATTTAAATGCTTGTGCCATTTCATGTCGTCAAAGTGTAGCTTGAAGGGGTCCTTTGGATTGTAGGTCACGTCCAACACCTCTGCGATTGAGGTTCCCGCATCTTCCTGAAATTGCGCGTCGGCGGTTTTGTCCCCATCCGTATTGAGATCATTGAGGTTCGCCAGACTTGAGGTATCAGATATATTGTCGGAATTGTGTAAGAAGAAAACTTTCTCGGCAGTGGGATTCGGCCAGGAAAGGATTCCCTTCTTGTCCACACAACAAAGGGCCTACATACAGAAAGTTTCGTAAATATTACTTATGTTTCAATTAACCAGACGGCTTACCGTAACGGAACCAAGAACATGCAGAATATTAGCTGTTCGCGGTAGAATGGAAGACCTTCCCATCATGATTGATTTAAAATGATTCCAAACCGACTTGTAGTCGATGTTGGTCTTTGGCAGGATATCTGTTTTTGCGTCCGCATCGTCGAAGAGCTCCGTGGTGGAATCCACCGTGCTGGTGGTGTCAATGGTCTGTTCAAAGAGCGACTTAAATATGGCCATGCCAATATAGTTGAGGACATTCCACGCGATCGGGAAGAAGATTGGTAGCAGCGGCAGCAGTGTGCTGGTGGGCACAACGAGGAATAAGTCCAGAACAGACGCTTTTCCCACCGTGCTTTCCAAATACATAAAGCGTACGAAGTTAATTACCAAAATCAAAAACCCCACTACGGGCAGCAGTATCCGCTCTATGACTTTGATCATCAACAAATGCCTTTGCTTATTATTTGGTGTAATCGGCCGATCAACACCCTGCTCCAAGGCGACTTTCAAGTTATCCAGATACGGCGTCTCCAACAGTCGATACTTCCTGTTCTCCAACGGCTTGCGTGCCTTGGGAATACTGAAAATCTCGTTGGCATTTTGTAGTGATGGCCCGTACACTTCCTTAGCGTGAAGCAGTGGAATGTCACACTTGTCCAGGGCCTCACAATACCCAGGACTGTGTTGACCCGGGCGGACAATAATGATGTCATCCTTCACCAGTAGTGCCCAGGGCAAATTCACCACCCTGTTATCCCTGTATGTCCATTGCAAAGTCACACAAGGTGAGTAGGGTGTCCCCAACTCTGGATAATTTGCTGCATTCCATTTGATTGTGTTAATTTGTCCTTGGATCTGCTTGACCAGAAGTGAAACTGTGTCGGCAATTTCGTGCTGCCGCAATTTATTATCGTACAGTTCAATAAATACAGCAACTGAGAGCAGGGCTACAATGAGTAAGGCCTCATAGATGAGGATGTCTTGTTCGTCAGAGCATACATAGACCAGCAACAGTGAGAAGGCACACAAGAGTAGGAAGAGTGCTGAAATCCAATTGATGTTTGTGTAGTGACTAGACTGATGACAGGAACGCTGCAGCCAGGATCTTTTGTGTCTGAAAAACAAGGGCGGCGAGGGTGGACGTTAGGCGATTAGGTGTTTATGTTTGAGACCTGGTTGTGTAACATGTCAACAATGGCTTGAAGGAAGCCAGCGAACGTACTTTTTGCTATGGGCTGTGTTGAACTGGCTGACGGTATGCTCGATGTCTTTGCAGAGGCGATGCAGGGCGTCCTTGGTGGATAAACCAATATTTTCCTCGCGGGGATCCATTATTTTCGCGATATTTTACATTTTACTGGTGTTGCCGAGGTTAGGCATGTACGGGTTTAACAGGTTTAAGAATAGATGCGCATCAATCACGGATGATGATGGTCAACATTATGTTCTACTTTCAAACTGCAGAAAATAATAAATTGCAGTTGAATTAATGAAATAATACGGAGTCGGGCCGTTATTGATGTCTTGAATTGTTTAAATTTGGTTTAATTGAAGCTAACGGCTAAATTTGTCAACTAAATTAATTAAGAAGGTGGAATATTCACGAAAACTAACGCTACAGGATAAAGCTTTTAGTATGAAAATATCTTCGGATTACAACGCAAATATTTAAAAATTAATTCATAAAGTACAACGTTATGAGTAACAAATGAGTAACATGTTTGTTACGGGAAGAATCTTGTTTAAATTTTGTTTCAAAGTGCAGTGGGCAACGCTTAAACTCGACGTTAATGTATAAAAAAAATTATTTCATGATTGTTTATGAGTTCATATGAGAAAATAAAAATTGTTTTAACAATAACAAAAGTTATAAAATTGTTTCACATTCCTGTAACTTGTCGGCGCTGTCGCAGTTGCCAGCTGGTTAACAGCGATCTCAGCCTGCAAGTCGGCAACCGAAGTTGCATTACGTCAAATTATGGTCAAAATCTGACGTGGACGACTGACGAGCGGACGTCGCGCGAATGGAGTGTTGTTCGCTAGTTGATTTCGGCGATCATGTGAAGGCGGCCGCGAGGCCCGTGCAAGTGTAAATCCTGTGTGCACCAGCAAACTACCCACGCCATGTCGCTACCCGGCAATGGCATCTTCGTGGTCAAGGGCGAGATCTCGATCATCCTCACCGCGATGCGGCGGGGCAATCGATGGTCATCGCACCACCAGGACGATGATCAGGACCCACTCATCAAGGCGTTCCAAGAGCTGAAAGATCTGCTCAATACGCTCGAGGACCTACGTCTCATCGACCCCGTCGATTACCTCGCTCCTTTCCTGAAAGTCATTCGTTCCGAGGACACCACCGGCCCCATCACCAGCTTGGCACTTTCTGCTGTCAACAAGTTCTTATCATATGGCCTAATTGGTAATTTGAGCTGCAATTATATTATTAATTATATTTATTATGAGCTATATTGTGTAACTATGTGCAGATCCTACACATTCATCAGTTCCGCTGACTGTACACAATATTGCTGATGCTGTTACACATGCCAGATTTGTGGGGACTGATCAGTCTTCAGATGGAGTGGTGCTGATGAAGATTCTGCAAGTGTTGAAGACGCTAACGTTGTCACCGGAGGGCGCCGCTCTGACTAATGAGAGCCTGTGTGATATAATGTTGTCCTGCTTCAGGATATGTTTTGAGACTAGATTAAATGGTGAGCATCCCCTCAAACATTTCAAAATTAGAAATACTTATTTTGATGTTTTAGAATTGTTGAGGAGAACTGCTGAATATTATCTAAAAGATATGATTCAGCTCGTATTTATGCGCCTGCCGCAATTTCCTGAAGTGTTCACTGGTAATTTCAAACTTCTGAAGATGCGTCCTGGCAGTATGGAGCAAACCAGAATGAGAAAACGCAGCAGAGGCTCAAACAAGATGAAACATAAAGGAAACACGGAGAAAGCAGGTATGTTTCTGATGCAATATGAATCAAATTGTGCAATTATTGATCTTGTGATCTTATTTCCAGAAACTGATGAATCCAATATAATCAAACCAGCAAGTGTGACACATACAGCTGACAATATCGTTGATATGCAAGGTTCCATATCGCAGGCGATTCCTCAAGAACAATCCGCATCACTCGAGTCGTCAGCCTCTGATGTCCAATCCTCGCTCGTTGTTGATGAGAATCAATCAGCCAGCGACGAGACGCAAACACTGCTCACATGCGACACGATGTCCAGTGAGGATGCGCCCAAGAAAGATGACGCTGTTTCCATCGACCAGGTAGAATCCGCAGAACTCTCCGTCCAACCTGAGCTGAAAGTCGTCGGTATTGAAGGCGAGGCAAAGGAATTAAAGGAGTTGAAGGATAAGGAAAAAGAAGACTACGTAAACCAACGCGGAATAACCTTTACGCCACAGCATCCCGATGATATGGTGCTCATCCCCTATGGGCTGGCATGTGTCTACGAGCTATTCCGCTTCCTAATCAGTCTGTGTAACCCGCACGATAAACAAAACACTGACGTGATGGTGCACCTTGGGCTCACCTTGCTTACCACCGCGTTTGAGGTAGGCGCTGATAGTATTGGCAAGTACTCCTCGCTGCTGGCGCTTGTCAAGGACGAACTGTGCCGTAATCTCTTCTCATTGCTGACCAGCGAGCGTCTGTCGGTATTCGCCGCCGATCTCCAAGTGTCTTTCCTTATGTTCGAGTCGCTGCGCACTCATCTCAAGTTCCAGCTCGAGCATTACCTCACTAAACTGGTGGACATCATTGTCAGCGACTCGCCGAAGGTCACCTACGAACACAAAGAGATTGCGCTCGACAATATCTTGCAGCTGTGGCGCATCCCCGGTTTCACTACCGAATTGTACCTCAATTATGATTGCGACATGTACTGCTCGAATCTGTACGAAGACCTGACGAAACTCCTTGCAAAGAACGCCTATCCTATCACACAAGGTGTATACCACACGCATTTGTTGTCATTGGACGCATTGCTTACTGTGGTCGATGCTATAGCCAAACAGTGTGAGGAGAAGAACAATTTTAAATCTCCCGACGTTGTTGCTGAATTGTCTGCTGAACAGGATGACACAATAGTTGAAAGGGGTGATCACGAGACTGCGGAGAATTTAGATATTCAAAGTTTCATCGGTAAAGGGAATCAGAGTCGGTTGAAAGTCAGTGAGAATGTGCCAACGCGAGATGATCTTGTTGCGGTGAAAAATATCAAAAAATGGCTGCCGACGGGCACAGAGTATTTCAATCACAAGCCCAAGAAAGGCATCCAGTTCCTTCAAGAGCACGGTGTGCTGAAGGCAGAGCTAGATCCGCACGAAGTCTGCGTATTTCTCCGCGAGAATCCTAGCTTGGATAAGAAAATGATTGGTGAATACATTAGTGGACGCAGTAATTCAGTCATCATGCAGGCGTTCGTGAAAATGTTTGATTTCACTGACACGCGTATTGATGAGGCGTTGAGATTATACTTGGAGACGTTCCGGTTGCCAGGCGAGGCGCCTTTGATTTCTATGCTTATGGAGCACTTTGCCGAGCACTGGCACAAGTGCAACGGGGAGCCATTTGCAAACGCGGACGCTGCGTTTACGCTAGCTTATGCCGTCATTATGCTGAACGTCGATCAGCACAATCACAACGTCAAGCGGCAGAACAATCCGATGACAAACGAGGATTTCAAGAAGAATTTGAAGAAAGTGAATGGCGGGAACGACTTCGATCAGGATATGTTGGACGAAATTTATACTGCCATTAAAAACGATGAGATCGTGATGCCTGCTGAGCAAACCGGCATCGTTCGCGAAAATTACTTGTGGAAGGTACTGCTGCGTCGCGGCGCATCAAAAGACGGTACCTATATTCATGTGGCGAGCGGCGCATACGACGAGGATCTATTTTCACTCATCTGGGGCCCGACCGTGGCGGCGCTTTCCTTTGTCTTTGATAAGTCCGAAGATCCGGCTGTTTACAAACATGCATTGTGGGGATTCAATCGATGCGCCTTTATCAGCTCGCACTTTTCAATGACTGCAAATCTAGACATGCTGATGGCGACTCTAGGCAAGTATACCACACTTAACGGTCAACCGAAGAGCGCCGCGCTTACGGTACAGTTTGGGCTGAACACCAAAGCACAACTAGCGCTGAAATCTGTTTTTGAGCTAGCGCATCAGCACGGCGAAAACATCCGCGAAGGTTGGAAGAATCTCTTCGACCTTATTCTAACGCTCTACACGCAGAGCTTGCTTCCGAAGTGCTACACTGAGGCGGAGGACTTCATTGATAAAAGTGGGCGCGTTGTGCTTGTCTACGAAAATGTTCAACTGCAGAAACAGGACACCGGGTTATTTAGCAGTCTGTATTCATATATGGTATCTTCGGAGAATATTCCGAAGAACCCCAATCAAGAGGAACAGGAATTGATTAAGCGCGCGAAGGAGTGCATCACCGAGTGTGGACTGGAACAAATTATTACTGATTCAAAGTTCTTGCATGAAGGTTCCCTGCTAGATTTGGTCAAGGCTTTGATTGAATTGTCAAGAGGTCCAGATGTAGAGAAATCGTTAGGGTACAGCTACAACGAGAACGTGGCAGTATTTTTCTTGGAGTTGCTGGTGAAGGTGGTGCTACAGAATCGCGACCGGGTAATGACGATATGGGAGATGGTGCGGGTTCATCTGTACACACTTGTAATGAACGCGTCGCACTGCGACTATCAGTTCTTGTTGGAACGTTCCGTTATTGGCTTGTTGAGGCTTGCTATCCGACTGATGCGCAACGAAGAAATGAGTCCGGTGGTCCTGCAGTCGCTCCGTATGCTCCTTATGTTGAAGAGCACCACATTGTATCGGATATCGCGACAGATTTCATTTGGCTTGTATGAACTTCTAAAGACCAGCGCTCAGAATATTCACACCAGCACAGATTGGTCCATTATCTTTACGTTGCTGGAATGTGTAGGTGCAGGGGCACAACCGCCCAAGCCTATTGTGAATGAAAATCAAGCCGAAAAAGGTATGCTACTTATATTACACATTGATATAAATTGAATATTATAATGCATGCAATTTTTACTCAATGAAAAAGTAAGCAACAAATGCCAAGATTGTAAATATACGAAAAGTATTAATGCATGATTCGATATAGCAATAAGATTTTATGAGTTGATAATAATAATGCATGATTACGAAATTGATTATTGCAGTATTTGCTTTTTCGGTTGTTTTTGTTCGATATATACTTAATTTTCTACTAGGTGCGAAATCTGATGGTGATGCGCCCGCAAGCAGTGAAGAAGAAACTCCGACAGCACCAGATCGTGGCTATCAATCTGATACAGACGTCAATAAGTCTCCTGTGCATGCAGGTCGCTCTCAAAGTCCGTTGATAGTTCCCGTAAGTCCGATTGGTTCGCCACAGAATAATTCCGGTGGATGGATTTTGGTAACCTGAATATTACACATCATATAACTAGGTTTTCATTACTTCCATCTTCAGGTTGGAAATGAGGGAGAAATTCAGCCGATTGTAGGCCGTGCGCCTCCAGCGCATCAATACAGTTTGTCTTTGGACCGTCCTTTGGGTCCACACGATCCCTACGGACTTGTTAAATGCTGTGAGAGTTTGGCGTTCCTGGTGCGCGATGTCGCACACATAACGCCGTATAATTTTGATAACTGTGTGCATTGCATTCGCACTTTCGTCGAGGCCAGTTTACACGCAAGTAGGTTCTTGTCTTTCTATTTGATTACCGAGAAAATATTAAAATTTTGTTTATTTTATTGTACAGATAAGAGGCGAAAGCATGATTCACGTTTGCGTCACAAGAATCCACGTAAATCTCATCGAAGTCCTGCGTCAAGTCCTGATGAAGACGACAGCGACGAGGAGGCACTTCCAGGCGCTTATCATCAAGTTACATTTCAAGTAATTATTGGTACAATTTAGTTGTCTTATTCATAATTTACTGTTTTTTTGTAGTTGCTGGATTTAATGCATACGCTTCACACACGGACCGCACAGATATTTAAATGGTGGGCCGAAGAAGGCGGTGAACTCGCACAGGAGATATCCTTATGGACACAGGGATGGTGTCCTTTACTGCAGGGTATTGCGCGGTTATGTTGTGACCCGCGAAAAGAGGTAGGAAATACATAATCTAAGCATATAAGCAAACATTGGTGAAATTCGTTTGGGTTTTCAGGTTCGAATGCATGCAATCACATATCTTCAGCGTGCCTTGCTTGTGCACGATCTACAGACTCTCACAGGGCCTGAATGGGCTGCATGTTTCAACCGCGTGCTGTTCCCGCTCTTGAATCAACTCTTACAGCCGGTTACGAACGTGAAAGACTTAGCGGCCATGGAAGAAACGCGAATGCGCGCCGCCACCGTTCTTTCGAAGGTTTTCCTCCATCACCTAACCCCGCTATTATCCTTGGAGACCTTCTCTCAATTGTGGCTCACGATCCTAGAATATATGGATCGATACATGAACGCTGACAAGAGTGATCTGTTGGCTGAAGCGATTCCAGAGTCCCTGAAGAACATGTTGCTTGTTATGGAGTCCGCAGGTGTCTTCCAAAACTCGCCGACTCTTTGGGGCTCTACTTGGGAGCGCATTAATCGTTTCCTACCCGGGATGAAAGAAGAGTTATTCAAGGAGAAGGAGGCGAAGGAAGGCAGAGATAGTAGTAACGCCGCACCTCAACAAGCGGAATTGCCAGCACCGGTTGAAGTAGTTCCCGAATTTCCTCGCAGTACTATTCAGGTCTCCCAACACAACATTGAAAACGCCACGCGCTCCAGTATTATTTTACAACCGCCCACATCAAATAGCATCAATTCACCACTTTTTGCTCACTTGGGTCAGGTATGGGATGAATAAATACTGTAATTGTTCTTTTGTTTTGCGTGCTAAATGTTAAGTAATTTGCCAGATGGTCTCGACACCGATCGGGCCGCCGACGGTCGTGACCGATTCAATCTCTGCGCCGCTGGCGGAATCGCAACCGTTGCAACAGTCGCCAGTTCATCCGCAAGTATTGCCGCCGCTTCCGACGCTAACTCAACCGCAGCCGCAAGGGGCGATTGCCGTGAACACTCCGGCAACCACGCAAGCGTACCATCCTACGCACACCTTCCCAGTGCTGTACGCGCCGTCCTTTCCCGGTGTACAGTCCGCAGTCGCAGTCGATATTCCACATCCACCCACTGGTCCACACCCACCCTCACTCTACACCGAATTCACTAACAATCCCTACAACTTTCCCGACAACAATACATTTCGGAGTTCTGCTCAACTCGATGCGCACTTGCCGCCTTCTCCTAATCACAATAATAACGCATTTGGTGAATGTCTACACGCAGATTTAGGCGCCGCGGTGGCAATGCCGGAGGACGCCGACAATGACGACACAGCGTGCAAGGCGAATGGTAATGTCTTCAGGTCGGCGAACTACTTTGCTACCGACTGCGACATTCCGCCTGGCTCTGAGATGCTCTTCGCCGGTGCCAAATATCCAGCCAACACCAACGACATTCCGCAAGTCGCCGAACAGCCGGCGCAGCCGCCGCCGCCGCTCGGTGCCCACTTCGATATTTAACTTGCGCTCGCAGCGTCCGCGCGCGCGCCCTAATCTATTCAAAAGCAAACATATTGTCTACTAGTCACCCATTCATCGATTCGAATTGTGAATGTTTTTTAAACCTATGCAGCAGTGACAATGCGTTCACTGCGTCGATTTTGAGTACGTGTGACGGGATTTACTACGATACGTGGACGTGCATTTAACGATAATGATGGAAACAAACAAGTAAACAATTATTAAATTATACATAACTGATTATTATTGTTGTATAAATGATTAAACAAATTAAATGTTGGTTGTACGGATAGAAGAATAACACATATATTGTAAATACGATGATAATATAAACAAATTTTAAATTAGCAACTAAGCGCACCGAACGTGCCAACAAGCATATATAGAATTGTTATAAACGAAATATTGTGCACCGAAAACCGGCAAACTTTTCTAATTACGGCGCGGTTGACGTTTCTGAAGAAAGTCGCGGCTGCTGAAAAATCATCGGTGACTTTCCAATAGTTGGTGACCGCGGTTGGAAAACGGTAAAAACCTTTGGTGGTTTCTCCTTGGAGTCAGCCAGTACCGTGTCTTTTGTGCCTGGCTCGACTTTGCGAATGGGCGTCATGAAAATCCACTTTACCACCGGAGTCACCCGGAACACCTTGCAGAATTTGTCGTTCATAATGCCGTAGATAACGGGATTCAAACCGGCGTTGATGAACAGGAATAATTTGGAAACGAACCATAGAACTTGGTACAATCCATTTGTCTTAAAAACGAGGAAAACTAATAATGTATCTTGCTGAAATTGGGTAGATTCTTACTCTGTTGACAACTGAATCGTCGTCATTGCCTCCTTTTATAAGTTGGTTGCGGTAGAAAATTAACGCCGAGAATGGCACATGGCAGATAATGAAGGCGATCACGACGATAAACATTGTTTTCGCCACTTTGGCTTTGTAGCGTACTTGAATCAAACTCTTTGTTTTGTTCTGAACGTAGTTCTGATATCTTGCCAGCTGGAAACGTTGATATTATGTTTAGTGTAGAAAAGTAAACTTCAAATGAATATTTTCGGATTACTTGCAAATGTCTGCCCACTTTTTACTACATCATTTACCTTAATGAATATTGTTATATAGCAAAGCGTCATTGTGATCAACGGAAACCATACCATCATGGTGATGATAACATGCCAGTAGATGTTGCTTACAATCAAATCTTCGGAGCAAAATCGTTCGGTAAAATCCAACCATGTTCGTTCCTTAAAAAAACAAAAAAGGCAAATCAGTAACGAAATCAAAAGGAAAGTTATTTTATGATGTTGAAATGTAAGTTTTTAAGACCGTATAACTCCGGTAGAAGAATAAAGGGGATGCAAAGACCAGTCCCGCGAGCCAGGTAACCGCCATTACTATTTTTGCTCCATTTCTGGTCAACCGGGTTTCTCTTGGCAACACAATCGCTGTGAGCCGATCATAGCTAATGGCAGCTAAGTTCATGACACTGGCTAACAATAAAGAACCTGTAAACAGAGCGAAAAATACTTCTTTGAATGGTAGACGATGGTACAATATGCTAAAACAAAATTACATTCGATTGCACCTTCAACACGACATCCAAAGGCGCCCAGTTGATAATTCTGAAAGAAGTCATAGACTAGAAACACCCAGGGATGAATCAGAAGTGAAAGCAGATCCGCCACCGCCATATTGCCGACAAGAAGATTCGTCGGTGAACGAAGGTGTCGGTTTTGCGCAATAACATATATCAACGCTAGGTTGCATACTATTCCCCAAAATACCACCGGCAAAAACACAGATGTCTTGATGATTATTTCCGAGGGTTGCGTGATGTTCCAGATAAGTTTGATAAAGCTCGAATTTTCCTGCAATTTAAGCAATAATTAGCCGTTTTCCAGAGCAAATCAGAATAGTAAAAGAATAAATTACCGGAGTTGGTGTAGCTTTGAGGTCGCTACGCACCCCACACCAAATTGGCTGGTAAGGGGTGAAATCCTCGCGCAAGCTACCACAATGCATGTCTGCTTCTTGTCGTCGCGCGCGATCAAAAATAGCTGATTTTAGCGCGTATCGAAGCAGCGATAAATAATCAATTGGCAGATGGATCAATTAATTTCAACAACGCGCGGGGCGAAAATACAAACGCTTTATTGTTTATCGACTGCTTCTATACGAGGCAGCGTTAAGAGCTTGGCCCGTGAAAAAATCTGATAACAAATAATAGTTGGCAAACAATAATCGATAATTGTTATTGTGATACGCACGGGAATACCAGTATATTTAATAATATTACGAGCATAATAAAAACGCTAATTTTGCTATTTCCGGAAAGCGAATTTAATTATCTGCAAACCATGCTTCTCTATTATATTTAAGTATAATTTTTTTAACAGTCGACAAATTTGCAAAAAGAAAATCAAAAATAATCTTGCCTGCTCTTTGCTTTATTGTGATTATTTCCTCTAGACTTAAATATAATTCAAGTGACATTTAATAATCATTTCTTCTGGATATTGTATATTAAGACTGGATAAGAACCAAATCAGAATATAAGCATTCGCTCGCATCACAGTTAATTTATTATCAATTATATATCAATCATATCATCAATATATAAATTTAGAATTTAAAATAAAGATCAAAATATACATATGTACAACCTAATCGGCGTGCTCGTGCTGCGCCTGTGCTTCGCTCTCGCGCCAATTGTGTTTCACCGACTCCACGATCCATCGCCACCACTTCGATCGGCTGAAATAATAAACCGCGCAGAATACAATAAAGCACCACGAGGAAACTAGAAGGATGTCTGTCTCATTGCTGGGCGCACTCGCCACCGGGCCGGAAAAGTCCGCAGACGTGACAAATGACTTCTCCGCTGCCGGAATGCCTGTATTCTTAGTGATGAACCGCGAGAATTGCTCCAGGGTATAGTCGCTTTCATTAAACTTGTCGATGATCTTGCCATTATGCAGCAGCAGCAGTGATGGCACCCCAACAATTCCGTTTTGTGTGTTGAATAAGTGATACATGATTGCATTGATTGCAACCATTTGCAGGTCCGGGAATGCTCGAGGCAGCGCGTTGAAATGAGGCGCTGCCAGGCTTGAAAATGGGCAATGCTTTGAGAAGAACAAAACACAAAGACAATTGCCTGGTGTATCTCTGCTGGTTATGTTTGGGTTGGGTAGCAGTAACTTAATGAGTTCAGTGTCATTGACTATCTGCACTTGTGATGAGCCCATTTCCAACAGGCAATTTACTTGTTGTTTTATTGTCACGTTCGTCGATTCATAGGAGAATGTAACTGTTGGTTCATCATTTGCTGCAGATATGGTCACATTTTCTGAGATGATGTTATCGGGGGCTGCATCCACATGTTCAAGAGGTGGAGGAGGTTCATTCAGGTCAACTTCATCCTGGAATTCTGTTTCTATCGTAATTTGTACGTGATCTGAGACACAACCTGTAAGGGATCACATAAATGAAATGAAATAAATGTTATTTCTGGAGGGCTAATAACTTACCGGAAATAATAAACGTAGAAATAATTAATAAACAGTAAAATAAATTCCCAGTACTCATCGTAGGTTATTGCTTTGGATTCACAACCTTCCCACACACCACACAGGCGCACACAAACCTCGATCGGCGCTGACTGACGTTAGCACAGGGACGTATGAAATTTGAAAGGCAATGAAATTAATTATGTTTACTTCAATTTATTTTACTTCGAGTTAAATCAAACCGATAAAAAATCATAATAGAATATTATTTAGCTTTTAATTCCTCTGGCATTTCCTCCCCTTTCAAGCCACAGATCAAATTCTCTACTGCGAGCATCGCCATTGCATAGCGGGTGGTATACGTCGCACTACCGATGTGCGGAAGTATAACGCAGTTTTTCATCTTGAAAAGTGGACTGCTTAGCGGAAGTGGTTCCGGCGTGGTAACATCCAATCCGGCTGCTCCAATTGTTTCATTTTCTAGCGCTTTAATCAATGCGTCCTGGTCCACAACCCCGCCTCGTGCACTATTCACAAATATAGCAGTCTTCTTCATTTTACTGAAGGCTTCCTCGTTGAACATCTCCTGCGTGTCCGAGTTCAACGACGTGCAAGCGACGACATAGTCGCTCGTCGCTAGCAACTCATCTAATTCGACCTGTTTTGCGCCCAGTTCCTCTTCAAGATCAGGTCTGGGAGTTCGGTTGACATATAATAAATCCTTGGGTCGAAAGGGTTTAACACGTCGCATTACCTCGGAGCCGACTGCGCCCGCGCCTACAACTCCAACGGTCTTACCAAGCAAACCCATACCGCACATCCAGAACGGTGACCATGAAGACCATCCTCCGGTTGCAGCCTCTTTGCTGGCTTCCATCAATCGGCGTCCAGTGGCCAGAATCAAGCACATAGTGAGCTCAGCGGTGGCATCTTTCAGGACACCCGGTGTATAGCCTATCCTAATATTTTTCGCTCGAATGGCTGGGAGGTCTAAGTGGTCGAAACCCACTGACATGGTGGAAATCACCTTCAAGTCTGTTCCAGCATCCAGCACCTCCTGGTCAATTCTATCGGTAAGCAAGCAACAAAGGCCCTTCTTATTGGCAATATTGCTCAGGAGGGTTTCGCGCGGTACTGGGTCCGGCCCTTCCCACAATTCGACAACACATCTGCGTCAGAAACATTATAACCATATTAATGAAAAAGTATCTCTAACCAAGAATTGATTGTTTTGCAGCACTTACTGTTCCTCCAAACGCTTCATTGCTGCCGAATTTAGCTTCCGTGTGAGATAGATTGTCGGCTTGGACATTTTTCCGTATCGACGCACTCTTGCACTGCTACGGGCCTGGGATTTCGCCGAGAGAATGAAAATGCGAAAACTGTGCTGCAATAACTTTCCAAACATACTAGGTTTGATTTATCAGTGTCGTTGTAATTACCGCGCCTGTGTTATTGTTTACGCAATACACATCGAATGAGAAAAACGCATTAACAGGGACACGAACAGGAATTAGATTTTTAGAGCTGTGTGCGATCAGTGCGCGGGTCAAATACCGACGGGAATGCGCGCTTTAGCAAAACTCGATTCTATTATCAGTAAGAAATACTAAAACGTTAATTATAGAATCTTGTAATTGTAAAATACTAAAAATTTAACGCGGAGAACGAGGAAATATTTGCAGCAAATTTTGACGATGTGTTTAGAAAAGTAAAAGTAAACAAAGCGTGGATTGCTAGGAAACAAAAACAATATATAAATGGAAAACTTTTAATCATTGTAATTTCTAACAAGCCATGGCATGACTTCAAATCGCGCCTTAAAGAAAATAATCCTGCACTTAGTTTTATTCAATTTCATTGAATGAACATATTATATAATCTATGAAACTATTCCATACGCGCCCATTAATGACCACTAGGTCCAAACAAGCCATAAGCAATCGCCCCTAAATGTAAATAATCCTGTAATTGTTTTTCTTTAATTGCATTAAATGAACAAATAATATTAATGTATGAAACTCATTCATACGCGCCCATTAACGCCTGAACGTTAGGCAGCTTAAGTACAACTGAATTAAAATAATTTAGCGAATGACAATCCTGAATTTTGTTTTTCTGTGATTGATTAATTTCAACGTCAGTTCTAAATTCGCAATGGAGAATGATTACTTTTGGTTTGACCTTTGTCTATCGAAATTCTTGCAGGCCTTGAATGTGTTTTTCATCAACATTGCCACCGTCACAGGACCAACACCGCCGGGAGCTGGAGTGATGTATCCCGCACGTGCCAAGCAACCTAGGAGGTGAGAAAAACATTCAAATTAACATTTACATCAGTTTATACAAGCGCGAACACTACCTTCGTAGTCAGCGTCCCCAACCAGCTTGCTCTTTCCTTCGGGTGTAGTAATCCTAGTTAAGCCAACATCAATGATGCATGCACCTTCCTTGACCATGTGCGGTTTGATCAAACCGGGCACTCCGGTCGCAGTGATGATAATATCGGCCGATTGGCAATACATCACCAGATCCTCAGGCTTGGTATTTCGGTGACACATAATCGCTGTAGCCTCCAGACCCGGCAATTCATTGCGGTAGTCAGCATGCAGCATTTGGAAGATTGGCAGGCCAACATTCTTGGATCTGCCACAAACCACAGCTCTCTTTCCAAATGTATCAATACCAATGCTAGAAAGTACATTCAGAAATGTAACAGTTACGAATTAGTATACGACTTAGTTTTTCTTACATTCTGATCAACTCAATGACAGCCAAGGAAGTAGCAGGAATGAATGTGTCCTGATTGGCGACTAGTTTGCCAATATTGGTCACATGGAAACCATCAACATCTTTGTCCACATGCACTGCATTGCAGATCTCCCTCTCATTGATGTGATCAGGAACAGGCAACTGGATTAAAATACCATCAATGTTATTGTCATTGTTCAGTTCCTCGATCTTCTTCACTAGGTCCTCTTGGCTGATTGTACTGGGCAGTCTGACAGTGTCACTATCAATCCCCACCTCTCTGGAGGCAATCATCTTTTTGTTGACATACGTGCAGCTCGCAGGATCGTCTCCGACGAGTATAGCGCGTAAGGCTGGCCGTTTGTGGCCAGCAGCCACCCAGCCATTGATTTCTTCCTTGATTCCATTCTGAATGTCCGCGGAAATTTTCTTGCCGTCGATGATCTTTGCTGTTCTGTAAGCAAAAAATTAATTGAGATATTACAATCTTAACTTTCAATGCAACTGGCGTTTTTACGGTGTGAGAAGTCGAGATAAAGTTTTCAACGGCGTTAAAAGCCGCATTATTTGGAGGTTACGCACGCTCGACGCGAGTTTGAAACGTGCCGGATTACCTACATTTTGCTGCGTTTACCTATGGTACGTACAATGCATCAACAGGTATGACTCAAGGTGATAACAAATGCATATAATTCTTGCGAATTATCGCCGTAAATGCGTAATTATAAAATGAAAAAAATGCAATTTGTTTACCCATTGCACGCTGCCATGATATTGCGTCTTCTTCTCTTAAGATCAGTTGCGAGAAATAGCTTAAGTTGCTTCCTGCGAGTCTGCACCCTGCAAGCGGTGGTTCGGTACTGAATGCCAGCAGTGATCACCGCTCCAAACAAGCAAGCTCAACAATTTGATCCAGTATGCAGGCGTGTGAACTTGTTTGTTGAAAAATAATTGCGCGTACGCGCGCGCCGAGTATCGCTGATATCGTCTCTACGAAGTGATGTTGAATCAGATATTCCATGGCAGAAGCGTTGCGCGCATATTTCGTCGTCTCCGAAAGTTCGATGACGGCTGCATGTTGCTGGTTGCTTGTTCCGATTTCGGAGGTAATGACGCACATTTCCTCGTTGAATAACATCTTTATCGAAGAGATAAATTGCGTTCCTAATCAATCCGCCTATGCGCGGAGCAGTTGAGTAATATTCGCATTACGCTTTTTCCATGGAGCTGTTGATTATTGCAAAATTGTTTGCGCGGCTTTCGATTTCACAGATCGCCTTATCAGCAAGCCGTAGGGGGCGGCCTGTGAAATATGTTATTAATTAATCGTTTGTTAGTTACGACAACTTGTGTTACTCGTTAGTTGTTACTAGGAAATTGATATCGCCTTGGTGCCTAGTGTTTAAGAATGTGCTGCGATAAGCAAGAGTCGAAGCTATTATCTTTCAAAGATAATTATTTTAGGATGTGCTTTGAGCTCTGCTCCGTTGCGCATGCGCGTTTTTAAAGTTTGCTCTTCACTACAGATTTTTTTCACAAGAAAAAGGTATTTTAAATTTTGTGGTATATAAGTTTGGCAAAGAAATACTCAATAACGCTGAGATTTACCTATATTAATAACACATGCCAGTAGCAGACATAAATAAGTTGTAGTGAAATTGAATATTTTTATTTGTTTAGTGAATACGAGTACGCAAAATATAATTTTACATGTTTATTCAAATATGTACATCTACAATCCTTTTACTTTACACAATTATAGAAAAACAAATGTTTAAACCCATTTTTTAACATTTTAATTTTCATGGACAACATTCTTATCATCAAAATTCATTCAATGTCAAAGCAAATTTGCAAGTTGAACTGTCAATGTCATAAACCTGAAAAAGCAGGTTTGTGGTACAATGTCATAAACAAATTCCGGCGTTTTTCCAACAATTATTCAAACAATGCTTAATAAATAGCAATTTGCGACGAAATTTGAACGGCATTATCATCTTATCTAAATGGAATGCATAACTATCGTATATCGATTAGGCACTTCGGTGTTTGTGGAACAGTGGTTCATGGGGACACGTTTGTTTTAATTACCGCTTTATTTTTAACGATTCGCGCGAAAGAGGCAAATCGCCGTGCGTCGCCGTTGCGGTTTATTAACGACGAAAACGAAAATCTCTAATTAATTAATCGTTAAATTAATCATTCGGTCTCCCGTTGGCTAATTAATTTAATTAAAAACTGATATGAAATTCCAATAGACGGCGGCGGTCGGCTCCCCGTCCGTGGAACAAACATACAAAATAAAAAAGAAAGTGCGGGTTGTTTCGCGCTCAGCCCGTCCGATCGCGGCGCGCGACGATCGTACGTAAGCGTGATCTAAGTCCGCGCAATTAAACGTTTTGTGGCACGCTAATTAATTAAATAGACGCCGTTTTGGAGCGGCGGGGATTGAATAATTGGAGAAATTCATTCACACGCCGGCACGGCGGCACGGCGCGCTCGCGCTCGCCGGCTTCTGTTTTGCTTCTGCTTCGGGAACCTGCGTGCTTTGCCATGGCCGGCGCTATAATTCTAGTATTTCATTGCCAATGCAACGCAACTCGACCAAAACATCCTTCCTTGATTTTATTGCAAATTACTTTCTTACGTACTCGTATCGTCGATTCCTCGATTTCTATCTCTTCGGCGTGAATACCGCTTTTGTTCCATAACGAGGAAACGCGCATTGTTTCTATATTCCATTAAATGATTTTTCCTGTGTTTCAGATTTCGTGGACGTCTGGCATCATATGAGAATATACAAAACGGCGTAAGTGATACATGATTATTCGAAATACTACACATGAAATAATTATTTAAAGTAGGTACAACAACTTTAATAACAACTTTACCTGATCAAAATTATGCTGCAGCAACTTGTTAAATATTTACAACCGAAAAGAACAACCATTTATGCTGAAACTTAGGTTTGAACCACAATTACACATAAAGTTACTTAGTGAATTCAGATAATTCATCGTCATTGTATGTGCTATTTTTAGGACACAATTTGCAACTGTATAAACAATTAGATAACGCAAATTTAGGTAAATTTAATCGTTAAACTTAAGGTAAACTTAATAAACTTAATAGTTTTTTTCCTAATTTCTTCAAAAGTCAGAATTCACACGTAGTTTGGGTTACCAGATTTTATTTTAAGCACCTGATGTAAACGAATAAAAAGATTTTCTTAAATCTTTGAATTCTGCAGATGAACAAGATGATGTTTGATTTAATTTCTGGCGCATCCGAAGTAATACTGGTGACGAGTAGAACTTTATTTAGATTTAGATATAAAGTGGTTTGCGAGATGGCGCTATCAGTCTTAATGCAGAATATGTACTGCTGTTTATTTACTTTTGCCGCAAACATTCTGTGTGCATATATGAGTCATTGTGTCAATCGATTGATTGGTTATTCGCAACATTTTATTAAATATTGATTATGACAGGTACCTTTATTCTGCCGTGTTTTTTTTATCATCGCTAGAAAAATATTTATTTCGTGCAAATTCTGACTCACTATTTGTCTTCGATAGTTAAAAAGCCTGATAAACATGAAACGCTTGGTCCGTGAGAGCAACTTTTCCCTTTTTTTCTAAGTAGCGAAATATTCCGATAGGAATATAGCATTCTTGTTTTCAATTGTCTACCAGTTCCGAAGACGTCGGATGCCGGCGTATGACGGACGTGCTTAGTTTATTTATTGCAACAGGCGCACGCAATCGCGAAGAATTCGCACGGGTGAAATGTAAATATTATGACGGCGCGGCGACACGACGTGACGCGAAAGACTCACAGGAAGGAACGAAGGTGCTAAGGTGCAGAGGTGAATAAACAAAAGGTGAACGATGCGGCGCGACGCAACCACCAAATGCACGAAATTTCCAAATGCGCTCCAAAGACGACGCTTGAACATTGCTGGTACCATAATAAATAATGACGCGTTTACATAACGTTTGTCAGCAATCGATGCTTGCCCGTGTGCAGCCACTTTCTAAACAGATTATTACTGAACTTGTTGCGTATTTTTTTTTTGTTTGTCACTTAATGGACAGCAAACATTCCGATCGCATCGCATTGACCTCGGCATTTTACAAGATCGCGGCGCGTCGCCGCCAAGTCGCCGTAGACAAGAATATTCATCGATTCAGGAAAGCAGCGTGAATGTTCGATACATCGATGGCTTCGGCCATAACGATTATGACGAACCGGCGATCATTGGACAATCAAGGTAACGACGATGATGCGTCCGCACCGGGAGTTCTAACGATGACAATTCCCAATCGGATTTTCTCATTGTCCGTAAATGCGGTCGGAGCAAACCGCTTATTCTACTTATCAGGTGCATCTCTAGAAAGTTTTCCAACTTAAAAATCACTTAACCCTCTTCCAAAATCATCGCCGCATCTTATTCTACAGTTTGCATTATTTCTGCGCGCACAAAAGAAACCTTCTGATTCGTTTAAAATGAATAACGCAGAAAATTGCGGGTGCGCCTCGAATTCGCAATCGCCGTTTACTCGCGTCTCTGTTTTCATTTTCTGCCGAACACGAAGCGAGACAAGCGAGAAGCGACTGCGAATTAAATGTGCAATAACTGTGCGCGTGGCGCAGCTGCGCGTCGCGCACAATACAAATTATTATAAACAAAACGCAATCGCACTTGCTCTACGAGCGCCGCCGAATGCTAATCTTTTCCTCGTTGTTGCGTTTTCCTCCTGTGTTTTTTTTATAAATCGTTTTGTTGTTACGCTTTTATCGCGATTATTGTTGGCATATGCTAGCGTGCGCTTTTGTGCTGATTCCTGCTTACTGCTTGCGAAGAATATAAACGGCATTTGAACATAAACACAAGTTGAACATCATCATAAAGTTGTAATTACGCAGTTTTAAATGTAAATACAACTTCCATTCGATAGAAAGGTGATTATAAATATAGTATAGCTAAATTATTCATATGAATAATTAGTTTATGAAATGTGATTGTGATTTTTGTTTATCGCCGTTGACGACAAGATCTATAAAATTCGGACAATCGCATTCAGCATGACTGGCCCATGTCGCAGTCGGTGCACTCGGTAATCCCCAACTCCTCCTCGGCGCTCTTTCTTCGCGGCCACGGCTTTGTTGGGCGCGTTGCCGGCCAGCGCCTTGCACCGCTGCGAAGTCGATCCCCTCAAAGCCGCGCAACTCGCGAGTTTGCCTTCGCCAGCGCGGCCAAGTGGCGCTCACTCGTCGTCAGTCGATTCGTAAAGTTAGAGCGGCGCAGTTCGACGCATTTTTGCTGTCTGCCGCGGACGCGCATGTCAACTCCTGCGTCTGTGTCTTAAGCCAGTCGGGCGCGCGCCTTCGCTAGTTACTTGAAAGACCCATCCCGAATCGTCGCGTCTTCGGTGCACTACTCACACCTTCTGTCTTCGCCGGCCGATCGCAGGGTTATCAGTTACCACCGCGCGCACATGCTCGCCGCGCGTTCATCGCCACCACCCTATCAGTGATCAACGTGCGAACGTGCGAGAATACCCGAAGGAGAGCAGCAGGTCGCAGTTGGATTGGAAGCGCATCTTCGTTGACTTAACATTCTTTTGAAAGGTCAGTATTATAAGCGTCGATTCGGTCGTTTCCTTGTGCATATGTGTATGAATGCTGGTCGCACAGATGTAAAACAGCGCAAGAATTTGTTATGGCAAACAAATCGAAGGTGATTTATCGCCGCGAGTGGAGTTCGATTGCTTTTGTGGCTTGTTTTGTTATTAAATCGGCGGCTGTGCATGATTATATGCGCAAATGCACAAGTACGAAAATGTACAACTGGCTTGATTCGAATTATCCACTCGGGGATTATTCGCATTTAATTTATCTGAACTTGGTACTTGCATACACAATGAGTATTGTCCGCCAGTTACAATGCATTTCGATTAGTCGATTATTTAATTCAATCGAAGCCATGCATCATCGCGGCGAAATGACTTTTATTTTCGTGTGTTTAGCGCACAGAAATTTTGCGTAAAGACTCATTATGTGTGAATTGTTTAAACAAACAGAAAACTTGACTTTTGTTTGAAAACTCGTGGTGCGAGCGCGACGCGTTGTCAATATAGAAAAAGAGACATTTTAAACACGTAACTTAATACCGCTGTAAGAATGAAACAATGCGCGTTATCATCGTGTTGTGTTATTTCATATGTATTATTGCTATAAACGCAGCACGTGCGTGACTTAAATTAAAATCAAAACGAATTCGCTCGGCCACTTTTATCACGTACTGATGGGCTGTTTATATTTTGGCACATTGTGTTTTAAGTAAATAAGCGCGACAGCAAATAACAACTTTGCGGAAAGATTACCGAGCATAGCGAATTTAAACGCAATCGTTTCCTCGTCTTGTTCTACCTTCTTCAGGGTAATTTATAACTTCCTCTTGCCGATAATTGCCCGCGCCGGAACACTAACACGCACAAAAATCGACATAATTCATGCTAATTTCGACGGCGCAAAATTTACCATTTTGCTTATCGGAATGTGATCTACATGAACAGCCTTACACGCTTGTTCTCGAACTTGCCAGATTTGTTTTTCACAGTTTCTTGACGATGCTCGCATGTCGTTCTCGATTTGTCGATTTGCACTTTCATACACGTAAATTGCTTTCCGTTTTTTGCGTAATTAATTAACGCCATATCGAGCCAACTATTAGAAATAGCCGCGTGGCGTTCGCCGTTCAAGAGAAGACATTGAAAGAGGTCAACAGCAACATAAAAGTCATGCATGTTTGTACAGCGTAATGCACCATGTGTGTTTGAGTCTCTGAAGAGATGTCGGAGAAACTGTGGAAGGCTGGTGGTGTGCGAGTGCGTATTTTTAGCAGCCTCATCTCGGTGGAGAGGTATCTCATCTTGCGGTTTTTGTAAACTGCGACAGTCACTGCACAATCGTACCCCTCTGGAGTCTGTCCGGTTAATTATCGACAATTTGTTGCATTGGCTATTCAAAAGGTTGGCCATGTACTGACTGTTCTGACGAGTAGTTTTACACTTCCCATTTCCTTCGATGCACATGAAACAAGAAACAAATGTAACACGTCGATTGTACTCGCATTGCAAAACTTTTCTTTGTTCAATTTAATTTAATTCAATTAGCGGCGAATTTAAACATGCAATTACTTAAACATTTAAAACGTTTCGTACTGAATGACATTGGTACGCACGGTATACGGACATAGCGAGCAAGCTTAAATTAAAACTAAGGACATTCGTTTTATTTGGTCGTTAATTGAAATTAAAGCATGTCATATTATGGTATCATCACCGGTACTGAATCAGCACGAATTCCGTTGATGCTTGGTCTTCAAGATTTCGTTGTATATATTTATTTAACAGTTTTGACATTTATTTAACGTGTAGTGTGGTTTATGCTGCGAATGTTATGAAACGATGATACGATTTGTCGAATAAAATTTAATATCGCATAACGCGTTACAAAATAACAATTGTTTCCGACTGGAGTCATCGCCGTCACAGCGCAGTTTTTTTTTTTGCGAAAAGGCGTCGGCGTTGTTTCTACACGCTTTTGTCCACGAAAGCGCGTGATTGCCTTATGCAATCTTTTTTCGGCGCGGAAGTCAAACAAAGGACGCATTATCACCACGCGTGATGCAAATTCAACCGTTGTCATCTTTACGTTAATGCGCTGAGATTTCCCAACGTCCTGATGTCATTACCAAAATCCGGTAATCTTTCCTGTTGGTTTCTTCATGTTTGTGCCTTGCTTCCGAACATTTTTTGCGTGTAAACGTCGTTATACTTCAGTTTAAATTATATTATTACTCGAAGGTAATATAGTTTGGCTTCTTTGATGTTGGGTAGCAAGAATGGCAGGTTTCATTATGCGCCGATCCGTCAATAATTGTATCGGGAACTTCACGGTTCAATGTCATATATATTGATTGGTTGGTTTCTTTCGGTTGAGTCGTAAACACTGCTTAAAAAAATGTTTCACCGTTCACGTTCGGTAGGTTTTTCTAATTTATTGACTTTGCCCCGATTAAAAGCTTATTAAGGCATTGTTTTCGCGCTGATTCATCGTCTTTTTCCGCGACACACGCACAGCGCTTAATCAATTTCACGCATGTGGCAACTGCGCAGTTGTGATAAGAATTTATTGTGAGTATCAGTGGTATTTGCTGGCTATCTGTCACATGCAGCACTTTGTCTATGGCTATCACGTCTTGTGTTACATATCAACTTTTGTTACCATGCGTATCCTGTCGAGGACGCGAACGTGTTTAAATTGGTGGGTATATAAATTCCGTTCCAATCAAGCCGGTTTACCTAAGTCTTTATTAGACATCGAACATTCTTCCGTTCTAAACTCCGTATATAGTTCTATATTATTCGTTGGTGTGACATTTGCGATGTAAAATGTAAATGTTTCAGAATCGGTTTCCGTTTTGGTTGGCGGTCGTGTTATCGTTTCACGTTGACGAGGGCGGATTTGGTTTCCCGTTCGTTTGCTGACTGCGTTGGTCGATGCACACGTTACGTCGGTAATTCGCGCATTACACGAAAGTCGCCTCTTTCGCATCATGCTCTCCCATCGCTCGCGAAGTCTCGCGCGAAACACAATTAATAGCGAAAAATTGCAAATGCGTTCGTTGCTCGTAACCAGTTGCGCGCTCTCCGGCTCGCGCGCGGTTTCATGTTTCGCCAGTTTCAAAAGTGAATGATGGAAAGTGCTTTTAATATATGCCACACATAGTTAGCGCGCGCATATTTATTTCTTCGCATGGCACATCCAAGCTCCGCTAGAAAAAACGTTTGCGCTCGAAATTCATTCCGATTCATTCGGACTTAACGAGCTACTTAAAATTAAGTTTGCCGCAGAAATAACGTCCTAAATAGTTACAGTTTCACCGCCGGTCAAAATGCTCAGTGTCTACGCTAACGCTTTGGGCGAAAAAAAAGCGCAATAAAAATGCGCTTCAATTTTGCTTTCGATTACTACACGCGCGTGTATGCGCCACGCTAATTGGCAAAAATAAAATTGAATTATTTATAGGAAACAATAAATTAAATTCGTTTCATAGAAAGTAAAATAAAACGTAACGAAAACTATTAGCTTTCGGGCAATCAACGCATCTTTGTGAACGCCAACGTTTTCCGCTTTTGTTTAATTAAACTCGTTACTTGTTTGGAATTATCGCAATTGCAGTATGAACGTTTCAGTAAATATTTGCACATCATGAAAGCGATACAGCATCATCGTGTGACTAAAACCGACTTTTCTCGCAGAGAGTCGGTTGTAAAGCGCTCAAGCTAAATTGATTTACGCTTCATTTACAGGCGTGCATGATCTTGAAACATTATGACTCACTTTATTTCTGGTGTCGCTTCGGCGTGTGGTGACTGCGCTCTAAAATTACACACCCACACGCCTTGTCTGATCCACGGCGCGAGACGAATCGGCTATAAATCATTTTTTAAGGCACACCGAATGAGACCGATAAAAATTCTGCAATCGACGGTGATGTTGAATAAAAGTGAGTGAATTGGGAATATCAATATACCGTCTCTAGGTAGTGAAGTAAAAAGTGTGTATAAATTTCGAAATACAGTCCTGTGCGGGCAGTTCACACGCTGAGCACTTGATCAATTTCGAGAAACAATCAATAAAATAAAACAAACTTTTGTTTCCACAATGGCGTGACATAAACAATTTTTTTTCGAAATTGATACCAAAGTTGATTAACATCGGACGAACTGGCTTATAAAAAAAAATGAAATTGCTAGTACTACCACCTACGAGTCAGGGAATCAAAAATATCGGCACGTCACGATAAAACGATAAATTAAAATAGACTTTAATTAACAAATTATTATTTTAAAAAGTATCAGTTATTTGTTGAGCTCTTGAAACTCATGTGTATTTACTTTGGTATGGCCCCAGAACACCGATAAGACTATTTATTTTGGTTTAGCGTGTAATATGCGTTGCAATTATTTTCTTCAAACTAAAATTCAGAAAATCAGACTTGGTGTGAATTATGTAAGTAGCGAGTCATTGTTCGACGAGGTCGGGCGCAAGAAATTTAGATCATCGTATTGACCAGTTCAGTTTACAAGACACCGCGAATATTCGGAAGCGCAAACGCGAATGTAACAGATCGTTGAAATCGTTGAGCCTAGCGCGTGTAGCACACTGCCACGAATGTTACAACATTAATTGTGTTTCTAACTGATGCTTGACCCCGTCGCGTTGATTTTATTGACCTTTTCTATTCGTACTTCCTTGCATTTGTCGTGTTGCGCTGGCCCGCGTAGAGATTACCGGATGATTACCTTTATTTATTTACCGTACGGACGAGCGACAGGCGCACATTCTCGGCGTCGACGAACAATGCGCACACGCTCGTCGCCCAACCAGAAGCTGCGTGCCATTTCTTCGCCTTGCACTTTGTAACATTTTTCTGCCCGCATTTCACAAGCATCGCATTGCGTGCGGATTAGGCTTGCCTAATTTTGCGTTATCTAATTGTGTTTATTATTTGCGGCTGGAGGCTTTTGTGTGTTCAAGACAGCGTGCGCTCGTGACATTACATTTCGTCTTTTGCATTTTCGTTTGGCATCGTTTTATGACTAATACAATTTATATTCAATGTGAACGCGTATTGTGTATCGTGATGAGACAGTCATTGTCTCGGTCGGGAATCGATTTCAACACACATTGCGACGTGGCGCGCTGTGTCTTCTCTTTTCTTCGTTTTATAGAAAGACCAAGAATTCGGCGTTGGTTTCGTTTGTGGTAATCTTTCTGGAACGGATTCTCATCGTGCTAAAATTTACCGAACGAAAACGTTTAGTAATCCTGCTTGCTATAAATTTCATTACCAATCGTTAGCTCTATTGTTCATTTTAAACAGGTGTAAATCAGCGATTGCACCTATAAATTTTGCACGCAGATCATGAATAGAGTTTCAGCTGTTGACTTTACATGCGCTCAGAGAGAAATTTCTCCGCAATTCGAAAAATTAATTCATACGCGAACACAACGCAGTTTAAAAAGTATTTCAAGGCATTATTCTTCCATCTAATTATCATAAATTACCTACTCGACTGTGATATATGCGTCGAAGCAATGCGATCGCCGAACGAAAATAAATCATAACAAAGAAATTGATTTCGTTTAGTTTTCTAGCTGTGCGCCCGTGGTTTAATGTTAAAGCATTATGTAAATGGCATTTCTTCAATCTGCGCTTTGTTTCTGCAATTCGTTTTGTGCTCTTCGCGGTGCGCCTCGCGCCGCCTGTTTACTCCTTTTATTCCGCGCATAATAATCATAGTAATCAGATGTCGTGCGGTTGATATGTTTATTTAGAGATTACGAATTGTTGAAAACCAAAATAGAAGAGTGCACATGCACACAATGTGTGGCTGATCGTACAATAAGTAGAAAGTTGAGTATCTAATTTCGATCTTAACAGAACGATGAAACTGTTGCAGCGGCGAGACGGGCGCGTAGCAGCTCGAACTAACGACTTCTTAAAAACGCGCTCGTCGGCCGAGATACGTTCCAGCCGGCGTGCGGTTATTTCAACAATTTCGAGTGCAGTTTCGTTTACAGTACGCGCACACAAGCCCGGGAGCTCTTGAGGTCTCGAGCAGCGTCGTATGTGCGTCGTGGCCGTCGTGGCTACCGTATTGTTACGGGCCCGTTACTCGCACTTAGCGCGACGTGCACCGCATAACGGCCGCTCTTGAAATATCAGGTCAATGGGGAAAACTCGATATTCGCTCGCCGGCGAAGAGCCGAGAGCCTTCGACGGAGTGGTTCACGGTTTCGTATGCGTATGGCGACCGTGTCCTGCGTGTCTTTACACCGCGCACAATACGCGTACGAAATCACTGTAATACAGTATGCAAAACTCGTCGGCTGCCACTTTGCACACCATTACACCAAACTGTACCAAACACGCACACGCGAACAAAAGACACAAGAAGAGCTTGTGCATTCTGCGAATCTGCTCAAATTATGCACAACGCCGTAGAAATACTTGACACTTGTGTGTACAATCACGCGATTCGAATATGCTTAACATGTTTCTCTTTTCTTTGGGCGAAGCTGTTGATCGTTGTTGAGCAGATTCGATTTTATTGATCTTTTCTGCCGCTTTATCTTTGGATAAATTCCATGCATGGGATTAATACGCGCGTTTAGGAACTAATTGCTCGTACGTGCAACCTTAATTACGCAACATTGGTATTTGCAGCTGGAAATCAACTTTTCCGCATTTAATTAATCTAATTCATTGCTCGATTAATGGTTCGGTTTCAACATTTAAATATTTAAATCGGATTGCGCAACGAATTGTGCTGCCGCTCGGAACCTCCAAGATCCCGTTCTCGACCGTACACGGATAAATTTATAATCAAAATAACAAATTCCAACCGATTTACTTCATCCGCATGAAACCAAGTTAGGCGTTATGTTGTTGAACATGTATGCAATTGCAAAAGTTCAAAACGTGAGCTGCGCACCCAGTGCTCTTATTTCAAGAATGCTGACCCATTGCACGATTTCCAGACTCAACAATGTTTTTTTTTTTTTGCTTACTTTTAGATGTTGCAACAGATTCTCAGAGATTTGTACGTGACTCCGGAGATACTGACCGAGCTCGATGAGGTGCAGAAACAGTCGCTCTTCTGTAAGATGCGCGAGGAACAGGTGCGACGGTGGCGCGTCTGGGATGACGAATGCTCCAAAACGCCAAAAAATGTTATAACGGCGCCGGTCAAGCAGAAAAAGAAAAAGAGCGTTTCCTTTATGAAGGGCGTCGACGGCGAGCCGTGGGTATGGGTGATGGGCGAGCACGAGGACGACATGTCTATCGGACAGATCATTCAGCAGGAAGCGATCGAAAAGGCACGTCAGTTGGCCGAATGCGAAGCGGAGGCGCTTCGCCAACAGCTTATCGAATGCATCACGCCCAACTGCGAGGAAGACATCTATTGCTCCGTGGACGCCCTGCAGAAGAAGCAGATAAAGCCGCCGACACCTGCGATCGTCAAAAGCAATTATAAGATCGGGCATTATCAGCACCAATCGAACAAGTACAATGTGATAGACACAAACAATGTCCTCAATGAGCTCAATCAACGCAACGCTACCAAAATGGTGGCGGCCAAGGTTGCCCAATGGGAGCGCCGCCTTACCGAGGAGCGCACCTGCGAGATCCTGCAGAATATTCAGTCTAAGCAGCTGCAGGCTGCCAAGGAGGCCGAGGAAGCCGAGATGAAACACGAGCAGTTATGGAAAGAACAAGGTTGGTGCACGTCCATTATTCTCTTTTTTTTTAACCTTTTCCCAAAATTAGCATTTCGTCCATATTCTATTGTTTTACAGAGAGGAAAGCCAAAGAGGCCGAACAGCAAATTCGAGAAATCGCGCGCAAAGCAAGGGAGGAACATAGACTGACCACGCGCAATTGCGAAACGGAACCGGCCTATAGTTCTGTTGTTCCAGGCGTTCCACCAGGAAAACAAGCAGTCGTTGACTGGTTCCAAAAGTCTGAGATACCGAAGCGAGCGGGTTTGGATCAGCTCGATCAAATTCAGCCATATTTCCATGGTAATAATGAATTTCTCTGTTGATGACGAGTGATTGATACACGCTTAATTTCAAGGTTTAATCTCGCGAGCCGAAGCTGAATGTTTGCTGCAAAATCAGCCCATCGGCGCATTTCTGGTGCGTTTGTCCGAGAAACTGTGGGGCTATGCAATTTCGTATAAAACGAAAGATAAGTGCAAACATTATCTTGTGTCTGCAGCCAACAACTACTCTTTCCTGGGCAGCAATCAAGTAGAACACAAGTCTCTCGGTGAGTGCACTTCATTCATCGTTCTCATTAAACACCGCACGCATTCTTGCAAAATACGCACAATGTGCGCTGCAAAAGTAACCAACTTCATCATAATTTAACTTTAACGGCAATTGCTTGCCAGCAAGAAAGAACGACGAGGAGCCAGATGGTGGATGGCGCAATGTGGATGCACGATCCCAGAGAGCGAGTTGAGATCTGTCAGGTGTTGCCGATCTGCGCTTCTGCACTTGGCACAATCAGTGCATGCGCTATATCAACCGAGCGAAATAAAACGAGCGGAACTATCGGATTGTTAATTACTTCACTCTTAGGAAGTACAAGACCTATTACATGGCTGCATTTTTTCGCGAATTGTCTGTTTATACCCTAGGAAGTTTGTACAATCGCCTAGCATAACAAACTTTCGCTACGATTCGTGCGCGCATATCGTGCAGCTAATTAAACGACGCAAGCTTCTTTCCCGGTGTATCGTGTTAGGACTAACAATATCCTAGCAATCGGAATTGTTCGTAAACAATGCCGTTGGTAATGAACTTTTAATAAAAAATATACGCTGAACTATTCATGCGTCATGACACATCTTCCGTCTACGATCTTGCCGTGGCAATCAAAGCCTTTTTAATAACAAATTTGCCAAGTTGTTGATTTCCGCTTTTCATTCGTTCGTTCTCAATTACATGCCTATCATTTTATTAACCAATGTCAAATGTTCTAGGGGACTTGATCAACTACTACAAAGACTGTCCGTTGACTGGCGGCGAAAAATTAATTCAGCCATGTTCCAGGGACGACGATTCTGCCGTGCGGGAACTGTTCGCTGGGAAGATTGGCTAGCATTAAGTTATTTGCTCGAGATAAAGTATTAGAAATTATTTGCATTTTGGCCTATTCATAATTCTTTTCTTGTTTTATGTTAAAATGTTTAGTGTATGTATTTTCGCGCTGTGATCATCCAAATCGGCATTTTTAGATTGTTTATGTTATTGAAATCTTGGTATTATACCTACATGAAAACAAATATATACGCCTGATTTTTTAAAAGAGTGGTTGTAATTAGGATATATTGTATTAGGTGCCTGCTTTTTATAAGATAATAAAAACGAATGCTCTACATTCCCATTTGATTCCGTGTAGGTTCACAACCCAATCTTATTCGTTAGGAACTTAGAAACATGTATTTTTTTATTCAAATTTTTATTGCAGACTTCATCATTTTCAGATTAAATTGTATATCAAAGAATCCTGTATTACTCAGTGCGAGATTATCACGGTCCAACAGTATTTTATAGTGATGTTAGTGGATTCTAACATTTTACTTCTTTTTAGTCATAGGAGAGAAGTTAAACGCAGTTCCTGTAAATTACAAGGGTAAAGTAAATAACCAGCCTTACTACAATCATAGGATATGCACAGATAATGTACCATGCATAAACATGTTAAATGATATGTTTTGTTCTTATATAGATATATTTTAAAAATCGAGGTCGGACGGGTTGTATATAGTAACATCATAAACTCAAGTAATTTAAATCTATCAAAACAAACTCTTATAGATCTTTCCTTAAAGGAGATAGTATCAAATAATGCAAAAAAACACTCAACTTCATTATTATGCTCTGCATTTAATAATAGTCGGATTTAAATTTTGTACTTCCTACTTGGCACCGTCTTCTTCTTCTTCGCTTCAACTTCAGATTCTTCATCGTTTGTAGAACTATACTTATCACTAATGTGATCATGAATTTTAGAAAAATTAAAAGTCAGTCTCTTCATAAAACTCATTAAACGTTTGCTGGGAACTTTTTCATTAGCCCCTTTGTTCAAATGTGATCTATCAGTAATTTCTGTTGTATTCAGCTGGGTATCTACTTTTTGGTATTCCAAAGCATCAACATCTTCTGTTAAATTGTTGGGTACAATTTTATTAGGACCACATGCATTTTCCACGGGTTTTTGTACTTCTGTTTGTGGACATGACACATCATTTTCATTCCATACGTTTGGCTTCTTTCTTGAATTGCGCATTTTGCCCCCCTTTTTGTCTCTTTTAACTTTGGTCTGAACTGGTTGCTTAGAAGCATTCAGGTGGATATCTGGTTTTTGGTATTCCTGATCATTAACATCTTCTGATACTTTGTTGGGCACAATTTGGTTAGAAGCATTCAGGTGGATATCTGACTTTTGGTATTCCAGATCATTAACATCTTCTGATACTTTGTTGGGCACAATTTGGTTAGAAGCATTCAGGTGGATATCTGATTTTTGGTATTCCAGAGCATCAACATCTTCTGATAAATTGTTGGGTACAATTTTATTAGGACCACATCCATCTTCCGCGGGTTTTTGTAGTTCGGTTTGTGGACATGGCACATCACTTTCATCCCATACGTTTGACTTCTTTCTTGAATTACGCATTTTGCGCCCCTTTTTGTCTCTTTTAGCATTGGTCTGAACTTGTTGATTAGAAGCATTCAGGTGGGCATCTGGCTTTTGGTATTCCAGATCATTAACATCTGATAAATTGTTGGACACCATTTTGTTAGGACCACATCCATCTTCCGCGGGTTTTTGCAGTTCGGTTTGTGGACATAGCACATCACTTTCATCCCATACGTTTGACTCCTTTCTTGAATTACGCATTTTGCGCCCCTTTTTGCCCCTTTTAGCTTTGGTCTGAACTTGTTGGTTAGAAGCTTTCAGGTGGATATCTGGTTTTTGGTACTCCTGATCATTAACATCTTCTGATACTTTGTTGGGCACCATTTGGTTAGAAGCATTCAGGTGAATATCTGCTTTTTGGTATTCCAGATCATTAACATCTTCTGATAAATTGTTGGGCATCATTTGGTTGGAAGAATTCAGGTGGATATCTGATTTTTGGTATTCCAGAGCATCAACATCTTCTGATAAATTGTTGGGTACAATTTTATTAGGACCACATACATCTTGCACAGGTTTTTGTAGTTCTGTTTGTGGATATGGCACATCATTTTCATCACATATATTTGACTTCTTTCTTGAATTACGCAATTTGCGCCCCTTTTCACTCATTTTACTCTCTGTTACTTTGGCCTGAACTTGTTCTTTTTTCCAATCACTTGGTATTGCTTGTCCTGTCAGAACTTCGTAGCCTTCGGGATACGGTGTGCCAAAAACTTTAATACACATTTCTTTGTCCAACATCAAACCCTTTAAGATGTGTATTTTTATTATTGCGGGACTATCATAATACGCTTGAGTAAATGTACAGCCTCTACGTGCAATCGCGTCGTAGTCGATTTTTGGACCCATACTGGCAAATGTGTTCGAACTAGTGGAAATACGTTAACTTTACACAGAAAGCACTTCGCAAAACATCAAAATAATTATGAATAATATGTGTTACTTACCAAATCCGTGTAATAAGACGTCCACTCCTAAAACTATGACTTAAATTCAGGAACGCTCAACGTTCACGCTCACACACAAAACAAATCTTAACCAAACCAAAAATTATCAAATGGTGCACATTGCAAATCGTGATAGATGTCATACTCGTGGCAGGAATTACATTAAATTCTCGGCCGCAATTTGTACAAGCAAATGGTTATGCACGATAAGTGTTTCAAATTTAAAACGAATACATTTAAAAAACATTTTTGCTGGAAAATGGAAAATGGAAATGGAAAAGACGACTTCGTTTTAAAAATGTTTTTAAACTCCTATATAATAACATATAAACCCGAAAGTAACAAGGAAGTTTTAAGAAATTTTATTTCATTTATGGTAATAAATTAATCTTCCTTATCATTTTAGTTTTATGCAAAAACGGGCAAACCAATCAGAATTTAAACTACGAAAAGAGATATTTACAAAATATTAAGGCTTTTGGGAGACTGGATCTTTCCCCTTTTGGTATAAATGGGAAAGCTACACAAAAAGCCACAGAATATTGAAAATAAAGCGGCTGTTAAAGAACGATTGACAGAACCAATTTAACATGGAACGTAACAAACTATATACTCTGCTACTTTTGGTGCAGTCAAAATAAAACACAAAATGCAGTTTTTTTTATGCTGGTATACATAGAACCGCGGGCTTTAAATTTTTTTGCACTTTAAGCTTTCACTATTTTCATCACTTTAAAATTAACAAACATTGGGAGCTACTCTCTTGAATCATAGGAATCCATTTTTACCAATAATAATTCAAATCACTCAAATGGCTCAAAGCTCCAATTCGCCGGATAAATCAAGCCAAGAGAGAGACTTACGAGTGTGTCCTTCCACTATACGCACGATAATCAAGCAGCCTTGAATGTCCTTGAGAGAGGTTTCAAAGTTGGCGTTGAAAATTTGAAACAAAAGAGAATTGCATCAATGATAAAACAAAATTGCTGTAACCAAGCGACGACAATGTTTTACCCTGCGTGAAAGAAAGTCAATTTGCCCTGAGATATCAGAACGCATATTTAATCGCGCTCGACCGTATTTGATTGTAACACTAAAATATTCTAACTGCCGTGCACCACGATGGAGACGTCCATGTCAACCACAGCCGAAGACGTGAACCCACCACTTTCGTCTGAATCAACTCAAATTGAATTGCCCCAACGATTGGATCAGATACCCTTGCCGCCGGGACAAAGACCAACGGTAAATACACTTTCTGCTATCTATTTTTTATTTCACTTCATACCCACCCTAATATTCATTTCATTATAGGAGCTGCACCAGACGTCCAGCATGCGAGTAAGACGGCACATTCGTCAACAGCCCTATCATTTGCAGAGACACTTGGAGCAGCCTGGATCAGGTAGAGGTCGCCACATTGATATTTTACAGCAGGAGCTTCGCTCCTTAAGTATAGGTATCAGTATTATATGCTATAGAAGTTTTTGTAAGTAAATTATTTGCCCATCCTTAGCTTCCACACCCATTCAATCCCAAACTTATGGAATACGTTCCGCTGTTACAACAACCTGGACAAACCGTTATTACTTGCCTCGACAGCAGTTGCGTGGATTACAGCCGCCTATCTTTAGAAACACTGTACCGCACCAATTGAACGGTTATTCAAATCCTCCTCCTGCTCACCGCGCTTCTTCCCAAAGCCAAACCACCTTAGCGGCACAGTTATGGGGCGCTCCTTTAATTTCCAATGCTCCCTACGCAAACTCTCCCGGTGCTGGTAATACGGGTGCTTCGCCCGATAGACATTTGGGTATCCACCCCTCTTTGGCACCACACCTTCAATATCCATTGCTTAATTACCCACCTGATAGACTAATGTCTGCTAGCATGCTTGAAGGAACAAACAACGTTAACTTTTATTGGCAATGTCGTACTGCTATTCAGAATGGTGAGCATTCGCGACAAATTGCTGGCCAGCCAGAGGTCCAATTGGCAATTGGATCTACGTCTGAATCTTCCGCTAGTCATGTGCCACGACTGGCCGATAATCTACTTATGTCAATGAAGGTATACGATACACTAACATTTCAGAAGAGTGATTTAGGGCAAATTATACGTTCGTATATGTTCATTTCCAGGAACATCCTATGATGTGGCAAGGTCACCTTACTATGAAGAATGAACCAGCCGAAGTGCAGATTTATTTTGTATCAGGTAATGAAGAGGTGGCAAAGCGAAGTTTATTAAAAAATGAAGATGGTAGCACAACTCCACTCAAGATAATTAACCGAATGCGACTTGATGCGGTGCAGAGCGAAGGATTGCACGATAAGATGCAGGTTGGTTCATTAAAATCCAAGTCAAGCGTTTACAAAACGTGTTGGCCCCTTACAGATTGCCAGCGATCACTGTGTGCTTGTCGCGTTGCCGTACGGTAGCGACTACCTAGACGTGTTGAGACAAGCTTCTACGCTGACTAACAGCTTCGTAAATTATTTCAAGGAAAAGCATGCGGCCGGAATTCTGAAGGTACCGGCACCTGGTACTACCCAACCGGTAGGTGTATCTATAAATACGCAGTGACGTAGGGCAATAGTACAACTGCTTCATAAGAACAAAGTTACAAAACAGGCAGGAACCATTTGGGTGTTTTATAAATTTTAATATATTTCCAGCCTGCATACTTTGTGCATTTTTTACCATCGTGCGATTTTGTCAATGAAAACCTCACACGCATTGCGCCCAACTTACTAAGACGGCTTACGGACATCCCATACCTGCTGGTTGTGATTGTAACTGTGTAAAACAGCGTTTCTGACTCCAAGCCATCATTCAAGTTATTTGTGTACTCCGAATGGACTGCTCCGTTTAAGAAGTATATACGGTCCAAACCTTGGATTTCAAACCTTAATTCCAGACTATTGAAAATGATAAGTTAAACGATCGGTGAATGATGGGAAATTGCTAATTGTACTGATTTTTTTTACGGCGTTCTGTTAACAAAAAGGGTTAAACGTAACATATAATTACCATTTGTCTACGTTGCCCTGAAAAACGGTACCTGAAACTACCTCCCACCTGCGTAATAGTTAGAGGGAAAGGATGAGACCTGGAAATCATATGCTGAGTTAAGTGAAATGTGCACAAGACCGGATATAACAACGCTGGGGTCTAGAATTTTTAACGTACCGTAAGATAGAATTGTAAGAGAAAACAATCACTGGCCAAAATAAATAAATTTATTACATTATTACATGTTGCAAGCGTTTTCTAATCTTGAGACAAACATTTAAACGGTTATTTCATCCACTACAAATTTGTCTATGAGTAAGAGTATTTTTTCATGGTGTTGCTGGTGGTGGTTCACTCAGTCCATCTACAGATTTATCTTTGGACTCCGGTGTAGGACCGTCCGGTGATTTTTCATCTGCAGGTGTAACCGTCGCTGCCCCTGGAAGCTCCATGAGTTCTTCCGGAGGAATGGGAAACTTGGGCTTGGGATAGCCACCATGTTCTTTAGGTTTAACCTCTGGCTTTAATTTGGGCGCTTGAGGGCTAAGTAGAACCAAAATATATACAAATGTATTATATAAAATTATATTATTTACTCACGGTTTATTTAATTGAGGCATAGATCCCTGGGACAGGCCAGATAGTTTTCTTTCTGCGGCAAAGTCATTTGCCAGTAACCTCTCTGTAAAGTTAAATATATGGGATGAATTTGGATTTGAATATAATGTTTTTAGATTAGGTGTTGTTACTTTTAGAATCAGGTGTTGTTCGTCTGGACACATCCTCGGCCATTGCTCTGAACATTTTAGTCTGGGCAAGCTTGGACCCACGTTTTGTTTGATCCATCTTGGATGAGTCCTTCGTTCCAGAGTTGGCTACTATTGATCCTCTTTCAGATTTAGATAAACGTTGACTACTACCAATCTTCTTATAAAGAAATTATATCAAATTATATTGTAGCTTAGCAAAACTCTGTCAAGTCAGACAACTCTAATAAGTTACCTTGTCACCACCTCCTGATAATACAGGTTGGGCTTCAGGACCCCATTGCATAAGAAAATGACCGAGCCTGGTCACCCGTTGATGAGGAGTAGTTACCGTATGACTGCCACCGCAATATCGGTTACAAATGTGATCATCGCTTTAAATAAAATTAGTGTACATTAATGAATTGTGATTTATATGTCACTATATCTTACGTTCTTTTTTGAACCCGACCGCGCATAGCCGCTTCAAAGCTGTGCATGTTCTTTCCAGGTACGCTAAAACATGAATTTAATGTGTTTAAGAAACTGTTTAAATTCCGATATTTTCTAATAAACAAACGATTTCTGTTGTTTTCGCAATGCATCCAACTCATAGGCTAAGTATGGCGCCATCGAGCGGTGCGGGGGAACCATAGCCGCCAACGGTCTCATTGATAAATCGAATTCCTTTTGCATGACGACTTCCTTATCGCACGATATGCAATTAACATCTCTGCAATAATAATCGTACGCATAAATTATACAATGGTATTAATTTAGATTCAAACCTTAAGAGCTTGTTCTTCGTTCCGGCCGCTTCTTGCTCTCGTTTCAACGCCGCTAAGCTCTTCATCTTATCCTGTAACAAGCGTAATTTGTTGTTAATAAACTCGCGCAACGGTCCCAGGTCCATCTTGTCGAGTTTGTTTCCAATCTCGCTTTGGATATCATCCAGCGCTTGCTGCCACAACAACTCTTGTTGCGAGAGTCTTTCCAATGCTTCGCCGATTCCCTTTGAGAGTTCCTCGCAAGCGTTGTCAAATTGATCATGGCTAACTTTACGTAGCACTGCACATGCATCCGCTTTGTCTGCTAACGCTTCCTCTAGTTCTTCGCGGTCAGCCTTTACGGATTTCAACACTTCCATTTGTTCTACAACAAACTCGAGCAACCTTGTGTTGCCATCTTTATCGTCAAGTAGCTTGCATGAGGTTTCATTAATGTCAGCGAAGTCTGCTTCAAGCTGCACAAGCTTTTGATAAACGGCTGAACAGCAGGTATTTGATTCAATTCCCTCAGGTGCGGAAGCACTATATTATAATATATGGTTAAAAGGAAATGGATTAAATAATATTAGTGGTTCATATTCACCCAAGTTCAATTTTGTTCAGCAACTCGTTGAAATCTTTCTCGATATCAGTGAATTGATTATGTAGTCGTGTAATTTCTTCGTTCACAGCTAAGTCCAAGCGATCCACGTGGTCAGCCACTTCTTTCAGTCTTTCCTCGGACATGCCTATGTCGAAATCATTAAAGTTTAGCTCTAGTTCTTCGGTCTCAGCCTCTCCAAAGCCTCCACTAATAGCTGAAAATGTTCCCATTTTAAATAAATGATTTATAGCAATTTATAATATGGTTTAAATTATACTTTCGACGCTTCGACGCTTCCTCATTTTCAGACGAGCCTGAATATCTTCCACGTCTCGAGCGAGTTGCCTCAATATACTATCTGGCTCTGCCTCCATCGAAAAGTCGCTCCTTGAACCTCTTTTCCATGCAGACATCTGTGCGTCAGCCTTGTCAGTCATCTCGCCGCCGTCGTGTCCAGTAGTCATGCATAATACAGGTTTGGTGCTCATGGCAAGAGCTCCTGGCGACTTAATCAAATCCTCAACAATGGACGCTATCTTGACCATGCCTTCTTCTGCGGCTTCAATGCGTTTTTGTAGCGCTAACATGTGAAATACATCAATAACAGTCGAAGACTTCTCCTCAAAGTTTCTGTAAATGAATAAGCGTCAATATAATTGTATAAATTATACATAATGTGGTATATACTTGACTGCATCGATAATTCCCAAATTGCCGGGTAAGTCTCGAAGCTCAATGATTTGATTTCTTAGATCGTTTACTTCTTCTTCCAGGTAGTCCATCTTTTCCTTGGCTACAGAAGACGTTCCTTGATAGGCAGTGTCTGGCTGTAGCACATAAATTTCTTGATCCTTTCCTTGTGCACCTGTTACATGGTTACATGAAGATATTTCTTAGGATGTATAACAGCATATGCTTACTTTTATCAACAGTCTCTTTGATGGTATATGAAGGTTTTCCCGGAGTGGCTTTTAATTGCTCTTGCAATTTAACAGCTTCGGCACCGTGTATTTCTACCGCGACGCTTTGTGCATGAGATTTTTGTATTAATGCATGAAGTAATGCTTGCAATAAATGAAAATTCACGGCGCCCTGAGTGTGGAAATATGTATACATGAAATTGTTATAAAATTTATTAGATATGTTTGGGGTACCTCTGTTGGAGAAATAGCCAGATCCACCATACGGATCAATGGTAATTGAACGAATGTGTTCGCCATTATTTAAAACAGGTATCGTTAATGTACACCAATTCACTACCAGCTTTTCAAACAAAAACGGAATTATATTCGTGTAGAAAATTGTAAAATTAAAACCGTATAAAGCGGTTTGACGTTAATGCATTAAAATAAAAATGATATATCTAGATTATGATTTTGATCAACAATTAATGTTGTCACTTATACGTCATGCATGGACTTTTCTTATTGATAATAATAACTTTTGTTTGTAAAGATTTTTTGTACTTGTTCCGGAAAATAATTTAATCTATTAGCATTTTTAAAAAGTTAATATCAGTTTTGTGAAAACTTGTAAAGTTAATAACGGTATTATGAAAAAGAAAGTAAAATATAATATAAAAACATTAAATTTGTTTGCATTCGTATATTTTTTAATGAAATGTACAGAGATGGGAATCATTATAAAAATAATCTATACAAGCTCAATATTGGATTGCAAAAAGATCTAGACAGATAAAATAGTTAGTTACATATATACAAATGGAAAAGTTTGTCAGAATTGTTCCCTAGTCGTAGTGTGTTAAGTTTCCGTCTGATGCTTTCGGAGATTATTTTTTATCCCACGTTGGTATCTACATATTCCTGAATGAATCTAGCGCATGTAACTATCCAACTACATGAGTGGTAAAATGTGTTTGGGTGAGCCAGACGCAGAAAGTATTCTCTGTAATATAATCACAAATCAATTATTTTGAATATAAGAAAATTATAATAGCCTACCGGTGTGACGATGTTTTCGCACGACTCAGGCGTTACGTTGATTTTGTTCGACTTTGGTTCATTTGGACTAGTTGTTGCTACACACAAGGAATATGTTTATCACTAATTAATAATTTGTTATGATTCTTACCTCCTGGTAAATTGGGCAAAGTGAAATCATCTTTAATTTTGCTTTTTCTTTTCACGTTACTGTTGAGTGTGCTTGGTGCAAGATGAAGAGGTTCAATGTTAATGAATAGGTCGTGGATGGAATGTCGGTCTAATCTTTTAGAAGGAGTGGTAGCGTAGGTGACGTTCTTATTGGAAAATGGAAGGTTTCCTAGATTTTGCGTAAATACATTCTTCAGGCATGGCTGAGTAATAGTTTGGAGTAATAATGGCGACTTTTTGATAGCGTTGATGTTACAGTTTGATTGAATATTTATATTTGATATTGTACTGCCGGACGATTCTTGACCCACATCCGAGCGTGCTGTCATATTTTCGAATGATTTTGTTAATGAGATGACATCATTCTCACTCACAACTTTATTCAGTGTTTTCGTAGACTTCAGAAATGTTAATCCAGTTTTTTCACGGTAAGACTTGCGTCCTGGTAATTGAAATTCTGCATTGTCGCAACAGAACTTTCTCTTAATATTTCCTTCGATGAGGTTCATTTTCCAGTTATGCGGTTCGTTTAAATTTGATTGTGAAGGACGTTTTGTCAAATTCTTATCTTCTGAAATGCTAGCCCTGTCCGTGGAATGCAAGACCTCTGTTTTGAATTTGCGTAGTAAAGGATTCGCATTGAACTCAGACATGACCTTTTCGCGTAGCGCCGGTAAAAATTGTTGTGGGAAATTGTCATGCGTAAAAAACTTATGTTTCAGTAGTTCTTCACTGGTAGGGCGAACAAGGGGATCCATTGTGAGCAAACTGATTAAAAAATCAATGCTCCCTTGCGGCCAATTCTGGCACATCTTGTGTAAACCGGCCAAGTCAGTCTGTGAGCTTGGTTTGGCCATTCCTCGTAGTGTAGAATTCTTTGCCATTAGAGCTTGATGACGAGCACATGGTTTTCCCATGGCTTTCAATATTAAGTAAAGCTGATCGATATCGCTTTCACCAGGAAATAAGGGCTCACCGGAGAGCATTTCAGCAAAAAGACAACCAGTAGCCCAAATGTCAATGGCGGCACCATACTGCTGTTCGCCAACAAGCAATTCAGGTGCTCGGTACCACCGGGTTGCGACATATTCGGTGCATGGTTCAATAGTATACGTCATTATACGTGCGAATCCAAAGTCGCATAATTTTACGACGCCCTGCGTCGATATAAGAATATTTTCTGGTTTAATATCACGATGGACGATCTGAAACCCCATCAAATATTAACTCTGAGATAAGTTTAAAAAATACACTGCTTACATAATTTGAATGACAATACGCAGTTGCTCGTAACACTTGGTATATACGATCGCGGGATTTTTCCTCGCCCATTCCACCGCTTTGCTTTTCAATTTCATCCAAAACCGTACCCGCCAAAAACTCAAACACAAGATAAAAGCGTTTCCGGTGTCGAAATACGTCAAGCATTGTGACTAAGTTTTCGTGTTTCAGTTTCTGTAAACAAAATTTAATGAATCGTTTATCTCCTGATATACCGCAGAGCTGTATGCACTTTCAGCATTCGAATCTCTCGTAGAGCCATCTTCCTGATAACGGCATCTTCTTCTGTTTCAATGAACTTCTTTACAGCAACTATTTGGTCCGAATCCCGGTGACGACATTTCAATACAACCCCATATGAACCCTCACCAACGACAGAGATTTGTTCATAGCGCTCCATATTGTAACTAAAAATGAAACTGTAACAAAATTATAATTAAAATATTGCAGGAGAATCAACAACGCAGCATTGTTCCGTATTTAGAACGCATAAGGAAGCATTGCTAATCAAGTGGTCAGGTCTCTGGCCAGTGAACCTGTTTAACCCACAATAGGGGTGGCTTTTGGAACGCGTGGGTACGCGCGCCTGTTGTTACGGCGACGGACCGACCGGACATCATAACACAACCAACAACGTATGGTGGCGGCGATCCAGTTTAGGGAAGTGCAACGACCGCGCCTTATCACGCACTAAATATTTATGTTCTTCTTGAATATCTTACATTAAGCTATGTTTTGTGCGAGTCGAAGAAGGTACCATGTTTGCGTATCTATATATGCATAGGCGGCACGTGCTCAACTTTGACCTTTTCGGCGAAAATTTGCGCGCAAATCACGCAATCGCTGCAAATTATTTGTTATGCGGCATTAGGGTGAAAGAAATCGAATCTTGGCACCCAACCGCGCACTGAACATATTCCATGTCAGTAATTTCACCTAATCAGACTTAAAATTAGAATTTGGTTGTGATTTTCTCGTTTTTATTGCGAAACCATATCAATTAGATAAGTAGTTTACGTGCATGCAACATGTTTGCCAGTCCGCCAGCATTGATTTTAATGTCAATTCGAGTTTATGTAGGCTCGGCGCTCGCGGTTTAGCAGTTCTGAAAACTCTGACTGATTGCCTTACGACTGGGAGAAATCGATTTTTCAACATTAAACGGCATTTCTGTCAACAACGAGTCATGTATCGCGGGTGCTCTGACGACTTTCTATAACAAAAGGTTGCATGGGCGCACATACCTTTTTCAAACATGCACACAACTAATGCAAATCTTGCTACTTAATTGAACTAGGCATTTATAACCGTATACAAACATCTATCATATTTGTATTATTTGTTAAATACTAAAAATAACAGAAGTATGGAACTATTGAATTGAAAATTCTTTATAGGGATTGGGTGGTACGCAAATAAATAAATCGCGTTTCTAAATAATTTTTATTTACAAAAGTCAACTGAAAGCTAAATATCAGGAGACACGATATACCAATATATCTTATATTATAGAAATAAATAACAAACTAAATCTACTAAAGACAATTAGTAATACCTCGTGTACTTACATCGCAGTGCTATTTCAAATCACATTGCAAATGTTTAGAAACGCGATCTCCGCGATGTTAATAATAAGTTGTTAATAAACTGTTCAAGTGCAATCCACGTTTGTTGTGTCGCGTATAAATGAAACTCTCTTCGCGGGCCGAACAACGAGCGCTAACTGACTGAACGTAAGGCGGCGGACCTCGTTTGTTGTGACCGTCGCCGGGTAGCGGTGAAAACACGCGAAGCCCTATCGAAAAGCGCGATGTCGTGTGGCGGCCAACGTTTTCGTGCATTTCGAGCACGCGCTTTTCCACAGGTGAAATTGCCCCCGGCGGGCCACTCCTCCGTGTGCAATTACGGCTTGAACACACAGTGCGTGTTCGATGAGAAACAAGCATTTTAAATTTTCATTGTTAGCTGACTATTTTTAACTGCACTAAGTGCAATGCATTTGTCAAGATGGGGACAATTTAATATCGCGTTCAAAACGTAATTAAATGATTCGAGGAATATGTTCTCCAACGCAGTCTTTGAAGTCTTATCTACATTTGGATAGGTTGGTATCTTACCTTTTTAAATGTAACACGAGTATTTTGTATTCAACTAAAAAATGTGTGGAGCGTGAAAACGGACCAAATGCACACAAAAAATTTTAACGTCTATTTGACTGACCTTAATGATTTAATACCACGATATGTCAAAGCCCATTTATTGAACAAATATTATTTAGAAAACACTGTCACTACAGTCACGCAACTTTTTTTTTCATAATTTAAAAACAATGGCACTGGTAATTCTAATTGTATGTAATTCTATTTTTGACAAGACGCTATAAATTGTGTGCTACTCAAAACGACAAATAAATATTGATTTTTGTTGTAATCATCCTGGATTCTCGTAATATATTATGCGAGCAGGCATAGGTAAACTAATTCAACTGTACGGTTCAAAAATGTATATGAAATTTTTATAGAAGTGTTTATAAAATGTATTGTCATTTTCCAATTCACTTTATGATTCAAGATTTGTCACCTAACGCGATCTTCAAAATTAAATAAATGCTTGATTTTGATAAAAAAAATGTCTAGATTGTCGGAATGTAGTTAAAAACACGCTGTAAAATTTCCTATTAGACATTTTCTGTAGAGGTGTTCCAATTGCCAGACTGTGTCCAAATTTGGCAAGTGTACGTAATTTGCGCATGTTGGACCCTAGGACTTCCTGCGGGCTGCCCAGCAATCACCTATTACACTATTTTCATTGAATAATTTGGTTCATTTAGGTTAAATTCTTTGCAGCGATTGAAAAAATGCAGCGGCATTTGTAAAAAATTGAATGAGTTTTCCGAGATAATTATATCCTATCTACTCTGATCTATGTTTGAAGAAAATGTCATCTTACCTTAAAGGGAATTGTAGGAATATGTTGACTTGGATGATAAAATTTATGGAGTACCGAATTATGAACGAATGTAGTATGAACGAATTGCAAACGATTTTGAAACTGATCTAAATGATTTGTTATGGCAATCTGTCACTTTATGACACTTCTGGACATGGCCCACTGGGATACTTCTTTAAAACTCCGCTTTGAACTTTACGTTTTGATAATTCTTCCTTTTCTCTCTTTCGCTTCAATTTTCGCAGTTTTTCTTCCACGCCTCTCCAGTTTAGTCGACAAACATCTAATCCACAACTTTTATTTTCTTCGCCATTTGTACATTCTCCTTATTGCTCCTTTATATGCAGTCCTAGCAGCCTACCATTCACCTCTAACACCAAGATAACTAAATACTTTGATTTATACCCATCAAAAAGCTCTCAGGAAAATGTAATGTCATTCTAAAATTTACAATGTAGCGCGTTTTTCTACTTAGTTGAATTGTATCTTCTTTTATTTAAGGCGGAAGAAAATACAATCTTACCGAATGGGTATTGCAGGAATATGTTGGCTTTGATGATACAATTTATTAAGTGCCGAAATGAACGAATGCAAACGATTTTGAAATTGACCTAAATGATTTCAAATTGTCATATTTTTTTGAAGTTTACGTTCTAGGCCTACTGAAATATTTATTTAAGAGCGTGCTTATAGATGACCCTTACGCATCATCATATCTATCAATTTTGTTTTTTTTATGGAAAGTATGCCATACATTTAAATAGACAGTAATATGACAATTTACAGTACTCCGGGACAACCTGAATTACACATGTAAAAAAAAGAACGTGGACCATCGCAAGAAAGAGTTAAGATTGCTCAATATTCGAATATCAATCTAAATAAGAATTTAGATTTACATAAATTGAATTTTAATTATTCATTACTATTAATAATTTAAATTGCTGAACTACTATCTAAATCATTCATAGATGTCACTAGCATGAATTAAAAATCATAAAATAGAATTGTATTCTGTATTTTTATATTTATCAGCAAACGTGGGTATTCGGCACGAGAATTGTGTTTGTTTTGAACACAACTTACACTTTCTTATCTCATTCTCTGCGAGGATTGCAACGCATGAGATTCCCGAGAGTGCCGTCTGTTGCCATCCCCTCACGCTGCATGTTGGCGCATCTTAGTTTACTTTTGATCGCAGGCAACGTGCCAAATGCAATTCGCGCTCATGGTCGCGTGACATCGACGCATTGACTTTGCGCATCTATTGCTTTCTTATCACAAAGTATCGCGTCGTTGCGTACACAGTTTGCAGCCAGTTTCGTCTCGGTCTCTGGTTGATCCGGGCTTGTACTTTCCAAATTCGCATTATAATATATTTGATCATCAATCGACAATTAATTTTATCTTGCGACTATATTAATGTTATTTGCGCGTTTATTGCCCGGCTGGTTTTTGATCGCGCTGAAAGTGTATATTGCAACTCACAAGGTGCCGAGTTAATAGGTGAATCTGAGAAATATCGCCCCATATGGATTGCTTTCTTCATCATTAGGATAACCCATCGTGCTGGTTTAAGTACTCGTAATTTTTTACTAAACAACACAGACGGTTTGTTTTTTCCGCTGCGTGAATACTATATTATTAAAAAATATGAAATATTTTGGTTCTACGAAGAAAATAGAAGTATCATTGTTTTAACTTATGTTTTCTTTGTTTATTTACAGTATTTGCAGTGCCTTGGAATCCGATGTGTTTGTTCTGCATTGGTAAGTTTATAATTCAATTAAATTTTTTTGTTTTAATTTCTGCGTCGTACACTGGTATATAATTACGTTGCTTTTTTATCACGGTCCACTGCGTGTTGTATAGATATAAAATAGTCGCGTGCCCTGCTGATAACATCCAGGAATTAACTATTTAGTTTTACATTATATTCGGGTAATACGAGAGTTGTTCTTAAAGATGCTCCAAATAGTAGCACAAGTTTGTTCTTTTCTATGCATTTTTCATAACTTGCCGACATTGTGGGAGAACCATTCTTACATCAGATTGTAAGTATTGAATTTATTTATCATTTTCATAAATAACTTTAGTAAATTGCTCATTAATTAGCAATGAAAATTGAATTTTTGTGTTTCGAAGGACTGATTTTTGCTTGTTTTAGGTGTTTTGCACCTTAGGCCGACATCGTAGGAGAACCATTCTTGCATCAGATTGTAAGTATTGAATTTCTTTATCATTTTCATAAATAGCTTTAGTGAGTAGCTCAATAATTAGCAAGGAAAATTGCATTTTAGTGTTTCGAAAGACTGATTTTTGCTTGTTTTAGGTGTTTTGCACCTGAGGCCGATATCGTAGAAGAACCATTCTTGCATCAGATTGTAAGTATTGAATTTATTTATCATTTTCATAAATAACTTTAGTGATTAGCTCATTAATTAGCAACGAAAATTGCATTTTTGTGTTTCGAAAGACTGATTTTTGCTTGTTTTAGGTGTTTTGCACCTGAGGCCGATATCGTAGAAGAGCCATTTTTGCATCAGATTGTAAGTATTGAATTTATTTATCATTTTCATAAATAACTTTAGTGATTAGCTCATTAATTAGCAACGAAAATTGCATTTTTGTGTTTTGAAATACTGATTTTAGCTTGTTTTAGGTGTCTTGCATCTGAGGCCGATATCGTAGGAGAACCATGCTTGCATCATATTGTAAGTATTGAATTTCTTTATCATTTTCATAAAAAGCTTTAGAGATTAGCTCATTAATTAGCAACGAAAATTGCATTTTTGTGTTTCGAAAGACTGATTTTAGCTTGTTTTAGGTGTTTTGCACCTGAGGCCGATATCGTAGGAGAACCATTCTTGCATCAGATGGTAAGTATTGAATTTATTTATCATTTTCATAAATAATTTTAGTGATTAGCTCTTTAATTAGCAACAAAAATGGCATTCTTGTAATGTGATTGACAAATTTCCCCCTTATATGACAATTTTCAATGTTTTAATCGTATATTATTATAGTTTCCCCACAGCGTCGTTCTAGTGCCTGCTCCCGAAACTAGATGGCGCTAGGTATTGTTCACACTCCTTTCTAAATTAGTTTGAGTTGCCGCTGCTAGATGGCATTAGGGTTATGGTACATTATTCTGTAAATTACTTTGGGTGGTCGATACTAGATGGCGCAAGTATCGGATTCATCCGGATAGCAATCAAAATCAATATTTTCCACTTAGTCTATCCTGAGCAGTTATTTTAAATTCCGCGGTATTTAGTTATACTGTCGAAAAGCAAACAATTTAGTTAGCGTCATGCTTAGTATCATGTGCCCTCGTGTGTTTGTCGGCCGTCGGATCATTTTCTGTGGCTTCGATTTCTAGGAATAGGTTTCATTAATCAAAATTGTTCAAGTATTAATTCGTGAAAATAAACCGTTTGTGTTCCGCCTGTGGAAAAATTGTTAGAGCAAAAATACTAAAGTGAGTAATTTCTAACAATTTGCCGAAACGTCTTTGTGCACTTTAGTACTTTCTGGATGAATGAACAAAATAGTTGACTTAATGTTATGTATAAAGTAAAATTTGCTTCTGTTTAATTTTTTAGTTTTTACAGTTGCAATTGCATTGCCATAATAATTAATGTATATGATTCCGACAATAAAGGATAATTTTTGCGAATTAAAAATGATTTCATGAAGTCACAAATCACAGCGAATCTGATTTGTGTTTGTTTTTAGATGTCGAGGAGTTGAACGTGACCTCGGTGTACAATCGTGCTCGTATTCAATTGTGAGTATCGAAATTCTTATCATTTTCATATCTGCTTTGTTCACGTAGCCTGCTATATCTTTTCCTTGTTTAGTCGATCGTGCGATGTTGTTCGATGCACACGTGTTTTGTTCACAAGTCGATCTTCGTAACTAGTTTGCGAGTTTCTTGTGATTTTAAGTTGGTAGTTGAATTATAATCGATCAGCAAAGGTAACAATTAGAATCAACGGACTAGTGCGGCGGGTAGTTAATGAATTATCACGGGTGGAAGTCAGAATTGTGTAGTTTTATAATGTGCGCACGTTTTTGCCGTTGGCCGTCGGATATCTTACGTTGGCTAAGAAGTCCGTCCTAGTGGTTTTATTTGCGTAATGATATTAATTTGTGAAACTAAACACTGTTTGTCCCCGTGTGGAACATTTTAATCGAGAAAGTGCACGTAGATAACTGCAACATTATCATTCGACGAATTAAACAATTAGTGAAGATATTTCATGGACGAAATGAATTTATCAGTCGTTAAGGAAAAGCGAGGTAACCGTTGAATAAGTAAATACTTTGAAAATAAGTCAATTTTAACATATAATTTTAAAATTCAACATGTACTCTTCTGATTGTATGAGTTGCAATAAACTATACTTACATTTACTTGTATATTTGTCTATGTTTCCTCTTTGTCGTTTTCAGAATTAGATTTAAAGACCACATTTGATAGTACGTGTTTGAAATGCGAATAACAAGTACATAAATGTTGTTGTTTTTAAAAAGGTAACAAAAACAACACCATTTATACCTGAAACGAATAAGCTTTGATATGAGAGCTCAGTGGCTCAGCTGGGTTATGCATACTAGGCTAGCATGCTAGGGATTCGTGGTTCATGGTTCGAATCTCAGTTGTAGAAAGCAGTTTTATTAAATAATAAGAAATTTAAGAGATGCGGGTTGCATGCCACCAAAATATGGATTCAAATGTTAGAAATAAGTTGAAGAGCAGGGTACGGAACAACAATAGTAATAATTGAAAGAAATAGAGAGCAGCAGAAAAGGATAGGAGAAGTAAGAAGAGGAGAGAGAGAGTACAGGAAGAAAAGAGAATAGGGGTGACGGAATTTTTAAATTTTTTGGCGGCGTGTCGTTATAAGACAGTCTTACGGCCCACTGCTTCGATGTGTCCATTGCTCCCGGCCCATCCTACAGCTACGATGTCTCTGCGCTTCATCCCCGAAATACTCAGGCATATCAACAATTTTTATGGTGGGGGATCATCCCCATAGAGAGGGAACTCCTTATAAGGACATCCTTTTAAGGACTTGTAAAAATATTTCTAATTTTTAAGTCGCCTCGAGAGAGGGGACACTTAAAAATATTCTTACAAGTTCTGACCTGCAGCTGAAATGAAAGTGGAGAACACAAATCATACAGGACACCTTAACAATTTTTATAGTGGGGATCATCCCCTGAGAGAGGGAACGCTCTTAGAGACCTGTTCCTGAAATGATAAAAGGGGTACACAAATCAAAGAAGTCAATATATCTTACTATTTATTTATTAACAATAGAATACAAGTTTATATTTTACAAGTCAACAGAATACATGTCGCCATTTTGAAACAGGACTTACGACCTGCACAGCTGCTTACATGCCATCAAGTACTACTACTTCATAAAGTTATACCGGAATAATTATATTAGTAAATAGCCAATTTTCTGGGTGGAAACTAATATAGAGGGTGTTACAAAAGGAAAATTTTAAGTGCAAACAAAAAAACTCTCGACACTACAAACGCCGCTCGTTTTCACCAGACGATCAGGGAAACTAATATACAGGGTGTTCCAGAAAAAATCAAAGTGCACACGGGAAAATACTAAAAACGACAGCTAAAGCAAAATTTTCACGGACACAAAAAAACATATATACAGGGTGTTCTAGAAAGAAAATTCCATGTGCAAAACTGAGAACACACAAAACTCACTAAAGGTAATTTTCTACGTGCTGATGGGAAAACTAATTTACAGGATGTTACTAACAGAAAATTTTAGAAACTACAAAGAGAGGTAATATTCACAATATGAAGAGGGAAATTTACAAATTACCAACAATATTTTAATAGAAAAACAGAGATTTTGCCCGAAAAACATCAGAAAATTGAGCAAAAGGGTGCTACAAAAATAAAACACTTACATTTTAATATATTGTGAATATCTATCTATCACTACATAGTATAAAGTAAAGTCGCTTTTTTTTTCCGGTCCCTTTGTGAGCTTAAATCTTTGAAACTACGCAACGGATTTTGATGCGGTTTTTTTTAATAGATAGAGTAATTCAAGAGGAAGGTTTGTATATATAATAACATCCATTAAATAGTGGAGAAGTACTGTTATTTTTGAGGTTTCTAATGTGATATCGTAAAAACAAAGTTTTCGATTATTCCCGTCTGCTCTTTGTGCGATGCTTCGTAGCTTCCCCCTCCAAGCATAGACGTGTGTATGTGTGTACGTGTGGGTTGAAGTTGACCGGTAGATGTTTTTGTTTGGAGAAGGAAAGTCGCTTTCTCTGTTTGTCCCTTTGTATGCTTAAATCTTTGAAACTGCGCAACGGATTTTTTTAAAATTGCGGACGTAGCGTTTTCGGCGGTGCCGGCCGGCCGCCCGGTGCGGCAAGAGCGTGCCTATAAATAGCGCGTCTGAGGCCGCGGTTTTCCCTGTAGCACTTTGAATTTAGCAGCGAAGATATTCCAAAGACAGCAGGAAATCTTCATGGTATAGGGAAAGGTGGATAGTTTTACTCCAAATTTAACGCGTGCGGGCCACGGGCAGTAATGAATAAATCAAAACTACTGGATCGATTTTAATCACATAGGCTATATATTTTAAACCCGTGCGAAGCCGTAGCGGGCCGCTATGTTTTTATATACAACGTTCACAGTTTTTCTGTAGTGTATTTAGTATCAGTATTGCAACCGTGCGAAGCCGGGGCGGGTCGCTAGTGTTATTATATATCCGTCACATGGTATTATACTGTAATATACTTATTTGTTATAAAATAAAATGGAAATAATAAATAATAATTAATCCATATTTTTTTACAAATACCATCTGTGTGAAAAAGCACAGTGGACTCCGTGACTGATGTTCTCTTATTGTTCCTCTTATATTGTTCACTATAATGTAATATTACAAAAACTTTAGCCACAGCAACGCGTGGCCGGGTCAGCTAGTATGTATATGAGCCGCTTATTTTGAAAGTGGCCTAACTCCATTTATCTTCAAATCGAGATATTGAAAGTTTTGCGCTTCAATGAATTTAAAAATATAGGTAAAAGATACTAAGGAGTCATACTGCTTAAGCGTATCTAAGGATGTTAAATTTAAAGTTCCTGTTAATTAAGTAATTATTAATTATTAAGTAAATAACGTGCGTTTCCTTATCAAGAATGGAGTTGGGCCACTTTCAAAATTAACAGCCCGATTCATTATAAAATTTGAGGATGCCCAAGTCCATTCAACATAATTTAAGATGTTTCAAATTGAAAAACAAAACGTTTTCGTTTCACAGACAGCTTCGTGAAGTAATACATTTTGTTTGTTAAAGTGTGCCAAACCCCTAAACTTCTCAAAAATATTCTTTCTTTCTTCTTCATTATAATTTTTTGTGCACGCATTCCGACAACCACAATCTTTGTTTTCGAAATTTTTTTCATGAACAATACTTCCGGTTTGACTGCAATATCTTTTTCCTGAATTCTGTTTAATCTTTCGCACTTTTTAGATATATGGTGCATCACTCTTTTCTGCATTGTTATTTGAATCTTCATCCTCTGACGAGGAATATTGTTCTATAATTCTTTTGTTATTCGCTTTTTTAATTATTAATTACTATTTCTTTTCACTATATGAACTAAGTGGTCTTCTTCTGTTCTTCCTCATGGGTGCAATAATTTCTATAATTTAATATTAAATTTTAAGTTTTATATTAATTAAACGTACAGGTTAATTAACCAACGCAATTGTCCCAAAAATAAGGTGAACTTGTAAATACTAATTAATTGAAATTACCTTCATCGCTGCTTTCCGACATTATCAATAGTAAATAGCTTGATGTAACTATAAATGGAGTTAGGCCACTTTCAAACTGCACGGCTCAGTTATTCAATTAATTCGGAAAACTTATGTGTAAAAAATGTACCGTATTTTCTCTGAATATAAGCAATCTGAAGTGCGTCACTGATAAATAACATGAAGTTGTACATGTAACCATGGTAACCGGCAAAAATTTAAAAAACGGAGTTAGGTCACTTTCAAAATAAACGGCTCATATATAAAGTCGACTTTGTTACTATGATTATAACTAAAGAACGGCTAATCCGATTTAGCTAAAAATTGGTGGAGAGGTAGCTTAGAGCCAGGAGAAGGTAATACTTTAGAATTATTTTTGAAGTGAAAACTTATTTTAAAAAACACTAAACGACACTAAAAAGAGACAAAAATATTCGCTTATATGGTTTAGCTTGCGGAGAATATGAGAATACAAACACAAAGTTTTCTATTATCCCCGTCTCCTCTTTGTACGATGCTTTGTAGCTTCCCCACTCAACATGCCGCGACCAAGACGATCAAATCTTTACCCACAAAACCGTAATGCAACTACGATTCGAAACATTGCGAATAAAAGGGCGGACTGAAGAAGAACAAGAAATTGCACGTGAAAAGCGCCGTTTTAGTATGGCTCGACTTCGTGCCCCCCAATCACTAGAGCAATGCGAGACGGGACAAAGTTTGCCGGGTATTACAAGATATTACAAGTAGAATCTTAAAGCAACCCGACGTCTTAAACTCCCAACCATGACTATGAAATGTGTGACGACTGGAACAATCTTTGAAGTTTAGTAAATGTCAAGTGACATTCACAGTTGATGTCAGCACCGCATCTGCCTACTTGATAAACGAATACAATTGCCGCTCGCCTGTTTGATACGCCGATATCGACGTAACGAGCCTGTGGTGCAGTGGAATATAATTTATTAAGTTTGCATAAACATAATCAACTTACTAAATAATCAAATACTGGAGATATAAAGAGAGGATCAAGAGGTATACTACAAACTTATGCAGCTTCGTGAATTATTCGGAAAACTTCGTTATAGTACGTCAAACCAATTGCAGTTTGTTATTTGTAAACAAAAAAATATATCCGATGACAATATCATTTCTATCATTTCATAGATAAATTTGGTGCTGTGACCAGGAAGATGTATCCCAAGAGTGATCCTCATAGTGATCCTAATCTAAAACGCGTAAGTGAAAACACGATTACCACTGTTGTTCGGACGGCCGTGTACCATGCTTTTGATCCGCTGACAAATTTGTGCCAAAACGTGTCGATCATACTCGTACAGTTACCAGTATAGGGACTGAATGCTCACAGGTGCTTCATCCATCGTAAACCGGTAGTGCTGTTTATGATGCTTTGACCAAGTTTCACGTCGTGTTTATTTTGCTCGTTTCTAAACGTTTTTTATTTATAATCTTAACTAAGAGGCACGTTATAAACTGCCTGTTAAAAACTGTTAAGTAATGAATTCAATTTATTCTTAATAATCAGGCTTTTTGGGATGTTAGTAAAATATGTCTTAATATTTTCTACATTATTATACGAAATATTTCCAATTTGTTTTAATCTACTTTAAAATTCTTCCCGAAGGTACACCATGGCAATGACAATCAAGAAGAACCTCCTTCCAAGGAGGTTAAATTTGAAATTGGTTTAATGGAGGGAGTTATACAAGACTGGTCAAACTCCGACGTAAATCATATCACTTCATCGTTATCAAAACGAGAAGCACTGGAGATTACTAATAGTACGATTACTAAGGTCAATTTGTCAATTAATTCCTCTGAATCATTGCAAAGCCAAACTATTCCTGATTTGATTGATGACATGTTTGCTGACTGCTTCAAACAATTTTGCAATAATATGAACCATAAAGAGCGCGGTGTGAATTCACTGAAGCATTACTTCGCATTTTTACCCCGTAACATACAAAATATGAACAATAATTTAGGTTCGCTATGTGCAGAATACGATATTGCCTATGCAGAAGCCGATAAACTGCGAAAGGCTGAAACCGTTGATAATATTACTTCTGAGAATTTTGAGATGTATATTGAGAATAGTGGCAGCACAATTCCAGAATTCTTGTTGGATGAAAGCAGTGACGTCTTGCTACAATATGAGTCACTATATCAACAATTAGTTGCGAAGACTAATAAAATGAAAGCAATAACTGAAAAAATTCGGGTAACACAATGTGCATTGTACCGAGCAGTAAATAGTTACAACAAATGTGCAAAAATATGTGAAAAGTACAAAACTCGAATGCACACATTCCAAGAGAATATTCATTCCTTTATAGAATCGTTTAAAAGACATTAATAAAAAGATTGCTATAATAATTGTAGTTTAAGGTTATATCGCCGCCGCAGCGGCGTGATTATTACGGAGTTCTGTGTAATATTTATGTTTGAGTGATGAAGAAATCAAAATGGTTCAATTTTAAATATATTAGAGTAAATGATGTTTCGAAAAAAGCTGTTTGCAAACATTGATTTATTTTTCAAACTAAATATCTAAATTATCTAATTTGGTAAATATGTTTTTAATCATTATTTTCTACACCCACCTCTAAAACGCCAGTTTTTCCACGGTTTTTATACTCAAAAAGTGGTTCTTTATATTCGGACGGCCAAGCCGTACATAATATTCATTATGTACTCGAGACAGAGCAGCCGCCTGCGCATTTGCTTACGGAGCAGCCCAAGACGGTATGAAATGCCATGCGACATCAGCCAAACACGTCAAATCAGGCGCTGTTGCTGCTCGTATCGGAGGGCCACGATATGAACCGAAGCGTCATATGCGCCGGCGCGCGACAAGGCACTAACGGTTAGTGACTAAACCTTGAGCGCGAACCGCATTTCGCACGTTACCTGCGATCAAAACTAAACTAGAATGCTGCAACATGCGGTGTGAGGGTTGCATTTCGTTCCTCGAATGCTATAAAAAAAAAGTGTTTATATACCCACGCAGGTAACAGCATTGTGTTCAGAACAAATACAATTCAAGTGCTGATCAGAAGAGTACAGCAACTTAAACTGTAACAAATTCCTGATATGTACCAGGAAAATACCATTTCAAAACTACCTACCACCATCACGCTTACACGTCCATCACAATACTTAGTTTACAACAAGTTAATACGAACAACATAAAATTTATTTAAAAAAAAATCATTAATAATCCGTGTTGATTTACTTGCAGACGATATGCATTTAGCTTAATGCTTTTATTATTCATTTGCGCTTCAATAACATTGTAAAAACAAACAGTTTAAAATACATATGGTACATTTTAATTAAGCATATTCGTAACTCACATCTGCACTTATTCAAGTAACACGTTGCAACCTCGTTCAAAAATATAAATAATAACATAACAATCATTTATACACTAGAGTCGTAGAATTCTTACGCTTATATCAGTTATATCAGTAATAGATGATGGTGAATTGAGAGTAGTCAAGTGGTAAATAGTTTAGTATCCATTTGATTAAAACTGCATATAGATTAGACCATATTTTAAGTACTTACGACTGATGCTAGCTGTGAATACCTGAAGTTTAACAAATTGGTGTGAATAATATCATATTGTTATCAGTACATATGTTTAGCCTATCCCGAACAATTCCAACGTGTGTTTGGCTAGCGCATTTTGTAAGAATATTTATTTCATATAATTGAAAATGAAATGTTTATACTGCTGCCATATGTTTTGTGTGTTGTGCATACGCTGCCTGGGTTTGGGATGAATCTGTTTTTAGAATATTGTCGAATGCACTTGTCGGAATTATAGAGTCACCAAATTGATTTCCCTTGCTTGCAGTTTTTTGCTATATCTTTGCTCCTTTGCTTCTTTTCGCTCATTACACGCAAGATTGCATTTTACAGTTTGACGTGGAATATGCTACAATTAGAAAAATAAATTGCACAATAAGCAGTAATTGCCACACATTCTGATATATAAACTGTCTATCATGCTTCGTCATGTGTGTCCAGTGCTTTGAATGCACCTATTTCGTGCCTGGCCCCGTCGTCCGTCTCTGCGAATAACGATGCCATTATTTTATCAATATTTATATATGTATACCTTTATATATTACATGATTACTGTTATGGTTTTGTTGCTATAGAAGGCTAATGTCAGTAACAGTGTTCGTCCAATGTAACAGTTGTGCCACGCAAAAATATCTACTACCACTATTGACTAAAACAATTAAATTTTCTCAACGAAAGATGCCTACACATTTGTTGAAGTTCTGTAACACAATATTCTGTGAAACACCCCAGCCTGTTTTATACAGGTCTCCTAATCCCTTAAGCACAGCCAACATATTGTGAATTAAACACAAGTGAAGCTATTTGTAATTTACAATATTTAGCATCATCCCATCATGTTTTACATTAGATATTATATGTCAAATCTCAATAACATTGTATTCATCTATCGGTATGTACTTACTTTAATTTGATTTGTATTCAGTTAGATGATTATGCAGTAAAATGGCAAATTATAGTTAAATTGCCAGTGGATCCGATTTTAACACATTTTGAAACACACTATTCCTCTAGAGAATGTGCATTGATAATATATAGACATCATGGTTTGCGAGTGAAAAACTAAATAACAATTTCTTGATTGATAGCAGCAGATCCACCTTAATAGAATGATTATGTTGGTTCGTGAAACGGTAGCAGTTGTTGATTTACTGTATAATCGTATTTGGACAATATCCATGCTCATGGCCAGAGCAGTAGATTCTTGGCGAATGTGAACTGTCCCAAATACCAGGCCCACAGCGCATGCAGAGACCCGATAACGTACAGGGGATCTCTCGAAGTTGACGAAATTGGTGTAGCAAACCGCGCGCCTTTCTTGCAATCACTTCCCCATCCATGTACATTGCTGCGACATGTACATAGATTACAACAGTGTCACATACCTTAACTTATTGACTTACCCAGTGAACTGAAATGTAACAGCATTTCATCCGCGCGCAGATCCTGGGCAATCACATCGTCAGCATACACGCATATTATTGCCAAACAGAGGAACAAATGGAAATAATCGGTGAGATAATTTGCCCAACACGCTTCCCACATACGCAAGGCGACCGCTTCTGTAAACTCTCGCTTAAAACATCTGAAAAGATGTATGTTATAAGTACATATTTATATAGAAAACAATAACTACAAAGATGACTTACAGTAAAATCCATCGATGACAAAATAAAAGCTCATTGGCATCTTTGTGTTTCTGCAGATGCTGGTGGAATTTTGGCACCATAATCTGTACGAGCTCACGTAGGAACTTCAAAGAGCGATCCATATCTTTGTCGGTGGGCGTAGCAACAAAAACAGCCCGCTGCATTAGACCCACGAAGCACCAGAAAGCAGCAACTTCATCTCGAAGCTCAAAAAGCACCGGCGCAAGCAGATCACTCATTCCTTGTGTATATCCCAAGCCAGGATTGTACACCGCGTAATTTAACAAAATGTTCTTCATTACATCTAGATTTGGATTGTTATCCCCCGCAAAAAACGGATTTCCCCGATCCGTACGCACCACATCCTTTTCGACAACGCTCTGCACTTTTCTTTTAAACTGTGTCAGATGATTGCCGATCATGTCAAGCCTGCGCCGCGTTATTTCCTCGTACTCCTGGCGTCGGATTTCCGCAATTTGAATGCGCTCAAGAAATGTACTCTGATACGGGTAACAATGGAGTAGGAAAGGCCACACTTCTTTGCGTAAGTTACGCTCCATGCCAGTAAAAAATACCGCCTTTCGCAGAGTGAGATCGTCTTCGAGCTGACCGGCCTCGTTGAACAGTGATCGAAATACGTCTTCAGTCAATTTACCTACTTGACCCTCTTCCGGGTGCAATTCGAGCGCGGATACTTCTGCACGACATACCATGAAGTGGCGATAGGGGAGATTCTCCTCGGGACCTATCCGTATCATTATAAAAACATAAATTATATAGATTTGTACAACGTATTTGAATTTACTCATTACCTTTAGGATATTTAATATTATGTAGCAAAGAATGCCACTGATGCAAAACCTGTGCAAGATGATCCAACCCGCCATGATGGAAATGTAAAATTTTGTACTGGCTCTCTCTGGATGCCACCACCAGTTGTCCACATGTGCAGTTTGCGTCGTTGAAAAACATCCGCAACGAGCGCATCTGTGAAAGATCGACGCTGAAGCGACGGCATTTGTGTTGGTTTTTTGCTGGTAAGATCGGTGAGCAAGACGCACTATCCGGGAAGGTCAAGTTGTGTTTCTGGGCAAGAAATTCGGGACTAAACCAGTTGCATTGACTGTCATTCGAGGTGACCGATTCAGAGCGACTGAACTCAAACTTCTCCAAAGACTCTCCGATATCCTTCACGCTATCTGGTGTTGTGATAATCTCGATATCCGGATTGGATATTTCCACATTGATATTAATAATGGAGTTTTTCTCTAGACTATCAGTCGAGCTTACAGATTCCTTGTCGGTGTCACTGACGTAGTTGAGAAAAGGATTAGTACTCTTGAATTCCGAATGCATACCATCAACACTGCCCACGCTCATCGGTCGGTTATCGTCGCAGGAGTCCAGCGAGTTCAGGCTTTCCACGCTCGTCTGTTTGGAGTAGTTGTAGACGTTCTTATTGGGCGACGGTTGCAGAGTGTGCGGGCATTTCCTCAACGTGCTGTTGGGTATCCACGTGAGCATAAGCGTCGGCCGTTTAGCATCGTTATATTGATCGATGAAAATTTTTGTCGTGATGGTGAGGTAGCCGGGATGATGCAGCACGTCCGTGTCCTGCCTCATAATGGCCGGAGGATGCACGCAAACATTGTTTTTGCAGAACAACACCTCGTTATCCTCGTAGTTGTTCATCTTCTCATCCTCGCCGTCCGCACCGAGAATATACGTGGACGCGCGACGCAATATGCTGCCTAGCGGCATTTTCCCTTAATTGTTAAGATTAAGATGAGAAAATTAAAAAGGTGCGTCAGACCCGACCTGCACCGCAACGTCCTTACAAAATTTTAACGCTATGGTGACGCGCACGAGACATGCAGTCGAAAAATGACTTTTTGATGAATTTTATGGAAAATGCACTCGCACTACACAGCACATTTCGTGAGTAACTCAGCACGTTATCTTCTTGACCATATTCGCCTCGACTGAGGTTTCAACCCACACTCGTTGTATTATTGATTTTCCGTCGCGCTTTTCGTGCCGTGCTTCGACTTGTGTGCGGAACGAGTGTTTTTCGACACGTATTTGTGTCGGACATTCTACGCTCATATTATTTTACGTTTTGCCTATCGGAATGTTTATTGCCTCAAATTGCTCGCTATGCATTTACCAAAGGGACACCTGCGATAAATTTGTTGAAGTAGGTCGAGGAATATTCAAACTTCCCGACAATTGTGTCGACTAATGACACCTAGTAAGTTTTATTAAAAACATTTCTTTAAGCGTAAAATTAGTGAAATAATAAAATTGATTTGAATTTACGATATCTAATAATTTGTTATATGCAACAACACCAAAAGAAAGATGAAGAATGATTAGAAAACAGGCCAGCAATGACTGACCCTTCTAAATAAAAAGAAATTAATCAAAAGCCACTAAGATTGTTAGTAGTGTTGGAGATTTACAAGTTTGTACCGTCTGAATAAAATTAAAAATTGAAATGGTAATTTAATATGTATAGTAGTGATCAAATGATCAATTCTGTACAGCCACGTTAATGTTAATATCTAAACAGCTATTAAGCTGCTATGGAGTTATTTCCACCTGTGTAAAAATTAATGTGTTTATTACACAAACGCGTGATATATATATTTATAAAACAATACAAAAACTTTATTAATGAACATTAAAATTCCTCCCAAATCAAAATAGAAGTAATTATTTTTTAAGTTGAGCAATCCCAAAAGGGCAAATATTATTATTAAGACAAGTGGCACATTGTGGCCTTAGCGGCTGGCAAATTTGTTGTCCAAAACCAACTAAAAGATGATTCACCTCCTTCCAGTAGCACTGAGGCAGCCAATCTTCTAACTGCTTGCGCGTGTCCTCCGGATTTTTCGACCGAACCCAACCCATCCGATTCGAAATGCGATGCACATGAGTATCAACACCTAAACAAATATATCATATTATTGCCACAAGTAAATCACGTTATGAGTAACAGTTCCTAACCGATGCCGGTAATCTCATCCCATGCAGTCTTCATACATAGATGAGCCATTTTAGGACCTACACCTTTCAATTTGCAGAGATCTTTAACTGTCCTTGGAATATCCCCATTGAATTCCTCCTTTATAATTTTTGTAGACTCCTTAATATACTGAACTTTCTTTTTCCAATAATTAACAGGATAAATCAATTCCCCCAGTTTATCATCACCAGTCTCTAATATTTTGTCCACAGTGCATCCATGTGCAATTAACTTTTGCATTGCTTCATAGGTGACATTATCTTTAGTCATTGAACTCAACATCAATGATATAAGGGCTTGGTATCTGGTGTCTTTTGGAGAGCCTGACTTATCCATGCACATGTCACATCCCATTGTATCCACTGGAGCATTAAACTCTGTTCTCATTTCTCGTAAATTGTGAAGCATTAGTTCCCAATTTTGGGGGGTTTTCAAATAAGATTTAGTGTTGGGTGAACCCTCCAACTTTGCCACCTTGCTTGATGATGGAGATAAAGAAGAAGGCTCCTCCTTAATCTTAATAGTAGCATCTATATCCACTTCCTCTTTAATGTCTAGTGGTTCCACCTTTATCTCTTGCTTAATTTCTAAGGGTTCTTCTTTAACATTAACTTCAGAAGGTTCCTTGTCATATTCAACTTGCAAATGAGGTCTCTTACTTCTAAGCTTGGGTCTCTCTAAAGCACTAAACTTGGCAAGAATTGAATTCCTTTCCTTTGGGGCCTCTTCAACATCATTGTTGTGAATTAATGACTGTTTCTTAGTTCTCCTTGGTTGCTTTGATGTACCCAAGCTCTCAACTGCTGAGGAAGTTGATTTACGTGCACAGCGGTCCTTTGTAATTCGTTTCATTGTAGAGATCAATTTTGTAAGAGACAAAAATTTTATTTGGGTTCCCATAAACAAATCTTGGTTTCAGGTTAGAAAGTACGCTCAACAAATACACGAAATATTCAAATCCAAGGCTATACTCACACAAAGATGAATTCTACAGGATTGCATAAAATAAAACAACAATTTCAATTCAATATTTTTTTTTCGGGAATTTTCAATAACATATTTTATATATAATAGATACATAATATTAGATCGTAGAGTACGTTTTTTTTTATTTTTCGTTTGCTTAATTTTGTTGAAATATAAGTTATATGGCAAATAATTATATAAACACTTCGCTTCGACGATTAGGTATACTAGTCATCAGTAAAAACATGAAAAAATGTGAAAAAATTGAGCAGAATCGAACACAGAAACTTGTACATAATCTCATGGTCTAGCCTTCTAATAAATGCATTTCAACATTCAATTGCAAGTATGAAATAATAATTCAAAAACACATAATATTAAAATTTCTAATTTGAGAAAGAAATATCAATCCCTATTATGTTACTACGCGCAACAACTGGAATTCGTCCAGACAAAACAACAATTAAATTCTAAGCAAAAAAATTGAATATTGAAACATTTTCCTCCCATGTCTACATCAAACCGACTATTTGATTATACGTTATGCAAGCACGAATCCTTGCATCGACCAGTATAATAAATAATAAGACTGGAAATGAATATTTGGTAATGTTGTATGTTCAGCGCCAACCATCGTGTTTGCTTCCATCCGAGAGAACACGCAAACAGCGCGAACCGCCCGACACCGTTTGATTAATGATTTTTTAGTCCACAACATCAAAGATATGAAAATATTTTTAAATGCACATTTCTTCTATTTGCTTATTGTGAATGTACTCGCAAACGCACGAATCATCTACAGAGCGCCAGTAAATGTGAGTGCCTCTTAACACTTTAAATTACGCACAGGCATTGCACATTATAGCTTGCGTTCGGCTAAGTCCTTGCATATTTACACATTTAGACCTTTCAGACAACGTATCAGTTCTTTTCCTTTGTTCGCCATCTCAGCCTGCTTGGTTCTTATTTACTTATATAATACGAACTTCGTGTGTACTCGGTAGAATCGTGCGATTCATATAATTACGTTTACCACTATGTACTGAGCTCTCGCCCAGCATCCTGCTATCTTAATTGTAATCATAATTAGAACGATAATAATTAATGTTTACGTTAATAATAAATGTATCATCACAATATGCACGTTTGATTAAGGGCCTTTTGGTTATCTTCATGTACATGTAATTCAATAGTAGATTAATTTAAAAGTTTTGAGTTACACACGTCGAAATGATAAATGAATACATACAGTAATTACTCACAAGAGAAAACGTAGAATCGCTTTAAACGGCGCGAGACGAAAGATGACATGTCGTTTAAAGCTTGAGCAACCTTAGTAATGAAAGAAATGTGTGGAACACATCACTATGAGCCTCCATTCATAGCCTAAAAAATGCGTTGCCGCTGTATCATCTCACAGCAGCTCTTTGAATGCATGCGCTCCACTCCTTAACGATATCGTGATCAGTCTGGTAAAATTGTTCTACAAAAAGCTCAGGTAATCAGTCGTTCTTGTTGCCTTCCATTTGTGAAATGTTGTTCACCAGCTTAGTCTCGACGGTTTAGTGATTCCTGCGAAAGAAGACTGTTATATCGCGTGAGCGGAGAGGAATTATGAAAGGCCTTACGTGGATCCAGGGCAGTAGTACGGGGGCGGCCTTTCGTATTCAGTTGCTCGATGATACTGCGGGGGGCCCCCATTTGGAAAATCCTCATATTGCCTGTGAGAACAACAGCGGAGAAAGAAAACACAAAGCTCACATTAGGCACATGAATGACTGGCACGGAATACAACTAATGAAAATATACAAGTTTTATAAATATTCCACCACCCTTTAAGAACCAACGAATCAACTTCAATAAGCTTTTAGTATCTATTAAAACGAAAACATGTTATTAGACTTTTTGAAACACAGAAAGCGCTTTTAGAAGTAGGTACTCTGAATATCTGGATTATGCTTTTGATCATCATATGGGGGCGGATGGCCGGGATAACTTAAGCAAGGCAAAAGTCAGACACGATTGTTAGTGAAATGATAACACTGAAAATATGAACAAACTTACTTCGGCGCCATGTCGGAATACCGCGCGTCGGTGTGTTGCGATCCCCCAGGATAATCCCGCGCCGCCATTTCGCTGTCCATGTAACGCCCGCCTTCATGGCGCTTCTTCTTGTGCTTCTTTTTGCCAGAATATTTACCCCTAGAACAAAAAAGCCGGGCGCTCGTAACATGTTTCAATCACTATGCGGCAAACCAAACAGTGCGATATATTTACTACGCATTCACTACGCTTGCAAAGTCGGGGGATGCTAAAGAATCGGAAAATTAAACTGAAATGATTGTTTCGCGCGCACAGAAGGGGATGCAGGATGCTATACTTAATGCGCTATTTTGGGAGCGCATGCATGCTTTTTGCTCACACAAAGAGGACAGAGGGTCCGACTCACCTTGCCAACGGAATATTTTCTCGATCGGCATACGCGTCATACAAACAATCGCTGCAAGTAAACAAACGAATAATTAAAAAGAACGAAACGACGGTACAAACGAAATACGTAACAAAACGGACCAGCCGGTAGCAAACCACCAAAATGATAACTCGTCGGGGAAAATCAAAGCTCAGCAATTCAATCAACTTTTTCAATATCAACACGACTTATTTCGCATGCCGACCAACCAGCCGATACTTACGCTTCAATATAGCCGTGATAGTTCTCCGAGGTCTTCTTGTACAAATCAGCAAGCGTTACGGCGATTATCGTCGTGGGAATAAATAGCATAATACACCACAAAATACTGACACCGAATCCAGTCTAGAAAAAGTAATTTATAAATTAAATTATACTTCAGTAAGTAACTCATTGCGTACCATTGGAAGAAGAATTTTATCGCAGGTCGACGTCAAAGTGCCATTGACGACCAAAGCCAGCGGCCCGCACTGACCGACGTCCTTCTCGATACTATCCGCGGTGCGGTTCAAGTACGTTTGCAGCACTTTCGTAATGCCCTTGGCAAACATGCGGATTACCTCAGCGATCTTATCCGGACCGTGTTGGCTCAACTCGTTCTGCGCAAATTCTATTTTGTCTGCCATGTCATTAATGGCGGCGTTGAAGTTGTCGTGTTTCAACTTTAAAGCTTCGTTCATTTCGTCCGCCAAGTTCTAATGAAAGAGTTTTGTTATTTTTTGCGCTTCATATTTAATAATTAGCACGTAATCTAACTTACCAACGTCTTCTTCGCATTTTCTACCATCGGTGTGAACAGCTTAGCAATGTATGTTTCTAAGTGCAACGCGCTGAGCTTCAGAGAGTTGACAAGCGCTTCATTTCCAGAAAGTCCTTCCAACGTTGTAATGACCAATTTCAATTGTTTCATGAGTTCGTCCAACTCCACAGTTGTGAAATCGTCAATCTTAACTTCATCTTTAACTCTATCAAATTTATCATGAATGCCACTCAGATTAGAACCCAGCTCACGCAAATTAGCAATGCTATTTGCGTCCAGCAACACAATGTGCTGTTCATCGATGGTAATGGTTTCCTCTAGACGTTTAAGTTCTTCGTCAATTTGAAATTTGGCGATATAGCCTCTGACCTCGGCAATGTTAAATTTGCTCTCGAGGTGGAACACTTGATAAACGCTCCCGTTGCGGTAACAGTTATTGATAAGATTCTTTAATGTTGTATCCAAGCCCAACATGCGTTTCAAGTCAACATGCTCATCATAGAAATCTAATACTTTACTGCTATTTGGATGTCTCAGCGGCTCGCACACCATCATCTGCACCGGCATGCCAAGAATATGCACCAATAGTATGATGACAAGCACGAACGAAGTGAGGAACATCAGCGTAACACTGCACATGAGGAACTTACTGCCAGCACCCTTGTTGCAACAGTCATCGTTGTACGTTGGCTTTTTACCGCATATACCGCAGATGAGGCCTAACGCAATCAAGAGTGTTATCAGCAAGAACACTACGCTCACGCCTACGCCCACATAGTATCTGAATTTCGAATAGCCGATGTAATCGTCCAAAACCGATAGGCCGTCGTTGGACTTGTCCACGAGCTCCTGCATTGTATTATCGATAACCTTACGCACGTCTTTCGAGTGTTTCTCAATTTCATTGCCGGCATCGGTCACCTTCTGTTCGACCGTCTTGATATTAGCGTCTACCTTGGCTTTGATTCCGTTCTTCAGGTCATCAAGTTGTTGTTTGCCAGCTTTGATCGCATCGATTAATCTATCGCTTTTCATGCTGGTGATTATATTGATATCGTCCGATATGTCCGGAATCTATAGCAACAAGTACAAATTGAATTAAATGAAAGAAAAAAAGCTATAACATAACGCTGTTAAAATAACAAATTTTAACACTAATAATACGGATGCATATTATCACAAGATATTTATCTACATGTCGTGTTCTATTTACAGCTGTGCCTAATTCAACATGCAGAACAACACCAAACTCACCCTTGGAAAGTATCTATCCAAGAACTGTATGAAATAAAACCCAAAGCAGTATTAGTCGAATTTTAAGACACATAACACATTCCTGTGTATCGAATGCGAACGTTGAAGTTAACGTAATTGACAATTAATAATAAAAAGTGCTTACGCTGTTGAAGTCGATGTTGGTTCCTAGCGAGTCTACATATTTCTGTTTCAGCTCGGAACAGCTTGCAATAGCGCCACATCGATTCAAATCCTCCAACAAATCTCGCTTTATTTTACGCATTGCTAAAGAAGAAAATTAATTGTTAGAACAATCGCTGTTTCACAAATTTGTAACAAATAAGAATTACCATCGTCCAGCTGAGACGCCTCCACTCTCAAATTATTAGTCAACTTCTTCAAGTCCTTTAGTTTATCCAGAGTCTCATTCATAGTGTCCGCCATCTCGTCGGCATCGTCGATGGACGACGCATTCGTAATCTGCTTCAATTCCTCATACAGAATCGTGCTACTCTCTGACAACGTCTTCAACAGCACCTTGCTCAATTGACGATAGTTGCGGTTCAACAACATCTCCAGGTGACTATTTGTCTCATTGAAATACTTGCGAGTATCGCTGACGGCAACGCGCAGATTGGCGGAGAGCTCATCGGTGCCGGTCTGCATATGCTCATTGCTGACGAACGAGCAGACCACGCCAAAGAGAAGTAGTGTACCCATGCCAATCATTAGCGTTGAATAAATAATCTTCTTGCATAAGTCACGGTTCTTCTCTGTGTGCTTGATCTCATCGCTGCCACAGCAGCAACGGCAACAGCAAAAGCAAAAGCCGCAGAACGGCATGCACACGGCGAAGAGTGCCAGCACACAAAGAAAGATAAGTAGCGGAATAAATGTCTTCGCCAGGCTGGCATAATCTTCGTTTTTGATGTGAACATTTGGCGGGTCATCTTCCACGACGATGTGATCTAAAAGAAATAAATTATTAAACACTCAACATTTATTTCACTTTCTTTCCGACCGAGTAAAAGTGGCCGTCGCTGCGCACGTGTTTGTTTACGTTCGCACACGTAATAATCGTAACTAAACCAAAGTATCCAGAGCGTGAAATAAACAAATGTTGTACATACCAGTGCAATCCTCAGGGAAGAGTGTCTTCGTGAGCACATTGGTCAGATTATACAGAATATTCATGCCCTTCGGATGGAACACTGTGGAACTTTCATATTGGGCAGTGTACTCGAACTCTTCATAGGGCACCTCCTCCAGCTGCTTGAATACCTTACGAATAGCGCGGCTAATCTCCGTGGTCATGCGCTGGATGCCGGACGTGTGCTCGCCGCGGCCACATTCTAACGCCACCAGCAGGAAGCCGACAGTGATGCACAAACTGAGCGCGTTCACAGTGCTCCGGCCCATTGCGAACTAGATGTTTCAAAGAAGCGTCATGTAAGGTGCACGCTACTCGCCAGTTTCTAATCCGCTTGGTTCGTCAATCTAAAATCACAATATATATATATATTCGAATATTTTATAGGTATAAATTATTTTGAATATGTTCATATGATACAAATTGCATATTTCCAAGATTGACACTGATACAATGATACCCTCGTTTGACAAACGTGATAGACAGTTGTGAATAGACATCAAAAACAGCAATATCGAGCAGTTCGCAGTATTTTGTCTAGTGATCGTGTGATTTGATACGTGCATGAAGCATGAAGGCAGCAGGAAACCACGAAAACAACGAATCGCGCTCTTTCTATCCCTATAAATCCAATTTATTCAGAGTACAATTACGCACGAATGCTGTACTATTCACATATTCACAACACACATGAGCACCACGTTACGGTACACAACACGACAAGCAAGGCGGAAGTTCAATTTGAACAAAGCGAAACGACCTCAGCGCACAGTGTGGACGACGCTAATTATCCAATAAATGGTCCTTCTCGTCTAATAGCCAAAAGGAAACTGTGCTCAAAATATTTCGCTCGTCCGAATAAAAAGCGAGGTTTATCGGTCCGGAAACAGTGAATTTTTGTTCAATGATTAGAAATAAGGCGTAGATGGTATGCCACACGCTAATTTGATTCTATAGATAAATATTTATGGTATGTATTAATCACAAATAGCGGTAAAACGCGCTAAAATTACACATGAAAGTTAAGTCAACCGAAATGAACTCTTTCGTGCCATTTGAGGTCTTGAGATCACAGACCGCTCTCAAACATAAAACATAACGACTCGTCACGAGCCTGACAATAGCCGAGGAACTACAACTAACAGTACAGTTATAACGAGCAACCGCCAGAAGCTCGGCGGACACTCGCCAGCAGAATTGCGCGTTGTTGCGCGAGGAAAACGTAATAAAACCTAACTTGGTCAATGAGCAGGTGAACGTAGAGATAAAAACGAATGCGCTGCGAATTGTGTGGCCAATAAAGCGCGTCATATGATCACGTCGGAACCGTTTCACCCAAAAGATTATATTGTTATGATTCATGACAACCAAGCAATAAAGCGAAAGAAACCATGTACAATGGGATCGTTCATTGCACTATCATACTTTTCATCTTTCCTCGTTTCACCGCCAGCTAATCGTTGACAATGTTTTTGATGTTTTTCCCATTGATAACGGAGTGAATTACGCAGATTGTGGTCAAATCGTCGAAACTATCGTCACAGATATTAGTAACACTGAATGCGTCATCAGGCCACAAGTTAACGTATAATTTATCGGCCACTGACTAAATGACACTTTAATTACATGGGCTTAAATTCATATTTGATTTTTTGCGATTTACGGTTGGTGCGATTTCACCTTGTCGAACCTTGTGTTAGGTGAGTTCAATTAAACGGCAACGGGACCAGTCAATGCCAATGGTGTGTCACTGATTTCTCAATATCGTTGCATCATGTTGTGCAGCTCGCAACTGCTCGCGAGAGAAAGATTTACACTCGGTTACAAACACACGGTGAATATTTTATTGCCTTTAACAATAGGAAACGATAACGTTGCTACATGATAAAAGTAATGCACAATTCTCACTGCGGTTTCGTTGTTAATCACGCGTTAATTACAAGTTCGCATTAAAACACGCTTATTTGGCGATTTGCTACCGTTCTAAAACGATATAGTTATTATTTGTTTTGGAATTAATTGTTATTCTACTTCCACCTATAAAGGGCAAGTTTTTTCAAGGTTTTGAAACACAAAAATTGGTACTTTAAACATGGCCAGCCGTGACTAAAGTTCTTCAATCACAGGGTGGACCTTGCGCCAGCGCATTTGCCTACGGTGCAGCAAAGATCATATACAATGCTTAAATTTCCCAGTTCTGTACGAGCAAATTTCGAAAATTTAAAATACAAAAATCTCGACGTGGAAATAATGTGTAAGTAGAAAAAAGAGCGTAGGTATCACGTGCCCAAACGTTGTTAAAAACGCTCTTAATCAATCTCGTAACAAAAACGCTCGTTTAACCACTTGATGCATAATATAATATTTACAAAGAAATATTTATTTATTATAATTTTACGTGATTTTTGGATTTTACAATTTGTATTTGAGTTGACATGTTTCGCCCAGAGGGCATCTTCATAAACGTATTACGTATTCGCCAAAGAAAGTAATAAATTTACAAAGAAATTATGACTGACTTTGAAAGAACGATTTTTCTGGCGCTATATCAACGATGTTAATGGCAACTAGCGCAATAAGTAACTTAAGTCATTTTGTTGCAATTTGACATTGAATCATCACAAAATGCAATTTATATCAATTGTGTCAACATCATAATGTCAAGAATATTTCAAACCCATTTAAAAGTTGCCTTAAATTACCCGTAAACAAAACTAATCCTCTCGCACGATTTGCGTGCCTAGAAGTCATATTTTATACACTTAATCACCAATATAAGAAGAAAAATATTTAAATAGTCTATGTCGCCTAGATGATTAAAAAAACTACGCATGTTGCATCGACATCATGATAAGAAAAGAAAAAAGGAGCAGATAATACGAGAAATACTCACGTAGTTACCGTAAAACTCTTAATAGAAACCAGCAATTTCCAATGTCTTGAGACACAATCAACAAAGCGAACGATAAAATTTCTATCGGTTGACAGCAGCCGTCAATGTTCTCGTCGGCGTCGTTAGCGTGACGTGATTATACGAACAATTTTCACCGTTTAAAGTTGAATGAGTGTTGAAAAGTAAAATGATTACCAGACTGTAGCGAAACGTTTGGCGTAACTTTTAAATTAAAACAATATTTACAAAAAGTGTTTCGGAACAAATGTTAACATAGATTTAATCATCTTTTACTGCCATACTCGTGATAAATGCCTCGTAACGTTATCATAATTATAAGCAAACAGTTTTAAAATGAATTATTTGTGGGTTTTTTAATTGACACATTACTGTTACAAATGCGGCAAGAAACATGCATTTCCTTATAAATTGTAACAAACATTGAAACAGTAGGTATTTATATAACTTATAGTTCTTACATGCATTATGCTCCTGTTTTCGTTTTCTTCCTTTTAATCTTTCATCATGCATTACACACATTTAACTTGTTTTTCACGGAAAAATAATTGTTGGCATAAAAATGATACAATCATTGCGAGGCATCTGTGAAACTGACATTAATTAAAACCCTTGATGATAATTGCGAAATGAGCATAGTGTCACAACAATGCGATTCCGGATGATTTCGATTTCAAAGCCACGCGTTGCATGTACAGTCTGATCGAGAATAATTGATACAAGACAAACACAATGGTACATTGCCGTAATATATAAACACAGATAGCAAACACAACGTAACATTATAATACGATTAAACAATCATTCTTTAGCCTGGAAGGCTTGCGCAAGCCAAATGAGGGATTGCAAAAAAATCGTCATCGTTGTGTCCCTTGTAATTTGCAGCAAGTAATTTTTTAATTGTTGTCGCACTCCGGCATTCTCCAGCGTTCGTTCACTAATGGCCGTTTGACGCTCGAATCTCACGCGAAGACGCATTTCGAAACTTTTTCATGCCATAGGCAAGCCGGATGACCCATGAAGCCGCGCGGTTCATTGTCTAGTCTAGTTTGGAACCGGCCTGGCCTACTTTTGTCGCCTGCAAGCTGCCTGCAGGCCTTTGCAAGTTGGAAGGTCTCACAAATGGGATTAAAATCTGCGCCTGCAAACGTTGCAATTGTGGCGCTAGTATTGATTCTTTCGCGTCTAGCTTGCCTCCAGCAGGACGCTACGGCTTTGCGCTAATTTTCAAAATGCTACGTACTACATAATACTGTGCGAAAATTACAAAACGCGCGCAGCGGATGCATATTGTTCGTCGGCATCTTTCGCGCGCGCCTTTCGGCAAACCATCGTCGACAGCGTCGTGCTTTATTACATTCTCTTTTTTTTTTCGTCATTCGCGCGTTGCGATGTTATGCATTTCGACTTTGAGCTGCGTTGCGCTGCTGCATATATGCGGCTGTTTGCTTCAACTCGTGTATGTGCGTGGGAATTGAGGTCACATTTACGAGCGCGGGTTGCAAACGCTTTCGTCACAAATTTTGAGTTCGAAACGAAATGTTATTATTGCTGTCTTCACAGCTATCCGTTAGACCAGTCTTTCCCAAAGTGGGCGATAACGCCCCCTTGTGGGCGCTGCAGGTCTCAAGGGGGGCATTCCTGTACATAATATACATATATAGGTCACAATATTTAATTAATTCAATTTGAAGTTAGAGTGGTTTTTAAATAGGTGAAAAAATGGGGGGCGCTAAAAAAATATTTATTCTCAAAGTGGGCAGTAGACAAAATAAGTTTGGGAACCACTGCGTTAGACGATGTCAAATTCGTGAGAATGAATTAAAGAAATCACAAATCAAAGTCCGAATTTCACGTAACCAGAGACAGCATTCAAAACTAAACAAAATAAGAAACCACCGAATAAAGTACTAATAGATAGACCCCAGACAAACCAAACAATTTTAGCCCCTTTTTTCAAAAATCGACGAGATTTCAATGGAAAGAACGATTATAAACAAGATAACAGTACTTATAATCACAACAAATCACGTCAGATGTAAGTTTCATACAAACTATCAGCCAAAATTATAATCAGCTTTACTATCAATATCAATTAAGTACTTATCAAAAAGTAAACTCATAAATATCTTCTGAAGCTCATCATGGACTTACTAAATAGTAGGTATTAACTTTCTTGAGTTGTTCCATTATCGAAGAAATTAATTAAAAAATATTCCACAATGAATACCTAAGTATTTCTACTTTCAGACACTAGAGAATGGTGCAGTGTACAAAAAACGACCAAGAGTATGGAAAAAAAACAACCACCTCGACCTCCTCTTCGTCCTGGTTAAAAAAAAAGTCGGAAGGAGTTCCTTTCTTTACGTAGTTCGATAGTTAGCAATTCCGCACTCCATACAAGTTGACCTGGTCGAGCTAGTTGGCAAGTTGAAAGAAAAGTTGCGGATTTTAGGTTACAAAAAAAAAACATCCCTCCAAGAAAGAAAACAAAGACCGATTGTTTACAATACCGGTGACCCAGTTGGAAACGTTGTGCAAGTTTTCGGAATCCCCAAAACTAGAACACGTCCGAAATGCAGCGAGAAGAGCAGAGAGGAAATGGCATTTCCTTCATAAAATATCAACGATGGCATAAAACAGGCATGACATTTAAAAAAAAATGCCGCACCGTAGTTTGAAAATTTTACGTGCGCATCGCTCTTTAAAACAATCAGAAGCGATGCTTGTTAGGACAAGTCGAGACCAATAAACCAATCCTTCAGTTGTGTTCAAACAGAACTAAAGCTTCCTTGGCGTAAATTTGATACGCTGCAAGTAGAAAAACTAATGTTTACAGATTCTGCTTTCATTCGATGAGCATTTTTACACTGTGTAAGTTCTCATACGAACGAGATAGCTGATTGTTGATTATTACATCTCATAAATCGACGTGACACCATAAACTCCAGCGCTCCTTACACATACGTTTCCCTGCGTGTCAATGGATGAAAGCTTCCACATAATAACTATTTTTAACTCAGCGCGCGATTTCAAGCCGGAGCGTGCCATCTCCGCATAGCGGGCGATTAAATATCTTGTAAAACTGTAACGCATAGCGCCCAACGCGTAATTCGAGTAAGCATCTCGGTTTATAACGACATCCACTTGGCACGATAGATAGCCGAGCGGGCGTACTAAACAGGCTTGTTATTAACCACAACAAGTTCTAATAATTCATGTCAAATGTCAACCAACGGATTATATTCGCGAAACGAGCGCATCTCTCGCGATCGCATCCATTGTTATATTGTTGTATGTTTAATAAAGGAAATAACAATGATTCGATTAATGATATCATGTTTCTAAAACGCACATTCGCACTTTTTACGCGTTGATAAGCGATAGGATAGGTACGTAAGTAGGTAGATATATATATATACCTATATAGATGCCTATCATTTGGTTTGGTGACGCATCAACAAAAGTTTCCGTAGAATTACTTTATCTTTATATGATACATGTCTATAATGTAGAAGTTAGAAAATATTACGTTGAACGCTTGAAGAGCACTGTAAACATGCAAACGCGCTTGACGACAATACATTAGATATTAGAAAGAGCTGTAGGCTGCAAACCCTGCCGGTGATAACGATATCTATCTAATAAACATCGCCAACATATGATATTAACAAACAAACAAGGACTACAATAACAAGCCTCAATCTTCCTGATGAGAAAAGACGTGGAATGAACTTTGGCGGTGTTGGTAGTCATCTTTCAGCAGCTGCCAGAAAAATATACAAGTCGATTTCAAAGCGAGCCTGTTCCCTATACATTTTGTTTGTTTAGCGCATCGAAGAAACTTAAGACGCGGTGTTTCTTTCCATGATAAGATCCAATTAAAATGGCCTATCCACGATAGGTGGAAAACTACTGAACAATCAAGGTACGTGCAGAAATTGGAAGAGTTGCGTTACATGGGTCGACTTTCAACGGGTTCTGGTCACGTCTGCTTTTCATCCGCAGTCAACGCGTCCCGGTAATGTGCTCAATGTGCTCATCCGCTTGTCAGAGCAGATGCTGGAATTCATCGCAAAGGGAAGAAATTAGCGCTAAAAACGAAAGATAGAAGATGTGGATGAAAATCCCATCTTTACACTCTGTAAACACCACATTTAATATCCCTAAAATAGATAAGGGTGGCTCATGGAAAAAGGAAGCAGTTTATGTTGAATTGCTAACAACGCTAGATTTATGCAACAAATTTCTCCTAAGCTTAGAGATGCGGAGATACTGTTTGTTTGGATAGTGTTCAGCGTATGCATGTGTACAGTTGAATTGTATAAACAATTCTATCAACGAATGTTAACAGTGTTGTTTGTTTGATTGCTGCAACTCGACGCAACTTGTTGGAAACATACAAAGAAACTAATTGTAGCAATAAACTAAGAATTTAAATATGAATACACCCAGGGATCGGAACAATGCATCATAATCAACTAACGAATGCAAGAGCTGTTTGTAATCTGGACAATTATTTGATGATCTTTATCAGTAACAGTGTAATAGTAGAATAATTGTTTTGATGGGATTTTCCCCTATCAATTGCTTCAGGTCTATTAGGTACTTGTACAACATAATTAGGTTTTGCTGCGTGCGCTGCGGGGCTACGCAGTTCTCGAATCTTGACTTTTTGCCATTTACGAACTCTAGCCGTAGTTCTGCGGTGAATGTCGACTGAGGTCGCGGCGTTGATGAAGAAGAAAAAAAAAACGGGCTGTGCGGTTGGGCTCGGTTGACTCACCCGTGCAATGACTCTTTGTCCTCAGCAGTTGCCTATCCACACAACGAACAGGAAAACTTGTTACATTCAACCTTCCGGCAGTCAAAGAGATTCGGAGTTTCCGCAAGTTGATGCTGGCTCGTTCAGTATACTTTTTGTTTTCTGCTTGAGATTTTCAGTCGCGGTGCACTATTCCAAACGATGGCAGCTTCGAGGCACTTGCGCGCTCGCGCACATAACGGGTCGGTGCTCTTTCACACGCCGTTCGCTTGCGATTTGCGAGTTATCAATAATGTCTGGTGCGATTTTCATTCAAGAATACGCGGATCTGAGAATCGTATCGTCGTGAGCAAGCCGCGCGGATCGCGATGATGGAGGTTCCGCCGTGCGTGCCGCGACGCTTTGTGTGTATTCGCCACTGGCAGCGCGCTGGCGGTGGTGTTTTCGAGCGAGCGGCGCAAACGACCGCGCACCGCGATGCACGACGAACGATTGCCGATGTCGAGCCGCTGCGCGCAACGATTGCAAACAAGCGCCGCTCGAAGACACTCTTCGTGCAGAGCTTGCATGTAGGGGGAGCTCCGGTGCTCATAACTTTTATTGGGCATATTTGTATTATAAAAACTGCATAACTAACATCAAATAATGAACCTTCGAAAATGTTTTAATACCGTACATTTTTCTGTCGCATGGATTTATCACAATGTTTAAAATATTGTTTCATGATAGGCAACCAATTATACATGAAGGTCCTCATATTTTCAATTTACCGGTCACTGATTTTCTTAGCGAAAAAGTATTCTCATTGATCTTATTATTATCATTTATACACAAAAACATTGTAACTGTGTTAAATATTACAAATTTAAAAAAAAAACATTTTCAACGATGACTATTCGATCAGAATCACATGAAACCCGTCAATTTAAACAAATATATTAAGTTTATTTTAAAAAATGTCAAGTTATTGGTCATATCAAAACAAAATTAGGATTTAAATCCACAACTACAGTCGCCAAACACGGACTTTCCAAACAAAAAGAGTAATCACTTGCATTTAACAAGATCAAATCGTTATTAAATATGAAAAAGAATTCATATCCTGCCACTTTCGCAGGATAACGAACAACCCAAGTTATTAGCGTTACTAGCAATTTCGAAAATATTTTTACACCGTTAACAGCAAGCCAATGAGGCTGTTATCAGCCTGAACTAAAAGTTTCCGTCTTTTGTTGGTGTGAGAGGTCGTGGTAAAAATAGTAATATAGAAAATACATTTTCTAATTTCACTCTGCTCCATAACAATTGCATAACAATTAGAAAAGTTTAGAATTTTAAGTTATGAACATGTTCGATAAAAAATTACACGCCGGCCATACTGGCCGCTTTCAGCAAACAAAAATAAATAACTATTCCTAGCATTTCCTAAGTGCAGCATCGCACATGATAAAACGAGGACAGACTCGTTAAATAATAAAATTACAACGAAAAAAGATTGGAATCAATCGCAAACCGCGCGGCGGGGCTCTGGTAACTTCGGTAGGCGAGGTATGTGTGTGTACTTAACCTATCGTGGGCAGGAAAATACTGGTAGCGCACTCGTCGCAACCTCACAACGCTTAAGAAATATGTTTGTACGCAAATAAAAGCTAAACACCAACCGAGCCCAATAATCAAAAACAGCACCACCTTTAAAACAAGAAGCAGAAGCCAATCATCGTGACAAAGAATTCTTTTTGAAATTATAAGAATCAGTTTTTTTTTTCATTTTTACAATAGTATTGTGTTGTGCGAGTTACCCCCTACGTTCTCTTTTTTTTTTTACTTCCAGGGCGAAGAGACATGTTCATGTAAAAAATTATTGCCATATCACAGCACGCAGAGGCGACTATCATTTGCGCCACGCGTCCGGGCCAGCGGCGTCGTGTGGCAGGCCCGGAAAGTGATTCTCCATATAATGTGAATTCATATGATGCTTCAGCTCGTTAGAGAAGATAATCTGCTTGCACGTGGCACATATTTCCAGGTTCTTCGTGCTGCCAAGGGCCTTGTGGACCCGGTACAGTTCTTGCTGCTTGTCAATATCGGGAAGCAGAACCAACAACTCCGGAAAGAGTTTGTCGAACTCCGAAGCGAGCACTGTCCGACAATGCTCATAGTATTTCTCCGCCGCGTAAGATCCACTCCGGAACAAGGCCGAGTAGGATTTAAACTCATTGAGGCTTTCCTGAGTCTTTAAAACACTGATACACCGTTTGATTAGAGCGATGTTGCGGTTCTGAAAGTTCAATGGCTGATAATACGAGTGCCGTGGGTTGTGCTTTCCCGTCTCGGTGGGCAAAATACTGTACGACTGCCCGCTGCTGCTGGTAAAGGTGAGGTCGTTACTGGTGAAGCCAAAACCTGGGGGTGGTTTGCTCGTAAATCCGGGCGGTCCAGACAACGGTTTGCCCGATGGTTGGCCAAGTGTTCCGATATTCAGTGTGGAGGTTCTCTTCACGAGGGTGTTTCCAGACTGGTTATCTTCGGGCACTTTCTCTATCGTCTCTGTTTTCGTCTTCTTTTTGTTCTTACTGTTGTTAGAAGTCGTCGGGTCGGGATCGGGCTTCTTGTCCTTAGATTTCGCTTTGGTGCTACCTGAATTGTTCGCAATGTCTTCCTTTTTCTTATTTGTATTTTTTTCTTTCTTAGCGTTTAATGTTGAATTGACAGTGTTGGAGTCATGATTATTATGGTTATCATGATTGTTATTGCTTTCGTGTTTCGGCTGAGGTTTGTTGTTCGAATCGACGACTTCTCGAATAGGTACAGTGACACTGGACGATTTCTTCTCCATCTTTCGCCCAAGCGAAGGAAAATCGGTAAGAGAAGATGAAGGTAATACGGGCGCTTTGGCAACTTTATTAGTTTTGGGTTCTTGCTGTTTCTTCGGCTTTGGGGCAACCCACTGCTTGGTTTCAGGCATATGTTGGGCTGAGCTGCCGCCCAACGCTGGGAAAGCTTCCGCCATACTCTTCGGGCGCACCTGAATAGACGTCGATGAGCTGACGCTTTGCCCATCGTGGTTCACATGAATCGACACATTCGACGGTTGAACCGGACGCGCTGGTCTAAAAGATTCAAAAGTTAACCAAATTGCAACTCAAATCAATCAGATAAACTTACTGTACTGTTAACTTCACAGTACTGTTGCCCGATGAACTCTCCGCTTGCAATGTTGGAAAGTTCTGCTTGTTCAATGCAAAACCCTTGCCGTAGCTGTACGTCGCCGCGGTACTAGCTGGACGCCTAGATTCCTTCGTTGTCTTCGTGATAGTAATATTTCGCGAATTACGTGGCACTGCACCTGTGGAGGTAGCAGCAGTTCCGCCGCCACCGCCGCCGCCGCTTAAAGATGGAAATTCTTCAGTATTGAACTTAGGGCGCGACATCTTCGAAGTAAACGTCACACTAGTGCGTGCTCCTGTGCCGGATGCTTCACCACCGTTGCCTCCAAGCGATGGAAAATCTTCCTCAGTGAGCGGTCGATGTCTCGACGGCACAAACCGCCTCGATTGTGGCAGTTGCTCCTCTGGCGGTGGTATCGGAGAGCGTTGGAAATTCCTTGCAATGAAACGATGAATGTAAGATTTAAATACTCTTTATATATTAAGCGCACACCTGACTGCTGGAACCACCTCCGGGTTTTCATTTTGGTGTTGTTGATTTCTACGCGATTTGAAGTTAAACTCCAACTCAAGAGTGCGCGCTTGCTTCGATGCGGCACGTCCCATTTGTTTCGAATGCACAGTCGCAATATGCGCTAAAACAATCAACATTAAAACGATTGCCGACTTATTTGACTCAGTACCTTTCAGGTCGATGTCAGTGCGGAACACTGAAGTCAACATCTCGTTCTGACAGTCCCCTTGCTCACATAGAAAATGATCCTCGAGAAAATGATCTCGCAGTTCGCTGTAACTGCGGAAGAAGTAATGCTTGCCGTCAGCGTCGCAGAAATGACAATATAAATGTTCGCGGCGTAAATGGCGAAACAAGTGATCGTTGTCCATGTAGCGTTCATCGCAAAACTCGCATATGGGATGTCCCCTAAAGAAAATCAAGTATCAATACAAAGTCGTTCCAAATTGAAACACATTGCTCAGCAAGTGCGGCGTTAGTTAATAATTTAAGTAAATAAATATTTCTTTGCTTCCAAGTGAATCATACAAGTTCAAATTACATGTTTATAGTTGCATGCATTACTGGATATTACATTGACAATTGCCATACATGCATTGATGTTGATAATTTTAAGAAATTGTTTGTTTTTAAAACGTTTATTTTAAAATAGTCTGAATACCTGTGTGATGTATTGTCGGGATCACCCTTTCGTCTATGAGTAGCAAGTTCTGCACGAGTGTAACATCGCCGTTCGAAAGCAAATATCATTAAGTGCTTCACACATAGATCACAATAATGCAGCTCATGCTCCTTGCGCATATGGTCCCTGAGTTGATTGAAATTTTTGAATTCTTGTGCACACACAGAGCATACAAACTCAAGCAGCTTGCGGTAGTCATCCTGAATTGCCTTTGACATAAACTGGATACCATATGTCTGATCACTGATGCCAGGCCTTAGGACTAGGTCCTTGAAAGGTTTCACCTCTCTGGTAAAAACCACCTGAAGTATAATATAAGAATTAGTTATTAAATATGTTGAAAACCGATCTGGGGGATTGTTTACCTCGGGCATATCGCTTCGACATATAGGGCATTCTTTACGATCGCACACAACTCGCATCCGTGTTGAACACTCATAGCAGACGGGGTGGTCGCACGCGCCGATCGAGTAAAGGTCCACATTCTTAAAGCACACCACGCAGAGGTCGTCGCCGTCGCCGGGGGAAGCATTCGTCGACATGGTGGCGTCGCGGCGCCCGACAAGTGGGGCTCCTTGTCACGTTTGATTTTGATCCGATGGCCGCGTTGGCTGGTGGTCCGAGGAGATCACAGAGATCACGAGCTTGGCGAGTGTAGGGTTTGAAAACGCGCTGGGATTGCAACGCGCCGCGGTCCTCTGACCACACAGCTTGCGCGGATCGCTGGATGAGTTGAACGAGGTTGGAAACGTTGATAATTTACTGTTTGCGTACGCCGTCGGCGGCGCTACTCGCCAAACACGTGGCTAGGCCAACGCAAGTCACTTTTTTCAAATTGTTTCACAATGTTTGGCAAACTTTTGAAGTCACCAGTGTGTTTTACAGATTTCGTGTCGCTGTGCGAACCTTTACAACACTTCTGTAAGGAATCAAATTTGCGCTAAGAAATACGTGCGAACAAGAATATATTTACGTGCTTCTTATCAAATATTATGTCAGCAGATTTTCTTTGTCGGCAACTCGACATTCATTATGAGAGGAATGAAATTAAATAAAAATACACGAATGTGATTGTGATGTTATTGCAATTATAAAATACAGTTGACGATGCCGTTTGGACGAAACTTGTCCGGTAAAATAAAAATTGTATCACAACATGATATATAATATTAAGTCCATCAGTGGGAATCAGTTGTAATCATTTATGTAATCTGCCATAGATTTCACAACAAAATATACATTGATGATACGCTGAAACATATGATTATAACTCTGGTCCTAAATCCGTTGCGCAAATATTACTTCTCTTCAGGAGAGCTACATGGTATAAAACTGATCGGTTAGATCTTTTAGACTACGCATTGCAGTTTAATGCGATTTGCATCAATAGACGGAGTTATTCAAAAGAAAAGGTTTATATCTGTATGCATATTATAAAAGAAAAAAGCCACGAATTTCAAAGATTTGTTATGCAAACGAAATGGATCAAAATAATTCTTCCTTTTACATGTCATAAAAAATAATACGCATTTTAATTGTTAATAATAATTGTTTTGATTTATTAATTGTAATCAGAATGTTCAGCTGAAATACGCAATTTTGAATTCAAATCACTATTAGAAATAATATCAAAAGTTTTGAGAAAGTGAGTAAATTTTAAAACTAGTTATTACAAACATGGCAATGTCAATAATTTCATATTTAGCTATTTTCATAATACCGAGTTGTGGAGAATTTAATTTACAATTAATAATGTTTGAGCAAAATTTCTGTGTGACAAATACAGCTTAAAAACCATATGCAGCCCTTTTTACAAAATAACGGCAACAGGACAAGGGTTGCAACCCCACAAACATGGATTTAACTTTATACTAACCCAGTCTTGACATCTAATATATAAAAATGCGTCCTCCGAATTTTGTAACTTTTCAATGGATTAATTACCGAATAACGTTGATGATGTTTCTGGTGAATGCATCAATTAAAACACACAGAGAAACGAAAACAAACAGTGAACATTCTTAATACGCAACGAAGCGAGTTAAACCAAAAGCCTGGCGACTGTTCTCCAGAAGAACTCACGAATTACCCGAAAAAAATGGTGGGGGTAAAAGCTGGATTGTGATTGGTCGCGCGTGAGGGTTCAAGCGGCGGGTATTTATGAAAACCCGCGTTAAGAGATTAGAAGTTTAAGATACCAGGACAAGCGTGCTGAACGGGTTGCACAAGACGTCTCCCTTTCTTAACAAGTTTTGTACTACAAAAAAATCAATATTCGCATACATATTAAATTGAAAAGTGTAAGTTTTTCGAAACTATTTATGTGTTTCGAGCATTTGCACGAAAACATCAAATTTGGTTATGCATGAGTTCTCGGCATTTATCAATTTCTGTTTATCAATTTATTATTTCGATCAAAATTCAAGGCCAAAGTATTTTATTTACTTGGCTTCGTTGTTCTTCGTGTTTATTCACATCAATATTCCTCTTGAAAGCACAGCGTTTTTAAAATCGAAGATATTTATTGTTGTTTGAATATAATTTTTTTTGCGCCCCTCGGTGTCATGAGTATTTACTTGTCCTATTCTTTTCTTATATTGAACGACCACTTTAGGTGATTCCTTCATATTCCACGGCGTGTGATTGGCGCGCATAAATCTTTGAAATGATGTGATGCTTTACGGTTTCGCTTTAATAATTTGATCAGCGACGAATATCAGAAAATAATTTCGCCGAGATTGGCGACGATGTGATTATCTTTTTGCTTCGCATTGAAAGTTCCAAGAATCGGAAATAATTGAAGTGAATAAATTAAAGTGAAAATGTACGCAGTTACTATCATAAAAAGCACTAATAACGCAACTGATGCTGCAGAGATGCGTGTGGGCGTTGTTGTTGTTTTCTTTCGTCTCGCATCGCACGTGAATTAAAAGTGGAAAAGTACATTCACCCCCGTGGGGTGTTTAATCTCGAGAGCAGTAGCACCGCCAAGCTGGGCATCCCATTTAGCCAGGCATCGCCGGCGTGTTTTTCACGCGTGTGTCTTCATTTTTTCCTCGACAAACAAGTAGCTTTCTTTAAATCGTGCCAGCCCCGGCTTATTGCGCTGCCTCGCGTTGCGGCGCGCGGCGATGACACGTCGCTACCGCCGATTAAATTTAACGACACGTGTCATCGTCGGGAAAATATTTTGCCATCTAGCCGAGCGGGACGAAATAAAAAGAAACCGATCGCAAACACTGTCGATGTTCACGCGGGGAGGGTGCGAACACTAAGTGAAGAAAACACGCGCAAAAAATTAATTGATCATCTGAAACAGTCGCTGCTTTGATTGTCAGTCGCTGCTCAAACACACCTGCTATGTTAAAATTCCGATTTTTAAATGTAAATACAAAAATATCTGTCAATAAAATTTTCACCGGTGAAAAATGATAGTATACCAACTCTTCTTGAAACGATTACCGATATTGAACTAAATCAAGATGGCGTGTGGACACAGGAAACAAAAGAAGGCTGTTAACAGAAAATACAAAAAGTTGAACTATCAAGTATGCTGTGTTTTTTCAACAATCATCCAATCATCAGAAAAGTGTAAGTCGAAATTATCATGGCACGAACCAACCAAACTCCCCAAGATCTACCAGTTCACAAGAAGCCGGAAGATTATAGCTACCACGTACGGGATGGATTGTTTAAAATGTTAGACTCGGAAAATCACGGATATATCGATAATTCAAAGCTTTTAAACATGTTTGATTCGCTTGGATACAAACTCAGCGGGGATGAATTGAGCAGCATCATAGCACACGTTGACAAAATGAACAAAAATATCAACTTCGAGAGATTCAGTCGAATAGCGCTGTTCTTCTGTGGGCGAGAGGGTCTGGATGAAGCTTACCGGTAAGTGCAGACGAGTGATATGATTAAGTTCATAATTATTTACAGTTGTGTATTTTTTTCGTGTAGATTCTTTGAGACCCGAGGTGACTTGCCGCAAATTGACTTCCCAGAACTCTTTGCCAATGTCGGCAATATCACCAAGAGGAATGCACATCGTGTCCTGACCGCGGTGCAGGCGGAGGTTGCACAAATGGGTAAATTTAACAATGATTGACTTTATGTACATTAATTAACATAATTTTTATAATTTGTATAGCGTACCGAACGGTCACGATCCCAATTCCAATTTCGATTAAGATTCCCATTGCGCCTATTGTCGTCTCGGAAGACAGCGATAGTGATGTTGAAATAGTGAATGACTCTTAGCTATTGCTATTTAAAGCAAATAAACCACTGATTTTTATGTCCGAAAAAAAGCAATATTTATTTCTAGTTTACTTGATATTAGTGGCTTACATAGAAACCGTCGCAACAAAGTCATATTCAATTATATTCAAGAATTGCTGGGTAAAATATATGTGATCTAACAAATTGTTATGTACATGGCAATGGTAGCTATTCTAGAATTAATGAAAAACTATTTAGCTATTAAAAATGCCAGTAAACCGGAGTTACCATGCCGTTTTGATGGCGCAACTGCGTTACCAGTGGCAACTGGCGGCAACAGAAGCACCGTAGCCAAGTAGTAGGCGAAAGCTGCGGGTCTCTGTGCGAACGCCAACGCTTAAACGCTCCCAATGTTTTCGCGTCCTGCCGGCGATCCGCCTCGTTCAGTCCTTTTGCGCGTCCTGTCCGCAGCGCGTCGCGCCGCTCCTCCCGACGCGTCCGCACGCACCTCTTCGCCAAACTTCACCAAACAAATCAACTCAAACAACGCCGTTCAAACTTCGCACCGCACTTGCTAAAACAGGCAAGCATGCCATCTTAAACTCGCTATACTTTCCACGCAAACTTTAAATTGGATTTACGACGACTTTCGCGCGGCGGTTCGCGCGCGCCGAGGATGAAAAGTGGTGTCTGCATGACGACCGGAACATACGTCGTGCTCGCGTGCTTAATACTGATCGGCGACGGGTCGGGATTGGGCGCGAAACGCATCTGCCACAAAAAGGAGGCGAACAACAAGACGACGCATCACGAGGACTTCAAGTACTTGTACAACTATTTGACGGGCACCGGCGCGCACAACTTCAGTGAGTCGGTGACGATTGGCTTCCTTGGTGCGTACGGGCAGGCGCAAGTTGTGCTCGGCGCGCTTCCGCTTGCAATTGATGCTATTAATCAGAACGCAGGTAAAATATTTCGTTTCAAAACTTTCCACAACACAACACGGTAAAAGTAAATAAAACACGTGCAAACTTTTAATGAGTAAATTTTGTCTGGCAGAATTGTTACCCGGAAGAAAATTGTATTATGTGGCCGCTGATATTGGGACAAACCCCACCGCATCGGGCCTCACGCGGAAGAAGTCATCACTGGCGGCACGTGCCATCCGCGCCATGACCAAGATGCGTGACAATGGCACCATTGCATTCATCGGACCAGATGACACCTGTTCTTCGGAGGCTTTGGTGGCCGCTGCATGGAACCTGCCTATGATATCCTACGTATGTACTTTTAACGTTTTTATTTTTACTCAGTCCACTCGGTTTAACGGTTCGTCTAATTTGCGCGATGTTATGATCAAGGCGGTGGCAATGTTCAATTAAATACATTTCAGAGTAAACACCCGCTCGTTAAGGGCTGCTGGCATTCTGGAATTGTTTGCTCATAGCGCGCCACGAAGTGATCGCGATCCGGAAAGCTGCGAGCACTTTGTTGGTGGCTGATAATAATAATAACTCAGCGTAGCGCATGATCTGCGCTTCTGCGTTCATAATCTGGCAAGTTTCATTAATAAACATTAGCACCGTGCGGTAATTATTCAAGCGTTTCGGCGATGCGATGTTTGTTGTCGTTGGCAATGTGCGATGAAACACACTTACACACACACAGAGAAATTTAATATTGACAAAGGCAATAATATTTTTTTGAATTTGTAATGGTTTAATTTGAAACGTCAGGTCGTTACGAAAGAAATACGGCGTCGTTAATTATAATTATTGCGCCTGTTTTATTCCTGACGGATTCTTAGAAGCTGCCGCAATAAACTTGTATTCGGCATTGTAGAAGTGCAGCGATACGCGCGTTTCCGATAAGAGGGTGTTTTACACCTTTGCCCGGACGCTGCCGCCATCGAGCAAGGTCTCCAAGAGTGTGGTGTCACTGCTGATCGCGTTCGATTGGCGTAAATTTGTTGTTGTTTTTGGCTCGCATCCAGCATCAGGCGGCGAGGTAAAGGAAGCGATTAAAGTAAGTAATACTCAGTTTTAAACATCATTTTTACCTGTTGCGGCAAGGTGAATACGTTTTGATAATAAATTTTTTTATGTATTTATAAAATTGACTTATCGGCATTGATTGACACAATTTCCAGATTTTTTTTAAAGTAAATTACGTAAAAGTTGTGCTTTCAACTTTTAACTAGCTAATTTCAGCTTTTAATCAGCAAATATTGCATTTTTACAATAAACATATGAATAAATCAATGTAATATGATGTAATTTAATAATAATTTATAGAAATTATTGGAAATCAATTTTAAATAAAATTCATTGCTAATTTCCAACACTTCAAAGTTTCACAACGTGAACTTTCTTGGTAGAATATCCGTGATCCGCGCCTCGGTTCAATTTCAACGAACAATAAAACGTATTCACCTAAAATTTATCATTATTGCTTCAAGATAAGTTTGTCGCAAGAATATATGTGCGTCGATTTACGAACGGCCAGAAAGTTATAACGCCGCGTTCGCGCGCTCATTTTGTGATTGATTGAGTCTGTGATTACATGGCGAAAAGGAATTATCGGAGGCGCACGGACTGATTGTGACTGATACGAAACAATATTCGGATTACATCCCGCGGCACATCGATCAGATGGACCTCATTGTCGGCGACACATATAAGAGGACGCGCGGTGGGTGAGCCTTTTCTCTTTGTCGGCAGTCGCGCGTACAACCGCCCGATGCTTGCAACGTGGCGTTGATGAAATCAATGTGATGTTTTCGCGAGCATAAAGCGACGAAAAGTTTGGTTTGTTTGCATCGCTTGTGTTAATCGCATTTGCAGTTCATTGTTTCATATAGCTTCGTGTGCATTATTTCGCTTCAGGTACCCAATTGTTCTTCGTATAAAAATATTTATTTTTTAATATCAAAGGCGAATTAATATCGAACACAAATAAAATGTTTAATCGAAAATGAAAACAAAATTTCCAACAATTGGGAGATCCAATTAGCCCCCCCCATTGCAAAAAGTTCTTTTTACGGGAGGGGAATCGCATCTCCGCGGCCAATTTTCCAAGCCGTGTGATTCCGGGATAAATTCCATCCGTTGGATTACACCTTTCTCAAGCGGGAGCGGCGCCCGGTTTTGTCTCGATTCGATTCACATTAATTGCAACTTCTCAACTTCGACATTAATTTCCACTCGGTTTGTTCTAAGTGGAACTAGGAATGAAATGTAATTGGAGGCGACCAACTGCAAAGTGTCGTAGGTAACACTCAAAGGAATAAAATGGCGTCAACAATTGATTCCCGTAATAAGACTCTATATCGAAACGTCCACTCGCCGCGATTCCTTGCATGTTTATGCCATTAACTTGTCAAACTCGGATTTGAAAATTGCTTGCTTTGTTACGCTGTGTCTCCCTACCGCCCGCCCCTTCATAAATTATTCCACTGAAAGTGATTGCGTTTGTCGTCAATGTACGTTATTCTCTGTTTATGCACTGCCTTCGATCATCCCGAAAGCCGGCGTCCTTCATTCCTGCCTAACGTCGTCCGTTTGTTTACATTCCCTAGCCATGCGAACTGCCTGGAGAGCGGTCGCTTTCTTCGACATTTCTTCAATACGCTGCCGTGTTTACTTCGCGCAAGTGCTCACTCCTCACGCGGATAATATGCAAATAACATTGAAATAATCACAATGTGACAAATATGAAGCAGCGAGGAGGCTGAGTGCAAATGTAACTGTTCTGATTTAATATTCAATATTCTTTCGTCAGGGGAAATGCTATCAACGCGCGATACAATTATTTATTAACCAGACATATCAGTGGCAAATAAAAATGTGAATATTACAACTTAAATCATGAATTTATGTGTTTATTTTTATTTTGCGTTTAATTCCCGCAGTTGAGATTTCAAATCCTTGAGATGTTCACTTTTATGTTTTGCGGAAAACAGTTTGCAAATTTCCAACTAGACCTTGATATTTCACTCGCAGGTCTCCAGTTAAACAATTTTTGAATCAATATTGAAACAGTTTCAGCAGATAGGAATTTCCTACAATCAAACCCGCATTCAAGGATATCCTCATGCATTTCTAACATGTTTCTATATTAACATGCAATGTAGTCTGTTAATAATTGTCTCTTGATATAAACAACTATAATAACTCGTTTCGAAGGAAATGCTTTCTACGAAAATCAACATTTAACGAGAGGTAAACATCTTCTCATCCAATCTCACCAATTTTGTTCACGGATGTTATTTCGCCACTTTATCGCACTTCCTTTACCATCCGGATTTGTAAAAGTAAATAAACACATTCAATATTGGCGCTTTCATGAACGAACGCCCCACTTCTCTCAGAAAACATTTAATCACACAGCAAACATGTCAAGAAAAATAAAAGATGAATAGAAACCTCCCCTGATACAAGAAGTGACGAGTTTTCAGTAAGCGTATTTATAGTATCTATAATTTCGCTGTATTTCGAGTTGTAAGTGACACTTTCTAAACGATGCCAATACTATTTTCAATCACACACCGTAAAATTGTTTTCTGCCCACACGGCGCGAAATTGCAAACAGAAAAGTAAACAAACACGTTACTATTAGATATTATGTTAAAGTTTATTCTATATTACGAACGGAAACAATATTTATTTATAGCTTTCCGGCAGGGTTTTGTGATTGGGTGATTGAAGGCACTACGGCACAAAAGACGGGCGCCCTTTTCGGGATCATCGCACTGTAGCGACACACATCGCGACGCAAGGCGCCTCCACCACCATCTAGTATCGTCAAAACTACGTGATGAATATTCTCCCTAGAGAAATGAAAAAAAAAAAGTTAATTTTATTTTTCCTTGCCTATGTTCTCCTTATTACTGTATTTTCCACTATATCTTGTGTTCTCCGTACTTTCTTTCACGCCAATTTTGAAAGATGACTTGAATTATGGCTCTGCATATTATTAAAAACTTGATTTGAAAAGTTTTATTTTTTTCTTCTACCAATCCACCCAGTAGAAAATATGCAAGTGCACAATGTAATTTAATATTTGATATTGCGAGCGCAGGCAATATTGCAGCATGATCTGGAGGGTGTTGTTTATGTTGTTGTTGTTATTGGCAGTTTATTTATGAAAGTTATTTATATCGACAGTATACGTTTTCGTGGGCGAGCATATTGCTCTCGTGGACTTCGTCAAATGTCTCCAGCGTCGCAAACTGTTAGATTCCGGCGACTACGTTGTAATATCCGTCGATGATGAGATATATGATCCTAATCGGCGAATTAAAATCATTCAACGAGGTATGCTAGTCATTTATTAGGACGCAGTGAGTAATTAATGTTGTTATTCAAGTTTTTGTCAATCTCGTCGTTATTTAATTAAAAGTTGGGAAGAAAATACGGTTTTTGCAGTGGCAGCTAATAAATATAGGTTTAAACGAAAGGATTTTCTGAAGGTACTTTGATAGATTATCAAAATACTTCACAAAGTTTTCTGACATGGTACTTGGGTGGCCTAATCTCATGGAGCACACTGTCGAAAATTACGGTTTGACAAATTCCGTTATACTTACTGAAGAATTTAAATTAGCGAAATTATTCATATAGTACTGTTACCAAGAGAGATAAAAGGTTTATAGGTGCATATCCAGTTGATTAAATCAACTGGACACATTAGTTTTAATCGAAATTTCATTCACTACGTGTATAATTGTAAACTGTGCCACTGTGATAAACACAACCTAACTTTTCTTTTACTGTTTTAATAACTCAACAATGTAATTCCTGAATGCAACATAAATTAGCTTCGAATTGGTGATATTTAAAAGGCGTCTATGGCATTTCGTCGCAATTTTAGTTTATAAGAGTACCAATCACAATTTACAATTTTTTGCTTAAAATTGGTTAAAATTGTGTTAGGTTATCTTCTTTGGGGGGCAAAAAATAATTTTATGTCTCATGAATATGTGCTTCTATAAAATAAGATTCAAGTTGCATTTAATTCCGTCATTAATGCACATTTTTTTAAATTTAAATTTAACTTTTTTACTTTCATGCAAAATAAACTAATTATAAACTAGCTTTTAAAAATGTTTTTTTTTTTTCGTTCATAATTCACATGAAGTTGTTTCATGACCAGATTACTTGGACCCGTTTCTGAGCGAAACTTGGGGCAACTTGAGCGACTACATGGGCTTCCGATCTGTGCTGAAGCTGACGCCGTCACATCCACGAAATCCGAGTTACAAGTAAGCAGCGCGCGCGACTTGTGGCGGCGGCAAGCTTGCGGCGGCGTGGCACGTAATCGCTCGCAATTTGCATCAAACGCGTGCCCGGGCAAATTTCGCGGTTTCCTCCGCTTCTCAATCATTTCAACACTGACGCGCGAGTCGCGTGCGCGGCGTTGTTGCTTCTTTGCCACGTGGTGGCCGCCTTCTTAGCCGCCGCCCGCTGCGCACGATGAAATATTCATTGCATGCGTGCTGGGTGTAGAAAGCTATGCCACGACATTAAGCTGTCCTCGGCCCAACCGCCTTTTTGCGTGCCATACCACAAGAAGATTTTCGAGAGCATCTCGGTGCCGATACAGGCGGCTTACTTGTATGACGCCGTGATGATATACGCGCGGGCGCTGACCGAAATGTTCGACAACAACGAAGATCCCCGGAACGGCACCGCCATCCTGCAGCGCATCGTCAATCGCTCCTACCATTCCGTGCAGGGTTACGACGTGAGTTGCCCACCGTCCGATAATCTCGATGCATTCATAAATTTCGATCTCTTCGTGGAACAGGTGTTCATTGATGGCAATGGAGACGCCGAGGGCAATTTCACCGTCGTCGCGCTGCTGGACGATCTGGAAATGAACGGCACGCTGCGGATGAGCATGCAACCTGTTGGATATTTTCAATATAACGGCAGTAATTCACCGCTATCGATTCCGGTAAGGACTGCGGTGGCAAGCCGCACGCTCAGCGGACGCCCTCGCGCCAACCATACTTCCTTTTTTTACGTTCTCGCCGCTTGTGATTTTTGCCGGCGAGTGCATTTTTCTTCAGCTTTATTTAGAGCTCATCTTATTTAGAGCGTAAAACAACAACTTTTTCTGTTCCAATACTCATAAAATTCAGATAATAAAACCTTTCCATCATAATCACGCGACGAACTTCATTTTGCGAGGTTTTACTGTTTCAACATTTAATTAAACGTCTGGTCTAATTTGTTTGTGACAATGAGCAAACTCGGAACCTACTTCAGCGCCAGCATCGACCCAAACCACGACCTTCGCGTCGCAGGTCACTAACGACGCCGCTGTTAAATTAATTTGTTTTGCGGGTTTGGCAGGAGTTTAAATATTTAGACCTGGATCGGCCGATTCAGTGGGTCGGCGGCAAATTGCCCCGAGCGGAGCCCGTCTGCGGCTTCAAGGACGAGAAGTGCATCTACAAGACCGACTGGCGCGTCATCGTCGGCATCCTATTTGTGTCCATCATTTTTTTGATCGGCGGACTTTTCGTGCTCAAGTGAGTCGAAAAATACCATCACTCTAATTGTTTCATCACTCATCTCTGGCATTTCAGACATTACCGATACGAACAGAAACTCGCTTGTTTACTGTGGAAGATCGACATGAAGGACGTGACCATTATCCCGACGGAAACTACCGAGGCTACTACAAAGAATATGGTAGTAACAGCATCGAAGAAACACTTTTTTATTTGCGACGTTTTCCTGCCTTTCCTATTTATAGTGGTCTTTTTGTAGATTCAGGTTTGTCGCCATAGCGTCTTCCAAGCACCGACCGGAAGCATCGCGGAAATATCGGACACGAGTCCGAAACGTGCCTACACTCGGATTGGTCTCTACAAAGGCAACATCGTGGCGATCAAGCGCATCAACAAGAAAAGCGTCGATTTAACGCGTTCGATCCGAAAGGAACTGAAGCAGGTAACTGCAAATCGTAAACATGATATTTCTTTGAATTCAAATTCCTACTTTGATTCCTCGCAGATCAGAGAAGTGCGACATGAAAATCTGATCCCATTCATTGGTGCTTGCGTGGATCATGGCCAGGTCGCCATTTTAACTGCGTACTGCGCGCGTGGGAGTCTTGAAGATGTCTTGGCCAACGAAGATTTGCATCTGGACAATATGTTTGTCTCTTCCCTTGTTGCAGATATATTGAAGGTAGGATTAATCTTACCAGTTGGGTTTTTGTTGGTTCACCTAAAGCATGTTTCACTTAGGGCATGATTTACCTTCACGACAGTGTAATTATCTGTCATGGCAATCTTCGTTCTTCAAACTGCCTCATCGACAGCCGGTGGGTACTCCAGATCACAGATTTTGGTTTAACTGAGTTCCGGGCTGGTGAGGCGGACGAACCAGCGACGAATGATGCTAGAGGCAATAGTAAGTCCCTCCAGCGCAGTCTCTATCGTGCACCGGAGTTGTTACGTGATACAACCTCGCTGTCGTCTCGAGGTACGCAGAAAGGTGATGTATATGCGTTCGGTCTTGTACTTTATGAAATAATCGGGCGTTCTGGCCCATGGGGAGGCTCGAGTCTCACCCCGACTGAAATAATAGCCGAAGTAAAGAAGGTCCAAACAGTGCCGTTCCGTCCAGACTTAGAACGCCTTGGCGCTCTTGATTATATCACTAAGTGTGTGAAAATGTGTTGGCACGAGGAGCCAGACCAACGACCTGATATTCGGTACTGCAGAGTCATTCTTAAGGAAATGCAGGTAGGTTCTATGTTTGGGGCATTCATAATTTAAAAAAAAAATCTTGCGTGTTGAAAGGCTGGTCTAAAACCAAACATTTTCGACAATATGTTGGCGATCATGGAAAAATACGCGTACAATTTGGAAGGATTAGTCCAGGAAAGAACCAATCAACTCACTGAAGAGAAGAAAAAAACTGACGCATTGTTGCACAGGATGTTACCAAAGTAAACACCAATCATATTCAACCAAAATACTTGATATGTCATTTCGCTTAATTTTTTTTTATTTCAGAACTGTTGCAGATGCATTAAAGCGCGGTAATCGAGTGGAAGCGGAGAGTTTCGATTGTGTGACGATATACTTCAGCGACATCGTGGGCTTTACCGAATTATCAGCAGTCAGCACACCGTTGCAAGTCATTGATTTGTTGAACGAACTCTACACCTGTTTCGATTCAATCATATCACATTACGACGTATACAAGGCAAGTTTTAATTGAATTGTAACGAGCGTATTGTTGGAGGCGTAATTATGGCAACTTTTTAAACTTTCCGCATGTAAAAACCGCAGGTGGAAACGATTGGAGATGCTTACATGGTGGTTAGTGGTTTGCCAATTCGTAATGAAAATCGCCATGCCGGCGAAATCGCCTCAATGGCATTACACCTACTGAGCAAGATAAAAAAGTTCGAAATTAAGCATCGCAGCGGCGAATTGCTGCAGTTACGCATCGGAATTCATTCGGGTGAGTCTTGAACAGGTTATGCATGTTAATTCAGTGGTGATGAATGACTAGCCATCCAAACTAAAACTATGAAATTTATACAAAATGCCAATTATTATAAAAACGTTGTGTGATGGATTATCTTTTGCATTGGAATTTCGACGGGCTTTCAATCAAATTACGCCAGCGGTTGTCAAATGTTTATAAATATAAATAAAAGACTAATAAGCATAACACTGAATTGCTTCCATGGCGCAAACTTTAGGAACTTCTGGGCATCTGAAAGGGTCATCCGTGAGTGTGTAAAATGGCCAGTGTATATGTGGAGTATCCGTTCGCCCGCTGATGACAGGGTATATTAATTAAAACTCTATTCCCCGGCCACGCGACAAACAACCAATGTCGCTTTGTTTGTGCTTTGTCATCAGGGAATCTCTCGAGTAATAATTATTCATTGGGTTTTTTTCTACGTGATATTTTTGCAACAAAAAAAAATGGCGCAAAAACGCTATTTCTGTTTCATGTTTAAATTAAACCAACAATGGGCCTAGTTTGCCATGAAATTAATTGTAATTGTTTCGGAAAATTACATTAATATTCCGGAAGAGGATTCACGGGATGAAATTAATAGCATATTGTATTTATTTCTGTAAAGTCCAGCAACTACTAATTGCACTGGCGTTGTTTGCTAAAACCAAGTTATAACAACATGCAGTTGTATACAACAATGTCAAAAGCCTCAAGATTTTTTGTTTCAAACATTAAATGAATATATTTTTAATTTCAAAGCATGTTTTTGAGTTTCGTATTGTTTGTGGTTTTGGTTCATGTTTATAGTTCATGCATGGTCATTACTGATTGTTATATTATGGTATGATTAAATTATTTTCCTACAACAAAGCAGACCGCAGAAAATTTCAAAATTCAACTGTATTTCAGCGCCAACTGAAATTAATTTATTGTAAACTCTAAATTCTAATTAACAATTATTTGGTTCGAGTGAAATGCGTGACCAGTAATTTACCACACACACCATGCAAAATTCATAGTAAAGCAATTCACTACCGCTGAAACGTTATTTTTATTTTGTAGCGTATGCATTGAAACATAGGCTATTTCTGCTCTGAAACGAAATATAGGATCAAAACAGAATTACATCAATGGGCGTCGAATTGTTGACCTTGGGGTAGGATGTGATAAATGTGTGTGGGTTTTGGGATTTTGCGGTGAATTATTGCGACGGTGAATTGACGTGGCGGTGAATTGTCGAGGCGGTAAATTGTTCACGGTGAACTTTCTGGATTCCACTACAGGCGTTCTTTCTTGGGATTTTATATAGATTTTATATAGACGTTACCATGGAGCAAAGTAAGGGTTTGCAATATCACAAAAATGTATACTGATTCGTGATAGCTGAATAATGCAATGGCCAAGTGATAAACGCGAGTTTTTGGTGAATTTTAATTGACAAAATGAAAATTCGATAACATCGCGTGCTGTACTAATCCGATTCAATTGAGAAAAAAAAAAACGAAACAAACAGGAATCAGTGATTCCATCCATTTTGTTTGAATGTACGATTAATTGAAGAAACTTTGCCAAAACTGCACCAATGAAAACATGAAGATTAAACTAAAAAAAAGTAGACTCCACCATTAAGCTTAAAAGTTGCCCAATTCATTACATAAACATTCGAAACAACATTCCTATATGCATTTATGAACATTAGAAAGTTGAAAACATCAAAAAATGATGATAAATGTTAATCAATTGCAAATATTTTAAAATATTTTCTGAAAAACTTCATACCTCTTAAAATATTCCATTTGCAATGTTTATCTAATAACCGGTGAACTTGATATAGCCATTAGTGTTGCTTTGAAACCTTGAAACTGCAATCCCCGATGATTTATGGAAATTAATTCGCAACAATTGCAGGGCATTGTGTTGCGGGTGTCGTGGGGCTGAAGATGCCACGTTACTGTTTATTCGGTGACACGGTGAACACGGCCTCGCGCATGGAGAGCAGTGGCGAATCGTTCCGCATCCACATCTCGCAGGCGACGTATATGCTCCTGCAACGCCTGGGCGGCTATCGATTCGAAGAACGCGGTCTGATTCCCATTAAGGTAAACCCCCCTCAACGTCGTCACATCGCACGCCATTCGCAACAGCGATGCGAATTACGCCACCGGATTACATGTTTAATGCGCGCTCGTTTGCAGGGCAAGGGCGAGATGCGAACGTATTGGTTAATCGACGAGGATCCCGCGCAGCGCTTAGCGCGGATCAAGAATGAAATGCTGGGCAGTTCGCTGTTCAGCAGCATCAGCTCGGACCGTGAGTAAACCCGCGCCCGAGTAAACGCCACGTGAGTAAATTCCTCGGGCGTCGTATATCCGAAATTTGATTTTAGATCTCAGCGAGACACCGGACTTGATTCGAAGGCCCGGCCCCGGCATTCCGCCCATCTGCTCTTTGATGGAGCTGCACGAACGTGCCCGTAAACTTTGCTCCTCGGTACAACTGTCACCAACGAAGGTATCAGCAACAGTAATGCTAGCCTAGACTTTAGGTCAAGGCCAGCTGATGACATCTGCTTTCGCTACCTGTGTGTCTAATAGAATTCGTTGTTTCAGGTTGGGCAATATCAAAGGCGATCAACCCCACGTGACCTTTCCCTTAGCAGGGGCAATAAATCTGCTCCGACTGTCACCTTTCGAATGGACTATAATTTGTAATCCGAGCCGTCTCAATCATTAATTTTAAACACCCCCAGTTTGCTCAGCAAATAAATTGTCCGACATTGCGGTATTACTCAATTCTGAGCAAATGCGAGCAATGCCTAAGACTGTCAACCACGATGAATATTATACCTGGTATTCATGGTAACCGAGTGTGTTGTCAATAATCTTGCCATTCCTGACATTCCATATAATTGTGATCAATGTTGAAATATTTATCTACATGTACAATATTCTGAATGCACCTGGAAAATATACTTTCACGTGATGCAAACTTCTAATCAATTTTTATAATGAAAATGATCTGCAGAAAATGTTGCCGGAGTTTAAGACCAATTAAACAAACCGGATACTTTTATGGTCAAGCACTAATTGTGATTGGAGTTTTGGGGCTGACGTGGTTCCTGTACACCAACGAGTTGGAATACAACGATATTATTCACTACGATCCAATATGTAAATTCAAATTTGTATCAAACAACGTTAAGACATTAAAGACCAGCCCCAAATTGTACACTTGTCCAAAGACCGGAATACAACTGGTTGGTCATCGCTTCAACTATATTTACATCAAGAACATTGATATTGTAGAAGCATATGATCTCAAATGTTACTACAAAGATAATCAGGGATCAAAATGGACGTTGTTTTCGCTGCCTACGGTTGTATACAGTAAATTAGTATATGTCCAATGCTTTAGAAATGATCAAGTCATATATAAGGATGTATTCCCTCTCATTCAAAAAGTTCCTAATGAGCAAAATGTGCATCAGTCAAAGAGAAGCGCAAGAATGAATATTATAATCATTACCTTAAAAAGTGTGTCTGCAAAAGCGTTTCGCAGACGAATGCCACTAACGAGAAACATTTTTGAAGCACGATGGGGAGTTATGTTCAATAATCTTCTATCAAAAGGCATGCATTCCATTGATAGCTTCACATCACTATTCCGAAATTGCTCGTTAAGGTTGGAAGGGAATTGTGATGAACGTCGGAAATATCTGTGGGAGCTGTTTCAGAGCGCTGGGTATTCGACCGTTTATTTAGAAGATTCTTGTCATAATGCTGTATTCAAGAAACAACTCCCTGGTTTAGATTATCAGTGGACCGACAATGTGGCCATTGAAGACTACGGCAACAACTGGGTTAATAATCAACCCTATTGTATCCAGAACCGGAAATACCATCAGATCCTTCAGAAGTTACTCATTGAGTTCATACAAACAAGAAGAAAACTATTTCTATGGTTATCACTCAGTTTTAGCAGTACAAATGAGAAAGATCTTTCAATTCTCGATAGAGACATGGACAACTTATTTGCAAGTTTAAGTCGGCACGGATTGAATAGGTCCGCGGTGTTGCTGGTCAGTGATCAGGGTCGTGTCACCGGTGAAGATACAGACGTGCTTCGCCATTATGCAGAGCGATTCAACCCGATTGCGTATTTAATGCTTCCAACTCACTTTAATACTGTTTATCCACTCGTACACGAACAGATTGTTGGCTTGAGTACAAATCTCATCAACCACAATGTTCTCTACAGTTTAGTTGAATCATTTGCTACGCTAAACAATGTCAAGCCTAACTTTTACGAGAATATTAGGACAAAATATCAGCCAGCGCGTAATGATAAGGTTCACGGAAAGTGTCCCACGGATTTTCCGACGGAACTCTGCCCGTGCAAGCGGACGAGCCTCGAGATTTCAGCGTTCGCCGAACGCCTCGTTGATTACACGCTGGCAAGGATTAATGATTACTTCGTCGCTGCTAATTACTCGCCGTATTGCTCGAAACTGATGCGTGCGAAGGTCCGCCGCGTGTCATTCATCGACTCGTTGAGCGTGTATAAAATACGATTTTCTGTGTTCGCGCGGGGTGAGTATCGAAGCATGGACGTTTTTGAGGCGTACGTTCAGGTGACCAACCGACGGCCAGGACAATGGAAATGTTACCGGTTGACGTACAGGGAGCAGGATGCACAGAGGCACTGCTTACGGGGTGTTGAAATCCATCGTACAATGAAGCCGCTCTGCTTTTGTGAATAAAATCTTTTGCTGCCAAAGGATTACAGGAGTTAATGGTGTGCGAATGACTCAATAATGGAACTTTACTATTATAGGGTGTGAACTTTAAGTAATAAAAAGGGCCGAAAACAAATCCTAGTTTAATCCGCGCTTTGTGTTATAATATATTTAATGGTTTGAAAATGTAACACAAGTAAGCTTTAACATTTAATGCTGGGGTTGGTGATGTAAAATTCATTACGTTGCAATTAATAATTTAATCGATGAGGACGATGTGCGTTAAGAACTAACAAAAACTCATTTACCGCGCGCTCAGTAATAATTAATGTGAATAATATTGCTGATAGAATATTGAAAATCATTACAGTGCAAAGAGAAACAAATATGTATGTTAATTGCATTAGATTAGAGGCAAACACAACACGAAATATTAATCTGTTCTCATGGGTATATGCAGTAATTAATTAATTATGACAGGATTAATAATTCTGGATTGCGGATGTGTGGTAAGCATGCATCGCGGATACAATTTATTGATCATTAGTTTAATAATGTTTTAATAATGAATTACGCCATTTTTGTCACAAAGGAAGTTTTTATTTTAAAACCATTTTAATTTGGTTAGTTGGTATTTCCGGGCGGAAAAGTTGATTTTGCGCACAGAACGATAAAAATTGCATTTACCGTAATAATATTGATTAATTCTTCGCTTGTTTGATGTTAATTACTAAGAATACTGCACTAGTATCTACGTTCTTTTTATAGTTTATCTCTAGTTTTCATGATGCCATAAATGTTAATGTATTTTGATGGGTTGATGAAGTAATTAATTAGTGACGTTGCGATTAATAATTTTGTAACGCGAGCGCGAAAGAAGAATCGCGCGGCTCGTGCGAGTTTAAGAAGAACAACGAAAAAACTGCGCGAAGGGGGAACAAACAAGTAAGTAACAAGTTGCTATAGTCACGCCGCGATGCCGTGTGCGTGCAATAACCGACAGCGTGCGACGGCAGGACGACTTTATCCGGAGCGAGATGTTGCTGTAGGTTGCGAGCGTTGCGGGTGCTGCGAGCGGGCGTATGCGCACGTTTGATCGATTTTCCAGCCGCCCCGGCGCGCATGTGCGCCCCGAACAACGCCGAAAAGCCGCGTGCGTCCGGTCGCCCTTTTCGGCGGCCCTCGCGCGTCCAGCAGAAAGCCCCCCCTGTGCGGCCGGCTGACCAGCGTTCCACGCGCGACTTTTTCGTCCCCCATCCGGTTTGGCGCATCGGATGACGCATGCATGCTGCTGTTCGCGCGACGCCACCGCCAGCCGCCACCGCGCTCGGCTTCATTCGGCGCGCGCGGGGGTGACGAGGGTGCGATCAGTTGCGCGAAGCCCCCGAACGTCAGCTGTTGAGAGTAGTTGTTGCGGGCCCGAACCGACCGGCCGACGTGCGCAGCGAGCGAGCGACGTGCTTGCAGAGCAACTTACTTCCGCCGCCTCCACCGACCCGCTGCACGTTGTTCGGTCGTTAGACGCGAAAATCTGAATGAAAATCGCCCGCGAACGAGTCGATTTGATCGTTGTGAAGATGTGACGTGTGGTGAACACCTGTGCCGGCGCCCACTGCAGACGAATTCATCACCGGCGCGAGCACCACGCCAAATAGCGACGAAAGAAAATCGGCGACGATTAAATAGATCCTTCATCGAGAATACCCGCACGCAATTTTAAAATGGGCAACGTGAACTAAGCGCAAGCGGTAAACAAAGGATCTGGGGGTGCACACGGCAAGGCAAACAAGCATAGCCGCACGCAAACAACGCGCTACTTGATTCGCGTTTTTCATTCACAATTTTTCTACAAATAGCAATTGTTTTCATTTGCGTTTCACATTTGTATCGCATTCTGATTTGAGCATTCGATGAATTGCTGGAAATGTTTCATGACGGTTGCAATTAATTCATGCATTTAATTAAAACGGTTGGCTTTTATGTTTCCGAATGCGGTGGCACTTTATCCGCCGACGACATAAACGCGGTTGCGTTTAGATGAATCCAGCAATTGCATAATTGCATCGCATCCGAAGCACAGAAGCACTCCGACAACCGGAAGAGAAAAGAAGAGGAAAACGGCCGCAAGATTTCCATTAAAAAATTGGTCAAACGGTAAGTGATTGCGTTTATTTCGTGACTGCGAATCGTTGCTTTCATGCGCTCGGTGCAAATAAAAAAGTAAGCAATCCTTTCAGCCCACGCCGCAAGTAAACTCATCCTCTCACCAAAATTACCTACGTGCCGTGCAGATAAAAACGCGTTTGATGTCTGATCGTTTTAATTAGAAACCTGGAGATATAATCACGCAAACGTTTTGCGGAATAAAATTCGGTAGAAATTTCCGGGAAACATTAAAACGTCAACAATACGAAAGTAATTAGACTGGCAGCGAACGCAATGAAAACTTAAATACGCCAAGATTCAGCGTACGAAAATACACGCAGGCGAAAATAATTAAAAACCAAAAACGAGTTGCGCCTGTAAGAAGCGACAACTCACGCAGTAGTGCGGAGTGTTTGCTGCTCGTGTTTGTTACCTTTCCGGCACGGAATTTAGATTGGCGGGTTAATGAAGTTGCTTGTGTCTGCATTGAGCCATTCTGCGAAGTAGTTTTATCATTTCGCATCTATATTAATTAAGTGCGCTAAGATGTGAAGCAGCAACATCACGGAAGGCAAAAATGTAGATAATCCGAGCTGGCGAAACACTTGCCGTTGAATGCGGAGGTACCGGATCGTCAATGAATTACTAATGCGCTCGTCTAGCCGAGGGATGGTAGAACGCTGAGAGCTGTTTCCTTGCGAGTACGCGCAACGTTTTCGGCACAACCATCAAGCCTTGTTAACTCGAACGAGAGTACGCGTATGCAGATGCGGTGATTGCTTCAAACACCCTTCAACCATACATGTAGATCCATGCGGATGCAGTCGTGGGGTGGCGAGAAGGGTATGGTGCATGCGGTCACGGGGTTCAAGCCGGCGTCGTTCGCATAATGAGCGCTGCTTGACTTTTCGCGTTTAGCATCGTATTCGTGCACGGCGCGTGCTTGTTACGCGATTGTTTAATGGCCATCGAAGCACTGCCACCACCGATGCGGGCGTGTGATTTCAGTCAGCGAAGAGGAAGAAAAACTGAAATAAGGGTTTTTATCCACTCTCATCGTCATGATGGACCATCCAGGCCTAGAGCCTGCTTGAATAGTATTTGCATCACAAAGTTGCTCCGAGATACAAAAAATGTTACGGACTTTGGGTCACGCGATAAAAAAATCTTCTGCGTTCAAAATTGAGATGAGAACAATTTGCATAATCATGATAAACCTGAATAGGCTTAAATATTCCCGTAATAAACACCTTGTTCTTGAGGTTCGTGTCCTGAAAATTTAGGAATTGTTATAAGATGACTTGAAATGTTTTCAAATTGCAGTAATTTTTGCTTGAAATGTTTTGCTTCAAAGAATATAAGAAAATTAAGATGCAAATTCCACTTTTAGATCGTCCCCTGTCGGAATATAGAAATTGCGACGAACGGATTTATCTCGAACCCTAGCGTTACCAAATCAGGAACATTTCCAACCACCCAGCCTGAGTTGAAAAATATTCGTCCCTGCCGGGTCAAGTTCGGAGCCGGCGTCGCCGCGTAGATAATTTAATTTGGCAGGAAATACTAAAAGTGGGCGACAACACACCAACAACAAGCGACGGCTTTGCCGTGCCGAAAATTCGTTAGATCCCTGCATGGAAATGCCCGCCAAGCCAAAAACATGGCCCGCGTACCCGAGGTGTAGTACTGATGTGGAAAAATGCGCCCGGCAAAATTTACCCCGTAAACAAAGGAATGAATTGGTGTTTTTTTTTGCGGAATGCTGCACGCGCGCAATGAGAATATGTCACCCCGTGCGCACGTACACGTAACTTATTCGCCAAAGCGGAAAATTAGAAAATTCCTCAGCGATGAGGAGAAACTTTCGTGCGCGCGTTGCTTTTTTTTTTAACCGCCGCCATTGTTTTTGTTTCACTCGTTGGCACGAAGATTCCAACGGATTAAAATAATTTCGTGCTGAAAGCAGACTGTAGCAGCATCTCGCACCGGTTATAAACCAATTTGGTGGGAGCACGTCAAAACTGAACAAAGAAAGGATAAAAATAAAACACGCCGGAAATTGAAAAGCGCCGCCACAAAAAGCGAAGAAAGCGAGGCGGGTCTTGTGTTCATCACATGTTTTGTTCTCGCCGTGTAACAGTACGAAATCATCGAGTTGATTTAAAATCAAATTCAATTCTCGTGATTGCGATTGCGTTCGGCAAACACGCAGAAGTTCCTAATGAAGTTAAGCGTCGCGATGAGTCATGAAGGCAGTCGGCAAGTCGGCGAATTTGATTCGTTGATTGTTTGATTTGAACAATTCCAACACCCAGTGCGAACGAAGATGATGGATGGAAAGTAGGTGCGCACAGCATAGCACCATATGCGATTCGACGTTGGGGCTTTTTGTTGCGAAAATATAGAAGTAAACGGCGGTAAACAGCGACGGCGCAAATCGCAAAATCGCCAAATGGCTGAAAGCGGCACCGTGTGGCGCCGGCGAACGCCATGAAAAGCACGAGTGAAACGCGCAAATTCCCCAACATTGCCATTGTTCAAATTTGCTCATACACACTACGTTCGCAGAAATCGCATGATGGCGAAGCCCGCGCAAACATCGAGCGATGCGGTGGTGTGTTTGATTTCGACGTTTCCGCCTCGCGCGCGCGATTCCTTCGTGGTTCTGCGAACGTTGCTCCTGAGCAGAATTTGATAAGAATCTAATTGAAAAGTGTCTGTTGGATTGCTTTAGGTGCTTCGCATTTACATTTTCATTCGGCGGTTTAGCAAACGTTGACACGCTTTTAGACGAGCTCATTTTCCTCGAATCTATTCATAACTTATCAAGAGATATTCAGTTATTTAATTCATCGTATTGACTTGGCTAAACTTCCTTTACTCGAACTTGTACCATGCTTAATTCAAATCGTGTTCTAGTCTCGTATATACGCAGTTATTTATTAAAAATTACAAAAGAATATAGTTACTTGTTAGATGTAATTATTTGCCATGAATGCGGTGAGCCACATTGCTAATGTAATTTTAATTATACAGAAACAAGTGTAGGTTATTAAGTTAAGGTTTAAGCACCGAGCGTAAAGCTGTGAAGCAGCACCTGTTATTTGTGTATGAGTGACTGATTTAAGCACCCGTTAAAGTAATACGATTAGGGAATCTTTCTTTCATAGGTTTTCTACGTTTAGATCTCTAACATGCGCCGATGAAAATTTACTTTTTTTCAGTGAACGTACTGCCGCTTCATTACCCGTCGCTTGTTTTCATGAAAACGTTGCATTACAGCTAGGATTTTGCGCGAAGTTTTCAGTTTTCATACAGTAAAAAATCTGAATTAAAAGTTATCTATGTTTTTTTTTTCATTTAGGGTTTCAGAATATATTTTTAAGTATTTGTTAGTGGTGAGTTTATAGTATATTAAGTATGAAGTTATTAAAAACGCCTTTTTTGTCACGAGATTGATTAAGAGTAAGCGTTTAATCAATCGAGTGTTTAACAACGTTTAGCCACGTGATGCTTACGCTATTTTTTCTACTTCTATCCTATTTCTACATTGCATACAACTGGCAACTACTATAGGCAAGTACGCAAGCTCAAGCTACAGCTCGTGACTAAAGCCTGTGATTAAAATACTTTGGCCACGGCTTTGGTCATCTATACCACTTTTTGTGTCTGAAAACCGTGGAAAACTGTGGAAGTAAAAAAATGATTAATATACCAGTAATATAAATTTATATCTACGTTTATACTCGTACATATAAATATTAATTATTGAAAATTGCATTTGGTCACCCAAGTCGATTGCTCAATTAAGTTAATGCGCGCGTGGTTGCAGAGAAGGGGTATTTCATATTATTATTATTGCAAATATAGATCAATAAAGTAATTAATTTACATTTTACTTCGCACGCATTATTTTTGACTTTAATTTTCTGCTCTTCATTCACAAGTTTAATATTTAAAAACTATATTTGATATATTATTGCACACTTGCTTTGAGAAACACATATTATTACAAACATATGTTATGTTATGTATGGTAATAGATTCTAGTGGTACATCGTGCATTTACGAATATGCGTGTAACACGCTAAACCATCTGATTTGAGCTGCCACGCGATCATATTTAACAAAACTGCAAAATTTAATTTCAAATTTGTTTTAATGGGAACATACGTAATAAGACATGCTGAATGCAATAAATGCGTAATAAAGTACACAACGTATTTTCACTTGAAACACAGTTTAATGAATAAGCACAACGAGGATAATGTTAAGAATCCTTCACATGTTCCGAAGCCGAAGGGCTGGGCTCACATGTTCAAGAACTGATCTTTCTACTTGGGATGGTCAGGGTTCAAACCCCGCTAGCGGCAGAAATTATAATAATGATAATCGTCTACACAACCCTGTCATGTTAAATGGGTAAATGCAGCAACGTAGCTACATACGAGTATGTCAGGCGCCAAGGGAACCAGGATCTAAAGGCCCCAATGTTTTGCGTCGCAAAAAGCAAAATTTCCAATATTTTATAAACCAAGCCCGTAGACGAACTGAATAGATGCATAAATATTAACAGAACAATCATGAAGCGTTTTTTTACATTTTTTTACTTAAATAAACAACACAAAGTTTTATAAAACTTATATAATAATTAATCACCATAAAACTTCATAATGGAGGCATAAATGGTAGTTACAGTCCACATTAGAGCAAAATATTAGAATTGAAGTTTTTATAAAAGAGCAACAAAACCAGCTGGTAGAACGCACTTAACATTAATTTATCTTGGGAAATAAAAAAAAAACATTAAATTACCATTTTGTCATCTCCCTTGCGGACGACCGGGCCCATCCCATCTTTGGTAGTCGTGGCGCATCCGCCATCCCGCACCTTTAACTTTTTTAATAATCCCATCCTGTCTTTATTAAACTCGTCGTTTAGTGCACGACGTTATCGCGCGTCGTTTTGCAAAGCGCGCCTCCGCCTTTTTCGCCCTCTTCCTTTTCATTACGTCTTCATATCGGCGCCGCCGCATTCCACATTCTGAATTTGACTTTTATGGAAATACGGATGCAAATTGCGAAACAGCATAAATATCAGAACACTTTAGAACGTATATTAGAGGCGTTCTACCTCCCCGCTTTAAAATAATATTCCGCGGCTTCACTTAACGACAATGAAATACAGCGGGAATATGAAGTTTATAGAAACTCGTAGTTTCGAAGAAAACTTAATGGAATCACCTGAATGCATAAATGAATATCATCGGGTTTATGAACAACCAAAAAACGACCAACTTAGTTTGAAACTTTGTTCTGGGCATTCTAATAAATTCCATCTTCGTGTGAGTCATTTTTATTCATCATTCAGACAGATGAAATGTTAGAGAAATGCTCTTTTATTTTTCAAATGTTAATTTGTACGTGTGCGTCCTGCGGTACGTCGAGCCGAGTGACGAAACTCTTTCGTTGCAAATTTTTTATTGCGTGTTTTTTCTTGCATTATTCATTGCAAATCGCGTTGCGTTTCCGGCGCGAACACTCGCGGCCGGCGGTAATGTGCAGTTTCCCCAAGCGACTAATTTATTAATCTTGATGTTCATTCATGTCAGAGTTTAGAGACTGCGGCATGAGTTTTTTTTTTCCCCGGCGCGCTTTTTGTCAGTAATTCAATTTTTGTTTTGCGCTGGCCACCAGCAACGCTGCACGCCTCTAATAGTTTTACTCTTTGTTTTATCTATGATTATACAAGCGAGGATGCAACAGGGAACGCGCAATCTCTGGGGTGCTTATATTAAATTCTTTCCGCACGTGTTGTTTAACGCAAACGCAAAAGCAAAATTTAAATTTTGTTGCGGGCTAGGCAGATATAAATAAAAGTGGGGCACAAACGTTACCACACGGCAAAGTTAAAACGTCTGTCTAACGCCACTCCAAACGGAACCAGAAACGACCGCCACCACATACGAGACACTAAAAAGTCCGGAGAGTGCCATATGTTGTGCATCCTCAGCCTGGTGTCTCAACTCCCAACTGCCTGACATCCAAACGCTTCGGAGCCTTCAGGGCTTCGTTTCTAGTTCTGTGTCCAATGTCCTTATGCGGCACGTTACGTGTCATCTTCGCCTCGCGCTCCCCGCCATTTGTAACCGTCACCGAACGCGAAATTCACATTTCGATGCAACTGCAATTGTTTTTGTTGCGCTGGCTCGTCTCGCCAACGGCATTCGGCGGTTTAAACATTCATACATAATCAAAAAGTCAAAATGTCCCCGCCGCCATGTAACATTCATTACCTACTATTTTATTCGAAACTCGTTGCATCCTGACAGTTCTATTACGCCCTCGTGTGCGTATTTACATTTTGTTCGGCGTGAGTGTAATTGAAACTCGAATAAAATGCAAATGAATCGGGCGGGGGCGCACTGCAGCGACGATAATGGCGGACGCCCGCCTGGCCAAATTGCAAATTCAAGGAACCGCCAAACATAACGGCCATAACTGCCAAACTTAACGACAGTCCTTGCCCAATAACAATAACAGTGTGCACATTAGACATCGAACGTACGACATTGTGTGCGCAGCGCCAGGACGACCAGGATAACAAAACCTTACAATCATACCATTTGGCCAGCGCTACCGTTAGCTCATTCTCATTCGCGTGCTTTTTTTTTCTTCTCATTTCTCTCAACGACCGATAGTTACTAACTCAACTCGCTGCGCCCGTGGAGGCGGCCGGCTGCAGGTGGACGAGATGAACGCGAAACGAGCGCGGCGGGAAAGCACCTTTTATATTTCAGCGCAGCCGCATCATTTTCCGGACCATAAACCTCGGCGGACGAACGTGAATTAATTCCGATGCTGATCCGCGCCGGCATTCATCGCGGCGCGGCGCCGCCCTTGCGGATTGAAATATGCTCGTGTTATTCGCAACGCACGTCGATGAGGCGGCGGAGGCGGCAATGTTCGGTGGACGGCGGCTGTTTACATTGAAAACAAGCGGCGGCTTGACTCTGCCTTTGTCCGGAACGCAGGGAACAATAAGCCTGAAATGTTCAAATGCTGACATACTCAAATGTAAAGTTGACTTACTTTGTTGAATAACGATTGATTGATCAGAAGTGGCGGAAATCTCATGGAAAGGACAAAACCGGTGTCAATGACCTGCGAGTTGGTGGAGTACGGGTGTGATATTAATGTTACAATGTTATTTTACCAACGGCTGCTTAATTAAGCAACATTCGCATTGTTTGGACAGAAACTGTGACATACATAATTAACTCTAATAAAGTTTGGAATACATTCAGTTTAGGTTGGTTTTGCATTCGGTCTGATTTTATGGCGTTGAGAATAAAATATAAAATAGGACTTTTAAATATGCAGGAAGTATAAATCTAATGATAAAAAATTTTACAAAACATTTTTTTATAATAGAAAACTTTAACTTTATCTTAATCCGATGTTAATAGATAGATGTTTGATGATTTTTTATTAACAACCAAAAAACAAAGATGAAGAAAAATGTTGTGTGCCATTTGTGATCTTAAAATAGCATATTGGGTATGAAGAGATATAGAAAGCGTAAAAATGATGACTTCTGGGCGCGCGTACTCAGAAGGCTATTTCTGCTCACGTTGCACATAACAACCGGCGATTATCACCTACCTACGACGTGAACTCGTAATTTTATATAACGAGGTCAATTGATATACTTGAAGACGTAAAACAAGCAAATTCCTTATATTGTCCTAAAATCGCTTTTGAAATTATATTATATATAAAAATAGTTTAATTTTGATTTATTTTTAAAGCCAGCATTTAAGCCACCTTTAAACTTCAATGCTCAGAAGCGTATCATGCAGTATGATATTGATAAATCTATCGAATTCAATGAGGATGTCAGGCGGACGAAAGAAAAACCTAAGTGAAGATTAATTACCCGTCGCTCGCGAAGAAAGAACCTCGCCGAAAAACGCTCGGACATCGAAACATGAAAACAAATTACGAAATAAACGTCGGAAAAATCAGTCGCGCGAAGCGAGAGCGCTAAGTGAAAATAGATGAAATAAAAATGTATAAAACGAATTGGTTTAAGTGGTTTGTTCGGTGCTCACAGTGCGAACGCCATACAACACACCAACAAAGTGTTTTCAACTCGAATCGAACTTAAACTGCAAATAAAAATTGCAAAACGACGAAAAAAATCCAAGGCGGAACTATCTGAAAGTGTCAAGTTGCAAGCATTTTCGCACTTTCAAACTTGGACTTTATTACGACATCAAGTGTTGATGCCTTCGCAAACATTTCACTCGGCAATGCAAACACTCGGTGCAAAAGATGCGAAGCTGCATCTAGCATCCCTTACTACGGCGAAAAACAAGCAACGACTGCGGGAAATAACGAGCAAGGAAAGATATAAGAAGGCAAAACAAATGAATCGTCAGCGTACTGCTATTGCTACCCATTGCTATACTGTTGTTAGTGGATAGTAAATCCGACGCAAATTCCATTAACGTCCAACACGTCCGCCGCTAAAACCCGCCATTCTTCCAGCACCTTTCTCGGTGCTTTTCAGAGCCAACTGAGCGAAGCGGATTCGCAAACCTGCATTCATCTCTGCGCTGGGGTTTCTAATTTCTCGTCAAGTGCATTCCGCCTTCGTTTGCATTTGCAACTGACTGCAAAACGGTACACTGAAGCATGCTCGTGAATAATGAAAGGCGCAACGTGATCACCGCAGTTACCTTAGAACAGCATCGCAGCTTTTTGAGCACTAATTCTTTACTATAAATAATTTACACGCGGAGGAACTATTGATTATTTATTTTTGTACTTTACAATACATTTAGACAAGTTTGTAATTGGTTTCAGGTTTAAGAAGATGAGTGCGTCCAGCGGTGGCAGCAGTAAAAGCAGTAAGCGATACATGGCGATGAGGAACAAACAGCGTGCCAATATGTCGTTCTTCATTGTGGTTATGTTTTTCGCCGTCTTCGGTATTATCGTATTCACCGAGATCTTCCTAATCGACGAGCGAGGCCGCGGCGGAGGAGTTCTGGTCCGCCACGGCTCCCTTACCTACCACCATCGCCAGCAGGATCGTGGAGAGTACGACGATGTTATGCAGGTAACAATTCGATCCTACCATGGTTTCCAATTACGCAGATCCAACAATACACGGTTTGACATTTCACCAAAAATTTCACTAGACGTCATCGAATTTGGAAGAATATCATGATATGTTTTTTAGTAGAAGGCAAAGAAATTGGTGATTGAGAAAGGGGGGTTGCCACGGTCGGGTCCGTGCCTCCATCCTAGGAAGATGATCAGGGGCAGGAAGCCGATGTGGAACGACATCTTGATATAATGTAGCACCTTGCGGAGGCCGTCGGCGGCTTCCTGCGAGATGGGCATGAGGCAGCGGCCACTCTCTAAGGCCTCTTCCTCCTCGAGTTCTCGCTGCTCCATCATCTGCATGTTCTTCTCCTCGTCGGTCATCATGAACCGCATAAGGGACGCGGGCTCGCCCAGTAATGAATATGCCATTGCAATTATATCGGATGATCTGTTCACAAATTGAAAACGATAAATAATCAGTTAAAATTCTCACAATATTTGCTTAAGGTTGATAGTAAGTGAGCCAAATTTTAATGCGTGATGTGATTGTGTGTGAGAACAAATTTGAACTGAGGAAATATCGGAAAACATCAACGACGTCAATTCGGTCTGATTTTGTTTTTGTTGAAACAAAACGTCGCAGCCGACTTGGATAATATGCAGTTGAAACAACATTTGTTTGTAAACAAGGGCAAGGCCGCCTCGGAGTTACGAATGTGTTTGAAACATTAGTGGCATTCGACAGTGAATAATTGAAAACGGAACGCATTAAAGCGACCGGCAAACAGCCACCCTTTATGTCACGTAATCGAAGAAGGGCCATCGACAATCGAGCTTTAATCGGCTCGTTTACTTTCGCCACATCCGCGCACCGAGCACGCAAAACAGACCCCCGGCCGCGCTAATAGCAGATAGTTTCAATCGCAAACAGACGATTAACGGCAAACAGATAATCATTAAATCGATCCGCGAACAAGTGGAGAACAAATTATGTCGCAGACCACCTGGCGCACTGCGCCGTTGGCCCATTCGAGCAGGCGTTGCAATTTATTATTGAGCGATTACTTTTGATGCAGTCATGCACGATAATTTTCCTGCTAATAAATTCAGTGTTTGCCATGTTGGCATCAATATCGTTCCAATTCAAGCAAGTAGTGTCAAAGCGTCAAATATTCATGCATGTTTTATCAGACACGAATACCACTTGGAAGAAAAATTGCTTGCATGCTGCTTATAACAAGAAACGTGGATACAGGTTAAATTGTTTGACTTTATACTTATGCAAAGGTCTTTCTGGATATCATAGATCTTTTTGTATTTATTCTGAACCTATAATAAAGCAATTATATTGAGCTAAATACGGACGTAATCCAAGAAAATTAAAAAAAAAGAAAGAAAGAGAAAAATAATCGGAGGTAAAAATATTATCTGTCATTTACAAAACTGAATAATGACGTCAATACCGTTTGTAAACATCATATCCATCATTTAATTTAAAAGAAGACAAGCATGTCTACAATTTAACAATTCTGCTTCGATCGAACTTTATATTTTAACGATATTATATATTCTGGTATCTGGTAAGAGAGCAGTTATTGGCCCTCTAACTGGTGACCAAACTTCGAATATAGATACAATAGATAGGTATCCCACAAAGTTAGTATTAACTTATACCGGTGGTCGGAAGGACTTTGAAGTTTGGGCCAACTTGCTGCAAATATCTTATACCTTATATGAAATAGCAGTTATTTAGCTTATGTCGGAATCAATAATACAGAGATTCTCTTTGTTTCGGTTTTATTTGGTTTACGTCATCAAATATTAAATTTATTTCCATTTTAATTTGTTCTTGTATTGTGACATGTTATTACATTTTGTTGTGACAAGTTATATTAACATCTTCGTCTTTTTCAAATAACAATAGTAAATGTCATAATCATAATATTATAAAGTAGTTTCTTCCTATAGTCTGGATACTATATTAAAAAATTTAATTTAAAAAATAACAAAATATTCCGCGTTGAAAATTGCGCAGCAAATTTGAAGTCTACTATGATAAAAATACGCATCGGAGTCAATAGGATATAGGAATAGGAAATATGCATCAAATCCCAAGTAATAACATAATATACATTTCCTAGGTACTTTTCAATAAAAATTCTATAAGCGTTGGTATCTGGCAAATATGTAGATCGTTGTACTCATGAATTATTTTGCTAAAGTCAACAATAGATATTTTCCTTTTCTCATTTTCATCGGGAAATTCTAGCCTCACAATCATAGTATAACAAATATAACATGAGCCAGTATTGAAATTAAAATCGAAAACCTTTAGATTTTATCTTTTATTTTCATCATGCTTCATGAATTCTTCATACTTCTTACAAATATTTAAATCAAATGATCTGTTTGTACAGTGTAATGGAAACCAGGATTTTTCCCTATCCATAGAAACTAATTAATTACTGAAAACTTATTTTATGCAATTAATGCAAATTCAAAAAAGTTTAAATGGATTAATGTACTCGTAAAATATGAAAAAGTTGCATAACCTTTTATCTATCTAAAAAAAATTCTATTAATATAAATTTTCATAGTTATATTAAATAATTAATACTGAATAACCACGATACATTTTTTATATCAACCGAAACAAGAATAAGGCGGGTTTATATTCCCCTGTTCATACAAATCATAAATAAATAATACATATCATGTATGATATGTAATCACAAAAAGTGTGATTGCATTATTAACACAATATTCAGTTACAATCGGAAATCGATCAACGCTAATCTGTCATAATCAATGATTAAACTACATACCAACATGAATATAAAGTCATGTGCATGGCTTTATGGCTGGGGTCATTCGGTGGGAACGTAATTGCCTGATAGCCCGACATTCATGTGGAGGTCATGCTGGGTTTGACGCGTTGACTCTTCGGCTTCGGATGAATACGGTTGATTCGGTCGAGGTTTTACCGTTTTCGATTCGATTTTTACAACCGCGCGCCGATTCGTTTTCCACATTCGCCGCGCGCAATTCCCCACTGCAGCACTCGATATTCTATTTGACTATTCCATCTCGCTATTCAATATTCGCGCGGCATTTCAGCAATAAGATCGAGTATCGTTGACCCACCTACACGTACCACTCGAGCGCAGCGGCGGGTTGCTTTCGATACCTTCGCAAACCTTCGCCAAAACCCGCCACGTCGATCCACTTCATCCATTATTAAGCTTCGCCAAGTGGAATAAAATGGCCGAAATCGATGTGGATTTATTGCTTCGATTACCTCCCCCAACACTTGGACTCACCTTCGCCCGGGGCGATGCAGGCGCGGCAAATTCGGCAATCTTTTATCTTTCATCTCATATTTTTGTGATGATTCGACGGTATTCATTGTTCCAATATTCGTCTCTGGCTGGTACTCAACGATGCTTTGTGATATTTATTCCCTTTGACGTCGATGTTTGCAAAATAAATGCCATTGTGACGCATTATTGGGTTCATTGGCGCAGCGGGCGGAAAGTTTGACAAAGTTCCGCGAGTCTGAGCCACTTGAAAGTGGCAGGCATATAAAAATGACTATAAAATATAGATAAATCGAGGGATGCCTCCGCAGTTATCTGCCATCTTGCATGCTCCAAGGAGCACAGCAGCGCACCCATGTTTCTACATGTTCAAGTGACTTCATATTTCATCGGCATTCTTTCGGCGCTTCTTCTCGTTGTATTGACACGGAGCCGAGGCTTTCCAGCTGGTGGTCGAGGAGCTCTGAAAGTTTTCACATTTCGATATGAAAGATGCGCGCCTGGAGACGGTGCAAACTTTAAAAACTTCGTCGAGTCGCCCCATACGTTCCTACTTAGCTGGGGCGAGTTCATTTCACTTCTACAATGCCGAATGTTGAACGTTCGAAGAAGTTGAATGCAAAGTAAACTAATAACGGAGCACAGATGGCGGAAAAGTTCGGAGGTAATAAGTAATCTGGAGAGCAAGTATTCATATCTAACTTGTGCTAAACTAAACAACGATCAAGAATCGTTTTCCAATAGACGTCGGGATTGCAAGTAGTACCTAACTCCAGTTTGTCGGGAACAATACGGAAGCATTGTACGCCAGTCTATGAGTCTTCAAAGTTTGATTAAATTTCTTTTTACAACAAACAATCCAAACACTTTATATGTTGCCGAATATAACTTATAATGGGTTTCAACTAAGTACACTGCAACATTTCTTTATTCTCCACATAATTGAATTAAGATTCCGTTGATTTTGAAGTATATACAGATTCTGTAACTAAATTGTAAACAAATTTAAGCGGCGGTTATTTCCGTTGTTTCAGAGTGATGATTACATATCGATAAGAATGAACAACAACGAGCGCACCCTTCGAGAGGACACAATCGGCGCGGTGCTTTTAGGCCGCCGACCAGCACCACTCCATGCACGCCCCGACACCACCGTGAATGAGCGCGAGGTGCTCACCGAGGGCCAACTACCCCCGTTCTCCAATAACAGCATACCCATGGATGGTACTTGGCAGACTGTCAACGGCACTAGGTGATCACATAACTCCTCCGCTCCTCGATGCCAAATGACTTCAATTTACCCTTTTGCCCCGCCCGCCACACACCCGGCGCCGCCAGCCAACAAGCACACTAATCGAAGCAACGCCAACCTCCCGCTAGCTCTAATTACATCCATTCATTCCGCTTTAATTATTAATGAAAATTGCTGCGATTACATTGCCTGCTCGTGTTCGCATCCTAATGCCTTGGCATCCGCCCACAGGTACAAGTTCTACGTGTTCTCGGCGTTCTTCGACAATCGTAAGGGCCAACGAGCCATCCGCGTCATCGGGGCGACTAAGATGCGAGGACCCGAGAGAGTGTGGTGCCGATTGTGGTACAAATTCGGCGAGAATAATGGCACCACATTTACCAGCAAGACGGTGGTGGCTAAAATTAAAGTAACTCCATCAGCACATCGGAATACCGTCAATTAATTATGTTTTACTTCTAGATTATCCGGGAGAATTGGAACCTCAAGTATAGTGCATGTTTTGTGATGTGTCCAATGCAGCGGAACCAGTCAGTTCCCAATTATGTGTCCATCGTGTCCAAAGTGAAGTTCCCGCCATCCAACACGCTCATCGTGGTAAATAATTTCAACGAATCGTTTGCGTCGCCCAACGACAGAAATCGGCAGAAGAAATTCGCCATTTGTGTGAAACCGCTGCATTTCGACTATAACCGAGTGAGTATCACATCTGTTTAACGCTATCGCTGCAGAATCCTAAGCGTCATATTTTATCACGCCATCGCACATTAATTACGTCGAGTCGCTGTCGACCTAATTAATAAAGTTGCCGCAAGTTTCCAAACAGCCGCTCGGTATGTTCGCAGGCGCTGCAAATATTGGAATTCATCGAACTGAATCGCATCATGGGTGTAGAGCACTTCACCTTCTATAATCACACCGTGGGAAAGCAGGTCGGTTGCATTCTGAACGACTACGTCAAGAAAGGATTAGTCAGCCTGCTGCCATGGCAGTTAAATATGGTCTCACAGAAGGAGATTCGTACAGAGGGATTGTTTGCCGCACTCAATGACTGTCTTTACCGCAGCATGTACAAGTACACACACGTTCTGCTCATCGATTTGGACGAGTACATCATTCCTCGGCACAATGACACGTTGCCACAGCTAGTCGAGTGAGTTTTTCATTAAGCTACGATTAATAACTAGTGCAGTTATTACTTACTTCGTTCTTTTGTAGTTATCTATCGACTAGAATCAACACACGCTCCACCGGCTCGTTCTCGTTCCAAAACGCTTTCTTTTACCTGCAATGGGGCGATGGCGACTTTGTTTATGAAAGCCACGACTCAGTGGCGGCCGGTTTGGTCACCTTGAAGAAAGTGCGTCGGAAAACAAAGCTGCATCCTCACAAACAGCGTTCGAAGTATATTTGCTTGCCGGAACAGGTCGTGGAGGCGGGCAATCACTTCGTCTGGGAGTACATCCCCGGCCATGGCACATTCAATGTGCCTGCGGACTCGGCCATCTTGCATCACTATCGCATATGTGAGTTCGGCGGCGACGACTGCATCAATACGGCGAGCACCATCGACAACACCGCCTACCGATATAAAGATCAGCTCATCGCCAACGTGAAGGCGAAATTCCAAGGGTACAAGGTGCCATGCCAGTTGCCCGAATTGCCACCGCCGCCAGAGCGTGGGTTCGAAAAACTGCTCAAAATCTTCAAGAGCGACGCGTTCAAGAGCAGATAATGAACGAGGCGCGCAAGCCTGGCCTCCTCTTCGGCTTGAACTATATCAGAAACAAGTCTATGCTTTAAGTATTATTCTATCAAAGTTTAAATCAAAATGGCGACGAATCTCCAAAATGTACACTCATTTAATAATTCAATTGTGATAAACGCTTAGTTACTCATTTTTCCCTTTCACTTGATTTCTCATTTAGTTTTGCTTCAGATTGGGAAAAATTGAAGAAGTATAAATCTATGACGTTACACTGCATTCAGATGAGTAAAGTTCGCCACAAATCTATGCTAATTTTGTAAATAATCATTTGTACTAGTATCTACTGGACCTATTTAACTATTAAGTAATAATTAAGGAATACTATACTAATAAAAAGACCAAATTTGCGCAATGTAATGCCAAAAGAAGTTAAACGAGGTTTTAAAGCAAAAACGAAAGAAACAAACACTGTTGAAAGTCTTTTCATATTGAGCAATCTGAGTATGTAAGTGCTACCAACCAGTATTTAAAGTTAAAGCTCAGTTTACTAGTGCTAAAATACACATATTCAATATCTAAGTAAAAAGTAAATGATCGCAACTAAAATTTCTAACAAATAAAACGAAACACCGATAATCATAGGAAACACACACATCTAAAGACATATTCATTTGCATAATGACTAACCCAACCAGAGAGTACTTTATAAAGTTTTGTTTAAACATAGTGAATAGTATTGTACATTGCTAGATTTCTATGTTCTGTTAGAAAAGAGTGGTAGGACGCGTATTACATAACAAACCGATTAGAATAGGCTAGTTACAAAGAGGATATTTAACTAAACGAGTAAACGGAAAAGGAAAAAGAAATTACAATGACAATATTATATCAAATCTAACACTTTCTTTATCGTCGGACGTTTCAAGAGTTTCTATTGACATTTTCTACCATCACCAATTGCAGCATCGGTTAGCAGTTATTTTCTTGTAGCTTTTGTATGGATAGTTTACAAATAGCAATCCGAAACTAACATTCTCAATTAAATGATTTGTGATCTTCAAACTTTCAAACATACTGCTGATAGCTATAAACTGTGAAATGTATACTACTTTCGTTGTGATTCTTGTTGTTTCTTACTTTCTTACTACCTAGAAAGAAAACTAAAATAATTAGGTAAGCGAATGACGACAAATTTATTGAATGTAAGTCTATTTATCAAGGGATTAAATAAAATGAATTTTTATCTAAAACATTAACGAATCGATAGTTAACGATCGATTACTCGCCCATATTTCTAGAAAAGTGTTGTGAATGAACCAATCCATTAAACCTGTATTAGATTTTTGTTCTAAATTGGATTCGCATTTTTATAAGTCAAGACGTGGGAGCAGAGGAATGGATCAAGAAATGAAATAACTGACTAGGAACGACATTTCTTTGATACTTCAAAGTAAAACATACAAAATTTTATCCATAATTAATTCCTTTTGGTTAAATTTTGTTTTTGTACCATTTGTGTTATTTATTTAATGTTAGTACTTTGTTGCACTACAAATCATATCAACTTGTCTTGTAATTTGACCCAAATTCTTTCAAAACACAATTTTCTCTCCGGAAAATTAAGTTTTGGTGCTCCTTTTGTACACATACTTCTAATTCCTTTAATTTGTATTATTTGTAATCATAAAATCAAAATATCCTAACAGCAAAACAAATTGTGTTCTTCCAAGGATTGGTGAATTAAAGGTAGTCCTAAAAAATATAAAATTCATCTACTCCATTTTATTGTTTGTTGTACAGTAACTTACAATTAAACATTTCCTTCATTTCAAACTAGAGACTCATAAACTTTTTAAAATTTAACTAATCTTAACATGTTTATATTCGCTAATGTATGTAATCATAAAGTAGATACGAGAATCAATCAGATGCATCGCTGCACGAAACAGAAGAGTTAACTATCAACCGTGGTGTTCAAGAATACACAATTCACGACACAATGGAAATGTGTACGCATCGTATATATAAACCTCTCAGAATACTAAAACGTTATGCATGGAAATAAAATGTATACTGTCATTTCTAAAGGAGTTAACGAAATACTGAATGCATGATACTGTCACCGTTCCCCAGTCGCGCTCTTAGCCCTAGCTTAAAATATGCTTACTCTTATTTATATGTAACAAATTTTGGAAAAAATAGCTCTTTGAACGTTGAAAGTAAGGACTTGAATGATACAACGCGATAAAGAGAGCTGCCGCGGCAAGCTAGTCCTCTAGCGTGACGTTCTTGAAGAGGTAGGACATTGATTCCTTGTTGTGGATACGGCGGATTGCCTCCGAGAGCAGAATCGAGATGTCCACTGTTTTTATTTTGTGACATTGCATCTTCTGGAGCTCGTGCGGAATCGTGTTTGTCACAACCACCTGTAACCACCACGTCAACTCTCATAACATACACACACACACACACACATCTCGGAATTTCGTACAAAAAAAAAACAGAACGACGACAGAACTTGGAACAACTTGGGAGCGGAGACTAGGTACTATGTAATTGTGTATATGGAATATTAATTTACAGCGTACATACCAATTAAGACAATTTATAGCGCTGCGCAAAGAGAAGGCAGAATATGACACTAGATAAATATGACTCACCTCATCAATTGGCGAGTCTTCAATCAAACGCGGCGCGTCCGATGATAAGAGTCCGTGTGTGGCGAGTACGTAAATCTTGTATGCGCCCCGCTCCTTGAGCACCTCTGCCGCCGCCACAAAAGACTGTACATCATCGATTAGGTCGTCCACCATGATAGCGATGCGTCCACCGACATCACCTACAACATTGATTGGAGGCTTCTCCTTGGCGGGATGCGCAGGTACGCCGACGCCAGCGTCCATCGTACGTGAGCGCGGAAGCGTTGGCGGCGAATAACGCCCATCCACCTCATCTGATTCCGCTCCCTTTTGTTCGCCGTGAATCACGGCAATGCCGAGACGAAGACGCTCCGCGTATGAGGTGGCCTTGTTCGCCGAGCCGGGGTTGCGTGCCACAATTATTGAATTGCGATAATCCGGAATCTATAATTAGAAGCGCGTGTCGAATTCGCGTGCGATATGCAATATCTCTTTGGCGGACTTACACACTCCTGAATGTACTGTAACAGGAACGGGCTGGCTCGCAGATTGTCCACGGGACACTCAAAGAAGCCTTGAATTTCCTTCTGATGCAGATCCATGGTGATAATGTGTGTCAAGCCTGAATTGCACATCATCTTCGCGAGAAGCTTGGAGACAATGCAGCCACGTTTACGCATCTTACATTGTTTGCTGTATGGAAGATAAGGAATAACTGCAACAATAGACTTGGCTGAGGAAGTCTTGCATGCATAGGCCATAATCAGTAGTTCCATAATGTTATTATTGCAGTCCCTGGAAACATTGGCATAAAATAATGCACATATTGTTGGAAAAAACACTTTGTTTCATACTTGGTGCCAGTTTGAATGATGTAAATATCCTTGCCTCTGACTGAATCCCCAATCTCCACCATAGTCTCCCTGTTGGTCTTGTGGTAGACAGCACAGCCGCCCGACTTGACGCCCAGTCGGTTGCCGATGAGGTCCGCCAGCTCCGGGTGCGAATTACCGCTGAGCAGCACGATGTCGGAGGTGATCGGCACGTCCATGTCGCGTTGTGCAGAAGGTATGCGGAAGCCTCCCAATCTGGAAACAGAAACGAAACGCACGGAAATCAGCGTGATAACCTGCTCGGCGCGGCAGGTCGCTGCGGGCCAGACGAGCACCTGGCCTTCTTGGTGAACATTAGTGCTGATTAGATGTGGCTGAGAACTGAAGTGTCGTTGTTGGCGTGGGAGCACTTTGCGAGCGATCGTGCGGGGCGACGCGAACGTGATTGAACGAATTCAGCTGGCTCCGGTCTTGGAGGTGCGGTGCGGTGCGGCTGAACTCGCATGTGATTCGAATACGATTGGCTGCAACTTCGCAGGGTTTTATAGGTAGCACATCGGACACCACAATGTAAGCGAGGAAATTTGAAGAATTGTTTGTTTCTTTCGGATGATCAGGCGTCGTTCGACACTCGCACACACTGATTGCATCGAATCATGCGCGGTACTTGTCGAGTGCTGACTAGCAAGAAATTAAGTTGGGTTATACAAACAATTTGAAATTTAAATGTTTCAAACACTAGAAGCGGATCGTTTCTCTATCTTTTATGTTATCTGTTATGTTACGTTTCTTGTTACGATAAAGGCGGCAATTATATTTAGAAATAAATACACGTTTTCGCAGTATTTAGATTTACATAGACAATATGCCTTGTTTGCAAGTTTTATTCGTTGGATTGCATAGGTATATTCGTTTCTAATAAAAACTGCCCTTATCTATATGTACTCATTACGTCTAAACAATGTTCAACCAAGGAGTTGTAGAATTGTTCTGAACATCAGCGGAGTCAATTTCAAGACGAATTATGCTTGCAATCCAATGGCGTGCGCACATACATTAGACCCCAACTTAATTAGGATCAAATGGTTAATATCTTGCGTCGCCAAAGAAAACTCTTCAAGTTTAGAATCTAGACCATTAGTTGAATTGAAAGGCATTAGAATGCACCCGAGGCTGCTTTAAATTTCAAATAGTATAGAAATATATATTGCATTACATGGAAATACATATATATTAACAGTATGATATGAATTTGAGTGAAAACAAGGCATTCATGAAATTAAATTACATGCATTTTCGTCCATTGGTGCTAGCGTCAAATTGCAAAATAATAAACACATATTTTAACGCTGTACCCAATATCTAAAACAAACCATCGCCATTATAACATTTGTTCATCATGCAATTGTGCCGTGTTACCAGAAATAATGTCGAGTATTCAATATTTAAAATTCCCGCAGCACTCGTGGACACCTTCGAGACCAACAATTGAAAAGAATATAACGAAATCTAAACATAAACAGACCAAATAGTATAATCATAGTACACTCTCACCATGAAACCTACACAATCATCGACGTTTTTGTAAATCTTTGTAATGAAATGCATCAAGGGACATTCCCGACCTCCGTTCACATTTAATTCATGTGCTGAGATAATTATAAATCCAATATCTACAACTTGCCAATAGGAATCGACACGTAAAGTGTATATCATTAAAACTATTACCTAGTATTTCAACAAGAATCCAGTACTCTGTAAAATAATGCTCTCTGGGGTAAAGGCCCAGCTGTCCACGAAATCTCAACAAATCCAAGATGATTATGTAAGTCAACAAGATAATACCGTGCATGGTAAGATTCACTAGGAGCAGATACTCATTACTGTAGATGGAGTGCAACTTTTTGATCACTTTCGTAAGCCGAAAGTGCATCTTGAACATCTTGTGCAGCTCACAAATGCAATCTTGCCGGTGATTCCAACTCTCATTGACCGACTGCTGCATCTTGATCGCCAATCGCTCACGGATGAGATTGAAATAATGATTGAGGTCGTCGAATAACTGTGCGCCCTGGAATTTCATGAAGCTCATGTATGTGACATAGCAGTGGATAATCAACCCCGGCAGGTGAGCACACCAGAGTACGCATATATTGTTCTTGGGGTCACTGTAGGCGTCCAATACAATCATAATTGGTGTTGTTAGTAAAGCCACAAACAACGATGCAGCCAGAACAAGTTTCGCCAAGATTGTATGACCCGGATGGATCCTAGGAGGCCAGTTTTTCTGAATGTTGGCCAACTCGTCGTGTACTTCAGCGATGAGTTCCCTTTTTCGCACAAGCAAAACAAGAATGTACGCGGCCAGTATAAGTCTGCTGCAGTATTGTATCCAGAACCCTGAGCGCGTGAGTGCGTTTTGTCTAAAAACTTCACTTGTTAAATCAGGCGAACTTATTGAAAAAAAAAATGTTTATTACGGGAAATTGACTTTCAGCAGATCTGAATTTGCGACCAACAAGGCGAAGGTCACAAGTAGTGCAGCTATGAAGAGTCTGTAGGAGGTGAACGTTTGTCGCACAAGGAGGCTTTTACTGGAGACATTCGGGTACACTCCCAATACCAAGAGCATACAGGTGAGCGGCGCTTTTATATCAATGTAGTTTACAAATTTCGAACGCATGTTTCAAATCACAATCGACGCCTCAAGTTACAAATATTCAAATCATTCGATAAGCAACTGTGCGAATTTGTAAGGAGTGATATGTTAGCCACGCGTCGAATGAATCGAATGTACATTTGAACTGTAAATAAATAAACACGTGATGCCAATCACGTCGATGATACATTATTAAAAACTGACATTTGGTTTTTGGAGAAGAAAAAACCAACATTAAACGGAACATTATTATGTATTGACCAAATGGCCCGCAATTAGTGCTCACATTTCATAGGAAAAAAAGGTAGTTAATGGTCAAACCATTTATTTGATTAAATGATAGTACGTATAAAATCACCAACACCATTATTGATATATGCAGTCATGACATTTCCCTTACCGGCGGATTGTAGTTACATATTTACAGTTTGGAAAGCACCATGGTCGGATTATCATCAACATCAACGAAAACATCAATGTGTAGGTCGTCCTTGGTGTCTTCATCGCACGCATAATCGTCGAATTCCCGGATGCCGTACTGCATGAGAAGTTCCTGGTCAATAAAGAAGTTCCCCGTGCATGATGTGGGATCTTGAGACAGAACAATGTATGCCGCGTCCGCCATTATCTCCGGTTTGCGCGAATGTTTTGCGCCTTCACCACCAGTAAGCATATCGGATGCTGCTGTATGGATAACTACACAGCCCAGCGAAGAAGAGGAAATAAAGTATGAAGAATATTGAAGTTTAAATTAAAATTATTTACTTGTGCGTGGCCATAGCGCGTTGACAGCAATGCCGAATTCTTTGAACTCCTCGGCCATTCCAAGCACGCACATGGACATCCCATACTTCGAGATGGTGTATGCCACAAAAGGCTTAAACCAATGTGCAGACATATTCAAAGGCGGTGAGAGCATAAGGACGTGTGCGCGTTTTGATTTCTTCAGATGTGGCAGACATTCTTTTGTTCTAATAACCACAACTACCATGAACTATGATAATACAATTAATGGTGAGTACTTACACCAAAAATGTGCCTCTGACATTGACGCTGTGCATTAGGTCGTACTTCTTCATGGAAGTCTCCTCTGTGGCGCTTAGCGAAATAGCTGATGCATTATTGATTAGAATGTCTATTCCACCAAATGTTTCAACGGCTTTCTGAACGGCTGCTCGTACCTGTTCCTCGTTGCGGACGTCAACGATGCAAGGTAGGCATTTACCGCCCGCTGCTTCAACTGTAAAACAAATGACACAGAAAAAATCAAAATACATCAAATATTAATATTATGAAGATGAGGTTTACTTTCGGCAGCTGCTGTGTAAATAGTGCCTTCGAGTTTTGGATGTGGTTCAGCTGTCTTGGCCGCAATCACAATGTTGGCTCCATCTCTAGCTGCCTTCAACGCGATGGCTTTGCCAATACCGCGAGAACCTCCGGTGATGAATATTGTCAGACCACTCAACTTTCTGGAATGTGAATTGTATAAATGATTTTGTTAATAAGCAATAAAGAAGAATTCGAGGTGAGGAAGTCAATAAAACCAGCTGGAATTAAATGTGAAAACATTTTTTATACTTTAGCTTACAAATTATTTAAAATTTAACAATATAAATCAGTAGAAATAGGTGGCATGAATGCCCGTATATAAAAGAATTGCATTTTAAAAAGTGTCCCCGTTAAGTGCACTTGATTGTGATTACATCTTGGCCTTCAGCTTGCCCATCAACTTCTCCAACTTCATCGCCTTTTGCAGATTGCCGGAGATCTTCAGTTTTCCCAGCATGTAAGCAGTTGCAGGCTTCGTCTTCCCGGTGAACATAGCAAAGAAATTCTTTCCGTCCATTGTGAGTGTAGCATCAGCGGCTGTGGGTGGTTCACCCTTGCCGCACTGGCCTGATCCATTCTTCAGGTCCACGAACCATTTGCCTTCTTCTTTGCCGGTGACGTTGAAGGCAAATACTGCCTTGGTACTCGAAACAAGATCCTCGCTCAGACTAGCCTCAATCACACGGAAGATACCCTCAACGTTCTCGACTGGCCCGGAAGGCGCTTCTTTCTTTTTACCGAAAGGTCCCTGTGCGAGTCCCTGTTCCATACCGGTCTCACCAGAGCCCGTTCCGACGCACGGCTTTGCTTGGTCCTCATTGAGGAAGAAATCCAACATGAGATTGTCCTTGTTGTTTGGGTCACATGCGTAAGCGTCGAAGTTCTTGACGCCGGCCTCGAAGAGCACACGCTCATCAATAAAGAAGTTACCGGTGCACTTGGCAGGGTCCTGCGAGAGAACGGCATAGGCAGCATCCGCCATGATATCCGGATTGCGGTAAGCACTGTGTGTGCCGCCACCGGAAAGCATCTCCATCGCGGCTGTTTTGATAGCCGTGCGCGGCCATAGCGCGTTTACGGCGATCTTCAATGGGCGGAACTCCTCGTGATGTCCAAGCACACACAGCGACATGCCATACTTTGCCATTGTGTACGCCACGTGATTGCTGAACCATTTCGTTTCCATGTTCAGTGGGGGTGAGATGTTGAGCACATGAGCGTGGTTACTCTTTTTCAGGTACGGCAAACATTCCTTTGTTCTGTAATCAAAGGTAAAACTTTATAATAAAAGTATGAACACGTTTGGAAAGTACTTACGCTAGGAATGTACCTCGTGTATTAATCTGATGCATTAAGTCGTAGCGCTTCATGTCCGTCTGGTCGGTAGGAGTCAGAGAAATGGCAGATGCGTTATTGACGAGAATATCAATGCCTCCGAACTTCTTCACCGCTTCTTCAACAGCGCCGCGAACCTGCACCTCATCGCGCACATCCACCACGCATGGCAGACACTTGCCGCCTGCCTTTTCAACTGTAAACACAAATCAGTAAGTTTTAAATTATTTCATTAAGTGTATGACAACAAAAAACACATACTTTCTTCAGCAGCGGTATAAATGGTGCCTGGAAGTTTCGGATGAGCTGTTGCCGTCTTGGCGGCAATGACAACATTGGCACCATCTTTAGCCGCCTTCAAGGCAATCGCCTTACCGATGCCGCGGCTCGCACCAGTCACGAAGATCGTCCGCCCGGCCAACTTCCTAAAAAATGTCGTTATCAACACGGTGCAACACTGAGCCTAGCAAAAAATCAAGCAAAATGATTCAAAACACGACACCGACGTATTACTACTACTTGAACCAGACAGAACCAAAACACCATGTTTTATAGAAGCAATATTTGCACTTTCGGAATAGAATTACATAAATAGTACGTAAATATTTAAAACAAAACAAAGTTAGAGAAAGTTCTGTCTGGTTCAAATGCCAATACTATCAACCAAGCATATTAATAATAAGCAAAATACTTCATTAGATAATTACCGTCGTTTATCACACAAAATATAAACACTGCTAAAAGTAACGAGTTCAAAACAGTAAAATAGAAAAAAAAAAAAAACAAGCGCATTACGTTGAATCGAACAAGTAGTTCACCGGCATATAAAAATATCGAGTGCACGATGCACACTTGATTTTAAGAATAATTGTATGTTGTATCACACCGCAGCAAGCCATCGAACGTGGCAGCGAAGCGTTTTTTTATTAACTACGCGTACCATTTAGTACGCTAAATAGTTAACCTAGATATGATTGCAAAACTAATAAAGTTGAGGCTTACCCTGTGTTGATCATGATGCGATGTGTGATGGTTCTCCCTCGGATGTGATCAACTAACTACTCAATGAATCGCCGACTATTAGCCGCTCCGAAGGTGTTCGCGTGTACTTTAAACCCCGCACGCCAAGCGCTCGCGTTGAACTCTAAATAAAAGTTACAAAGTCCAAGTTTCCTGCGCGGACCTCTCTGTCTGGACGGCGCGCACCATTGCGCTTGCTCGCACGCTCGCCAAGGGGACGTAAACACGACGGGTGATAAACAAGACGAAAAATAGAAAACGATCCGCGCAGAATGACGTTGACAAAAATTCTATCAGTCCTATCAAGTGTCCAACAAGTACCGTATGATTATGACTGGTAGGACTGGTACATATGACCCAAGTGACAAGTCCTAAAACGCCGAAATACATCGGAATGTTTACGCGCGTGATATGCAACTTGTTAAGCACCAAATATAAAATTAATTCATTTGAATTTCGCGTTTTCAAGCAAAATATCGATTTTTCAGCTAAAATCGGCGTTTTGAAGCAATTAAGCACTACTAGGCTATACTAACTTTAATTTATAGCGTATCTAAATTTAACTTATAGCTGTAATATTAAAATATGCCCTGAATACTTTTGTATCAGTGTTCTAAATATATTTCATAATTACTCAATTTTTTGCGTTTAAACAAAAAACAACATACTTTTTAAGTAGTGCAATTTTTTTTAATTGCAAACATTTACAAGATAGTCGCAATAATTAAAAAAAAAACAGCCTGAATTAATATTATTAGCACCGCATAAAAAATCAAGCTCTTATTTTTAATTGTTGTTAGTATTCTAAACTTGCAATTTGAATGCATTTTAAAAAGATTTAAATCTAACTGCAACTTTCATAACAGGACTGTTTTCCTTAGAATCTCTAATTTAGAATAGCGTTATTTATAGATTTGCGAATAAATCATTATTTGAAATTGATTAGAGTTTGGGTACACGACCGCGCTTGATAACAAGTTTGGCTCTCATGTTTACAGTCATTATTATTGTAATGTTTTCATTTTACACGTGTTGAGAAACTTCTATTTTATTTATTAAGTTAAACAAGTTTGGCGCAACGTTAATAACTCAATTATTACACATTTGAAATGTCGCAGTGAGTAAAACCGCGCCGCTAAGGACTTACAAAAGCTTACAAAAAGTATTGTAATAGTCCCTTGAATATCATTAAAAAAATAATTAAATATTAAGAAAAACGAATAATATGTCTTCAGCACCTGGTCCCTGAAAAGTAACACAAGAGAACAGGTACATACGTATACATTTCCTGTATGAAAGAGTTTGGTTGAATTGTTTTGTTGATTGAAAAACAATTGTTTTATTTTTTACTTGTTTTATTGAATTGAATTGTTCCAGAATGAACTTCCAATCCCTCCCTCCAATCAATTCTCTTTCGTTTATGTCGAATTGCATTCGCACGAATCTGCAAAGCCCACCACGACTTTTCTGTCCTACGCCTCTTCCTGCCACTGCCATTCAACTTTGGGAAAACAAAATCTTATAAATCTTTCATTTACCACAGAATTACATAATAATAATTAATTCAATTACTTTTAAATTATTTTATACTATAACTTTTGTATTGTGTAATAAGAATTCAATCATCAATCAACCGCTGCTTGTATTTGAGTTGGAAGTTTTCAAACGCGATCAAGACTTATTTCCTGCAATCGGATGCAGGGCGCCTCTATATAAAAAGCCCGAAACTTAAGATTGGCGAGCATTCCCGCGTGCATTTCTGCTTACCTTGCACTCAATCATATCAAATTGCTTTTCCTTTGTGATTCAATCAAAGTAATTACCAAAAAATGCAAGCAGCGGGTCGTTCTTACCTTAAAATGCGTTCCCAGAGGCACGAAAGGTGCGCAAAAGGTGGTGGATGGAAAACACTAACATCGGGCAAGAATGCACGTGGTTCTAATAGTGCAGGAGGAGATTTGGCCAACGATATAAAAAAATACGCAGATAAGATAGGTGAGCAAAAGTATTCGTATTTTGAAAAAAAAAATTGCCTTCTTCTATATCACCTTCTGTAGTTCTGATGTAGATGCGATGATCATTAAGCATACATTTCATACTTTGATTTTTTTTTCAATCAGAGAACCTTGATGAGAAAATCAAGATGAATGTCAGAGTGCTTTTGAAGCACGAAGATTTGATGGCTATAAAAGAACAACTGAAAAGTTCCAGAGGAAAGAACAAGTCTTACAAGGAAAAATCATCAGCTTTTGCATTTGATGATGATAGGGCAGGCAAAGACATGGCCAGTTCTTCAGGTAATAGAGTAAAGATATGGTCAAAACTTGAATTCTGATGTGGATGAGATAATTAGGAAGCATGCATTTCATTAATTTGTTTTTAATTTTTTTGTTTCAATTAGAGAGGCATGATGTCAAATTCAATATGAAAGAACATGTCATGAAAGCACATTTCAGTGGTTCAGAATATAACAATTCCACTGCGTCGGCCCTCGTTAATTCAAATTCAGTGGCATCACCAAGCATTGAAACCTCTGATGAGGAAACTGAATCTGAATCTGAAGATTCGGATGTAGATGAATCAGAATCTCTAGAATCAGGATCTGAAGATTCGGATGTAGATGAATCAGAATCTCTAGAATCTGGATCTGAAGATTCTGATGTGGATGGATCAGAATCTTCAGATACCGATGTTTTTGATTTGGTCCAGCGCATGGACGACTTTGCAGATACGTTAGCTGCGAAATACGGCTCCATTTGAAAATAATCTTCACTAATTTCTTGAATGTTTTAACACACGTATTATTTTTATTTGTTACCACTCAATGAGGGTCTATCTATAAATCAAATCACTATGATGTGCACTTGTAAATTATAATATTTAATAAAAATATTATTCTTTTAAAACGAAATAATTCTGTTTGTATTATACTATGTTTTACGAATTTCGTGAATAAGTTAAGTTCGTGGAACCTTTTTTTTTTTCAACAAAGATGTTAAAATTCTGTTTTTGATTTTTAATTCATATTTAATCTCATTATAATGCGATCTGTCTTTAAATATTATAGAACAATTGCAATCAATGTAATTGTTCGGCAGACTAAAGTTGCTTTTTATTTCAGAACTTTTCGAAAGGATTCTGCGCGATTTTGACTTCCAATACAACTACAATCTGCACATCTTTTGATATGTACTTGTATGTCATATTTTTAACTACTCTACTTGTAAAGAATGTGTAGCTCTGTACGTCTCTAGGCAGTTATACTCATTGGCAGTAATTAACAAATTTTGAATTTTATTTTAAATGCTGTTCTCTTCATCTTAAAATTGTTTCAAGGTTTTTTGCTTTTGGGAGTAGCAAACTAACAAATTCAAATTCGCATTTATAACATTAGTTACAATTCCATGAAATAATTTACCTCACTAAATCACAAAAAAATTAAGAATACTCACGAAACCATCTAAACACTAACGCATTTCTTACGCATCATAATTTTATTATTGATTCTTAATCAACTTAGAAATCACAAAGTTTTTACACTTCATTGAAGTTAGTACAGATATCAATTTTTAAAACTTCATATATTAATGAATACATGCCAAACAAATGAAATAAATCATAGAATTCACTATACTGATACAAATGTATACATAATATTCCTCTAGAAGTAGCTAGAAACCAACCATCCGCATGATCGTAGTTTACTTCAAAAACACTTAGAACATTCAAAGGCAATGAAAATCAATGATTGCACGATTCATCCGAGTCTGCATCCCATATATAAATAGAGCGAATTGTAAAATCGCATGGTGCAATAAAATATATCTCGTAAATAATACCAGTTAAAATTATTTTTCAGTCAAGGTTCGCTGTGTGGTGCTTATGAAATGCTCACCATATCAGAGGCGATGATAAGGATTCCCAAGCGCGTAGGCAAAAATATCGTATGCAAGCGAAACTTTATCTATCGGCACCGAAACAATCTGAACAAGTTGAACGAAGCTCGATGTATTTTTAGCTTATTTCTAGTCACGTGCGCGTAATGTTTGTTTATCGATTTCTGCATTCTGTACGGTAATTGATAATTGCGATGCAATGAAGTTTGAAAAATAGTGTGGAAGTTAGGTATGAACCTTCTATCGCGAGTTTATTGACTAACTTTGGTCTCGAGTCTCGACTATACTTCGTTGGTGTCCTGCGTGACGCCTGGGGCTGTCTCACCGTAGCAGTGTTTCGCCTTCGGGTCTTTGTAGGAGTTCTCGTGCTGCACGCTCTGCGAGTTCGTCCTGCACTTCGCCAAGCACAGCTCGAAGTGGTCAGTTACGGACGCAAACAGCACGTTGTTTTGCTCCGTCGCCTTGCCGAGCACGTTTTCCAGCATGTTTTTCTACGTGACACATAAGAAGACGAGAACGAATAATAATGTTTCGTAACAACTTAGCTTTATGTGGAAATATTTTGGTGAAAACCACTAAATCGATTCGATTGATATCTTGAAACTCATTGGTTACATAACCAATGTAAATGATAAAAAAAATTGAACTAATCATGTAAAAAACTTATTCAAACAGTGTGGAAACTGCTCATGAAAATATCACATGGGAAAAGTTTAATTCTGGCTAAAGCCAACCTAATTCTTAATGTTTGCATATATCAATTGCACTAGATTTACAAATCAAATAATATAGAAGAGAAAACTGCATTCATGACTTTCTTAATAATCAACTAAATAAAAACCAAACCCATTTGCATTAAAATGTATTAAATATCATGCATGACTTTAAAAAAGCATCAGAAAAAAGAAAATACCTTGTTGGGATGTAAACAGCATGAAATGCAATACTCATAAATTGCACAGCAGTTGTTATTCTTGCAGGTTTCACAAGAATACTGCACTGATGTGGACAGGTCATCATTGCAGCAACCATTTGGGAGGATGTCATGCCTTGGACATACATATCCTATGAAAACAACAACAGCACTTAATGACCCATGGAAATCAGTTGATTCAACATTACCTCTATCATCAACAATTAGCACCTTGCCCTGCACTGAGTTCCTGCATAGCAAATCAATGTCACTTGCATTGTGCTGTTGCAGTGTTCGCCACACAAAGGGCTGAGATCTCCTCACAGGAATCGAGTCATCCGTATCAAGAAACGCACCCTGAACAAACAATACGTGTGTCAGTTAATGATACAAACAAGTAGATACAAATTGCAATGAGTGTGGAGTTGTATTACTAGGGATACTCACTTTTCCCACAAAACTGAAGATGCAGTAGAGCAAGGAGACTGTGAAGATAATGCCTAAGACTATTCTACGGCGTATGAATCGCACTAGGGCAGCGTACCACATATTTCACATAGTCCCTCCGCGTTCACGCGCATTTTCTCCGCATTTTTGCGTCGCAATTGCGCCCGTCGTAATTATTTGTGTTTTTCAGTGCAGCAAACGCAGCGCAACACGATGAAGATAACCACAATTATTTATCACATATAGGCAATCATATACACAGCAATATTGAATCGAATTACGTGTGAGAATCAGTAGGCTCTTGGTATTTATGATTAACTGGAAGCATTAGTTTTATATTTATTGTCTTTACCAATAACAAATAAATGTAATATTTATAATAATCTAATAAGCAAGGTTTTAAATTACATTTTGTTCAATTGCCAGTTGGGTTGCATACATCACAATATAAAACTTTAAAAAGTATGAATTGTGAATGGAAAGTTTGACGTGCGTTGCGTTGCCTATATTACAACGACGGTTGTTAGCACAATTCAGCTATTTGTTGTCAACGTGTAATGTGAGAATTGCGTGAATCATTCGATTCATGCGATCAGTAACGCTCGGTGTGTCATGTTTTTATGTTTACTGCAAGTTGACGTTTTTCTGAAGTTATTTTTTTAATTTATTTGAAGAGCTCCCGAGGCTCCCATAGTGTTTGTGCGACGCTAGCAAGTGCAGCGTGCGGCATCAGCAGCGAATAGCCGGTTTAGCGCGCATATGGGCCGTGAATATAATCGACACGATAACGGAGTTCGGAATCAGGTGATCTTGCGTCAGCCGTGCGCACGCGCGTACGCGCCTAACCGCTCACGGCCGACACGCCGCTTTTGGCGTCTGACGCTCACACATTAGTTCTCGTGTGCGTTGGAAAAAAAGCGTCCGCCGAGTGCCGCCTGTGAAAAACACATAGCGTCCACGCGGCGGTGAGTATCCGCGCCGCAGACCGTTCGCTGTCACTCCCTACAATCCATCCGTAAGTTTGTTTATTTGCATACTCCATATCGCGCGCGGCGGCTGCGCACACGCGTGATCACAGAGGCGGCAAACGCAAACTGCTGGCTCTCATCTGCCGAGATCGGCCCGCGTGGCGCACCGCCCCGCGGCTCCGTGCTCCGGGCCGGCGCGGCTCGCGTCGACACGCACACCGGCGACCGGCATTTGTTGCATGCCCGTACGGCCGGCGTGCGTATCGCGATCAGTCGCTGCTTGCCCGTTTGCCGGTGAACAACGTGTGTGCTCGCGGCGCGTGAGCGAGAGGGTAGCATGCCGGCCCAGGACCTCAATAGTAAACAAAGTGTGACCGTTCTCAAGGAGTTCAAGAACATGCCGCCCGCAATCGCTCCCAACAACTCCCAGGAGCAGCTGATGCGCCACGGCGAGCAGCGCGGAGATGATGCCGTCTCCGGCGGTGGCACCCTGCGGGACATCAAACGCATGGAATGGGTCGCCATCCTCATCCTCTGCTTCGTCAATCTGATCAACTACATGGATCGCTTCACCTTGGCAGGTAGGTGCTAATTGCAGGCGGCCACGTCTCATCTCCGGTCGGTCCCACTTCTTTCCCTCCATCCTCTTCAACGGCAACAGTTTACTTTTACACATGCTTTAAGAATCACGTGATTCTTGCAGCTCGATTTAAAAAGTTTTTTTTTTTTAATTATTTCTGCGGTGCTGGCAACACCACGTGGACTTAAATCACAACATGCCAATCGTTCTATTTCCGATCGGTATGATTAATCGAACTTATAAATAGTATGAGTTTCGTTCTTGGTGCTGGAATTTAAAACTCGGTTGAAGTCACGCCATTTCTGGAATTGCTTGCGTTCTAGAAGTGGAAGTGTAAAATATAGCTCTTATTTCAAAACAAAACAAAAAAATGCGTGCTAAATTTAATTTTTGAAGTCTGAAAGAAGTTAACGTTTTTATGCACTCATCGTCGAACTAGGAAGGTGTAATTACTCCAACTTTCACTCATTCGCTTTTTTGCTCTTGTACGACTTCCAGTCTGACTGACACGCGACTTAATACCCTCAGAAGTCAACCAACTTTAGGTTTACTGTAAGCTTTTTACGTACGTATACTTTTTACGCGATTTATGTCGCATACTTTGTCGTAGGAATGGAAATATCGCCTTGTTATTCATAGAAAAGGTGTATATTTAATGATTCAATGTGTACTCGTATAAGTATCACACTTAACGTAAATCGTATATGTTCACAGTATCTTTACTTGTACAATATTGGAATGTTTTGCTATTGCGGACTTTATGAGTACTATGGAATATTTGAATATTTTATTCCACTTTTTGATTTGGTATCGTGTTATGTTAGGGATTTTTATATTCATGTTTGGCATTACTTATTGTCTATAAATTGTTGTTTATTTTTGAGGAATCGTCGATCAATTAATATTTTATTTTCTGTGCAATAAACTAAATTTCCAATAGGTTTCGATATATTTGAAGAAAAACTTTTGTTTTTCAGATTTAATGATTCATTTTCGAATTGGAGATAAAAATTAGTGTTAACAATTCCCAAATGCCAGAGTATTGCTTTTCTAGCTGATGTTATTGAACAGTTTTTTGGATTTTATATATAAAACAATCCTAAGTGAAAATATCAATTGAATAATCTAAGCTGTGGCATTTTTACTAGTAAATTCTGATGATAATATTCAATTTGCCAAATTATTATCAGAATAGATTTTAAACACAATTGTGTGAAATATAATTGAATGGCCCCACATAAGTTATTAGAATTAGAAGTAAATGAGTCGCAATTTATCGCTATAAGGTATTACATGACATATATCTTAATTGCTATTTTAAATACAATGCATGATGTTTGAAACTGGAATAACCCCATAATCAATGCGGGATTAATGCTCCAATGAGCAAATTCACTGTCACAATATTAATAGATTAAGTAATCTTTACTGTTCATCATATTGGTATGTGTTTGATAAGATTGTCAAAGTGTTTGCGTTTCAAACTCATTTTGTGGCAAGGTGAAAATCGATGTCCGTGCCAGCAAACATCATGCGAGAAAGGAAAGTTGTAAAAGTCTCGCGCGTCCGCGTTTTGTTTAAAGCAAGTCGATTCGCTCGCTCGCCAATCGTCAATTACGCTGTCTGTGGGCATAATTATGCCGATTGCATGACAATATTCCTATTGCGTTGTGTACCGCTTCAATCACCCTACGTCAAATTGCAATGCGAACGCAGTCGTTGCTTTGGTTGTGTGTTGTTCTGTGGACGGCTTTGGCCTGACCTCTCAAGGTGTATAATTTTTCATATTGCAGAGTCACTCGAGTTGGTCGATTTAATTATTCGGTTATCATCACGGAAATCAATATTATGCTCGTAATTCGGCTGCACTATGAGTCGCGAATTATTAATTATTTTATTGTACAAATCGTATGATGCCACATTTAATTAAAACATTGTTTTTAATCTTATTAATTACATATTGAAATTGTGAAATGATTAAACCTCAATTGATATCGACATTGACTAATTTCAGTGATTGTATACATTGATAAAAGTCTGAGGAATATTGATATCTGATTTGTTTATTTGTTATTTTTTGCAATGGGAATTTTTATTATTTTATAAAATGTAATATACTCGTAATTAATATCTAGAGTTGGCTAGACATTTGCAGGAAAAAAAAAACACATTCTCAGACATGGTTGTTTTCTCCAAACTTTCTTCTTTTACTTTGATTTTACTATGAAGTAGAGACCTATTAGTTTGTTAGATACATTGAAACATTGTTGCCAGGAACCAAATTTGATCAAAAGTTTATTTTGTATTCATTTGCTTGTGAGTAATTATCACAGAAATGCAATAAATCACTGTAGCATTAATGCTGCCAACAAAATACATCCTAAAATAAATGAAATCGATTAAAGCCAAAACAAGTTTCGGGGTTTGTTGCGCCTGGGGGTAGTTTATATTTTCAATTTACATAAATCAAGCGGCCGTAAATTTGAAATCGAAAATACCCTTCAGATTCCACTGTCAGCCACAATATTTAGCACCACCAACACAACACACCACACAAATGTTGATAACCTTAAAAATTGCCCATATCAATTACATTAATTATAATTGTTTTGCGCCGAAAATAAATTCGCAACGCATTTGCGCAAAGCCGATAACAAACCCGGATTAGATAATGCCGAAAGTAAAAACATTGCACGTCGATATTTGGCATTTGGTGCTATTAGCAGAGCAAATTTTTACGACTTTCGTATTACATTATGAATATTACCTGAACTGTACTTATTACTTTAGTTAATTACGATTTCTGATTGTCATTTTCAACCTACTCGACATCCACACAAACTTTAAAATTTTACATGGATCGATGGATCGAAGAAGCAAGAAAGTAAGGAAGTATGCAAATGCAATTCTGGGTAAAATGGAATATAGACATTTGTAGCGCTATAAATTTTGAGGACTTCGCGGAAAGTCGATCATCACGCGCCTGGGGACTTGAACTTGAACAAGACTCCAACACACATAACCATACATCGCAATGTTAGCAAAAAAGCAAGTAAAACTATTTACACACCAACAACCAAGTTCGATTCGCGGTGGCTAGTTTGTTTATTCGTGTATTCATCGACATGAATAAAATAAATGTCTTTGACCGGTAAATTGCCGCGTCGGGCAACGCTGCGTCATACGATTCGTCCGAGTATTACTGAATAATTTAGGTATTTTAGCATGTTGAAATTGATAAATGTTTAAGCGTTTAGATTTCGTCGATTGGTGCCTTTAATAAGCCAGTGAATTAATACTAGACTTTCGGATGGATTGGAAGATTCACTGTCGTATAACAATGAATCGGCAATGATGAGCCTAATGATGTGTTCGCTGCTAGGTGTCAGACAAAGGTCGTTTATTTGACATTCGTTAGGTTCGTTATGTCTTGCTTCCCACATCCAATGCATAAATAAATAATTGACGCGCCAACATGTCGACAAGACGCTCAATTGCTGTTTAATATAAATAATTGATCGACTTATTGAACTTTTATAATTGTATTATGTTCTGCGATTTTTCTAGCTCGATTTAAGAGATGATAAAAGAATAATAGAATAATTTCAGTTAAATATTGTCAAATGTTCCGGCGCGGAGAAGTTATTTCGGTTTATTGTTGCTAAATCAGTTTACTGAGCGCAGTTTTGATCTTAATGAGTGAAAGGTCAGTGTCAAGCCGAAGTTGATTAAGTGCTTTCGTATATTTACAAAACAAAAATAAGATTCATGCATGTTGATAATATCAGGATATAACAATAATAATAATAATAGCAGATTTGCGCTTCTGCCTATACTCGATTGCATGATTTAAGTATTGTTGAAGGTGTGATTTTCTAAAAAAAATTGTATTGTATAGACATTGTTCTGAGAACTGTTATGATTTACACGGCAATTTCCTATCAGAATTTCGCGATTTCGGCGAGCATTGCGGCGCGATTAACGAAAATTTATGCGCCGTGGAGTGTTTTACGATTATTGCACGCGTTTGCCTACCCGCCAACTTCCTACTTGCAAATGTATTTCCATATTTCACGCCTGATGCATCGAGGATGCTGCCCGCACGCAGAAAATTGTTATTTACGCATCCCCAGAGCAATATAATTTCGTTTAATCTTATTACACGCCTATTATACTGCCCGCGTGCCCGCGAAGATGTAATTTCAGTCTCAGTTTACGTAGTAAGTATTTCGTATTCGTTGTTTTTGTTTTTATCATTTTGTAATGAAAATATTTTGAGTATCTTATCAAAACGTAAGGCGAACTGCTTGCAGCGACGTGCATTTGGACCAGTGTTTAGATTTCGTGGAGAAAACAACCCTCGGCTGCCTTCCTGTTTACCCTACGCGGTGAATACCCCTCGAAAATTGCTTAACCAGCCATCACTAAGGGCAATTTACACTCACAACATTGCGCCGGTGCTCGCACCCGCACCGAAACAATATTATTACATTAAATTCAAGGCATCGTATGCATCAAATTCTAAAATATTATCTTTGAATCTTTACGGTGGTGATAAACTAATTAGCTAATTGTTGGAGAGTCCGAGTTCGTGGGTTGTTTATTCAACGCTGTCGTGTTTCAATGCAACATATGGGCGCTTAAAACATCCCTTTTGTTGCGTTTAGATTTATCGCTCGTGGTTCGGTCGTCCTGTGCGGTTTGATTAAACTAAATCATTCGCACACGAGAATCCACAGCAATGTGCAAACAAAACGCATGAAAGGGCGAAATGAACCCGGAGTATTCCACCCTGCCGTTTCGTGTGGTTTTTTTTCTATTCCGATGTGGACGCAATGAATAGAAAGTAACTATTTACAGCGCGACCGCAATTACCAAAGCCAGTGTCCTCGTCGAATTAGGGTGGCTATTTAAATTTAGACATGTGCAGCACTTCGTAGTTTTGGAATATTTCCGAAATTCTTAGAGTACAAAACACAAATGCAATATATGATCATTACC